AGGGTATGGGGGGTGTGTGTGTGTGTGTGTGTGTCGTTGTCTTCGTTTCTTGATCCTGGCTGTCTCTGAAACAGAAAACGTTAGCGGGCAGGGGGGGGGGTCGTTGGGGTGGTCACCCAGGGTCAAAAAGTTCTAAAAATTAAAGTTAACCGATTATCACAAAATTTTGTATACGGAGGTTTCGAGGTCGGATTTAAAAATCAAAATGGCGGATCCAATATGGCGGACGAATTTTTCGAAAATCAACCGATTTGCACCAAGCGTTGTATACGGGGGGTTTTGGGGTCACTGATCACGAATCCGAGGTAAATTTGCAAAATTCAAGATGGCTGACGAATTTTTTGAAAATCAGTTGATTTGCATCAAAGATGGTATACGGCCGTTTTTGGGGTTGCTGATCACGAATGTGGGGTCAGTGACCCCCAAACCTCCGTACATCAAATTTGGTCCCTATTGATTATATTTATAAAACCCCCATCCACCATCTTGGATCTGCCATCTTGAATTTTGAAAATCTGACCTCGGATTCGTGATCAGCGGAAACTTCCGTATACAAAATTTGGTGACAATCGGTTAACTTTCAAAGATTTCGTCCGCCATCTTGATTTCGCCGCCATTTTGAAATGGTCAAGGTCATACCTGAACGTAAAATTTTACGTTCTTTCCATTTCCGGGGTCAAAAAGGGGGGTTCCCATTTAATAAAATCGTCTTGACCCCGAACTACTTGGTCATCATGCAGTGGTCAATAGTCATGGCATGGTCACCATTGAATAGCCAGGGAAAAATCCTAACTTTCCATATATTTGTTTTTTCCAGAAAATGCATATCTCGCGAGATTTTTTGGATTCCCATACTTTTATGCCACCCTGTATAATAAATAGGACATGACTATAGAACTTATGAAAAATTGCTCACTTGCTCACTACTGAATAAGTTTTCACTGTATTAATCAAATTGTAGAAAACGTCTACAAAAATATGTGTGTGTATATGTGTGGAGTAAATCAACTAAAGATAACAACTCTTAGCTTGTATAAAACCAAGTCTGCCGATTTGCATGAATGTGTGTAACAGGCTTTTGGCTTTAAATCGATTCCTACAAACACATCGTACTTTCCATTTCGAGGAACGAGCGCCCTCCATGAGAAAGTAGTGAAAACGGTTATATATGATGAATTTCTAAAAAACGAAATGTACGAATAAACAAGTATTGTTGACCAGTGAACGAAAATAAATATCAAACTTCAAACATTGACTGAACGATCAACGCCTTAAATTTGTTACCTACCTACTTTTTTATAGATTTATTACTAGGAAGATAGAAGTTGCAGTGTATAGAGCAATATGAAAAAATATCAAAAATTACAATCAATCCTTAAAATTCCTTATTTTTAATTATTTACCTAATTTCTAACAACATGTAAATTGTAGTGTGTATAATAGAAAATAAGTTTCATAGGTGGTTTGGGGTTCTCATTATCGAAATTTAAAGGAAACGCGCACTGATGTCCTTGCTCTTTCATGTCACTCAAATACCCTCCTCTCAAAACATAAACAGTTTTAGAAATAAATAAGAACCCAGATTACGTCTCTGTTCTGTGATGAGAATGTTCAAATATGACATGACAGTTTCTAAATATACATATCTATTATACATGGGCGTAGGTACGACTTTTGTTTGGGATATGCCTTGAGAGGGGACAGCTATGGTCAGCCAGCTAGTTCAACCAAAAATATATTATTGGATTGGTTTTTTCCTGGGTCCCTATAGAGCCCGTGCCCGCCTCCCCTGCTGCCCTAGCTATGCACCTGTTATTATTATTAGCTGTATTTATTTTACCACATGGTTAGTTCAGTTTGGTCAAGTTGACCAAATTAAAAGTGACCATGATATGAACAAACTCTAGGTTAAACAAAACATATATCTACTCCATTTTAAATTTTGACATTTGACGTTTGTTCAATTTCAGTTTAATTAGGTTGTTGTTGTCAATCATACTGTGCCCAACATACTTACAATCAACATATCTTCTTCGGATGAATCCATATCCATTATCAACGGCTTATTTTTGTTATTTAGATTTATGATTATTATTGTTTGTAGGTTATGTTTTGTTCGGTTATCTTGTTCACTTACTAACCACGATATTAGGCTCGGTTAGATCGGAAAGGGGGGAACTGATTTTGGTCATATTTTGGTTTGTTCACTTGTTTAAAAAAAACAAACTTGGTCAGAGTCAGAACTGTACTGAAAATGAATTAACCAAAGTGACCAAGTGTGTAAAACAAATACAGCTATTCTTTACAACTTGCAAAATTTGGTTAAGAAATGTTTACTAACGGTTTACATTCTCAACCCATTTTCCTAGATTATGCTAAAACGATCATTTTTTCGGAAAATTATACGTCCAAAGATCTCAAAAACACTACAATCGGTTGAAAATTCGGTTTTTGGTGATTTAAGTTCACAGTCAATATTCAGACTTTCTTTGTTTCGTTTCAATCCTTAAAAATTTAAGAAGGTTAACAAGATATCTATAGACTTTTCAACCAATTTATTGATTTTGATTTATCGAGAGGTCTTTTTCAAGAAAACTGATTATTGAACTGTACCCTAGGAAAATGTCTTCTATTCATAGGATTTTTTTTTGTTCTCATAGGCACCCAAAATTTTTTGTTTTATAGGTAGGTGGATACCATGAATACAAGGGGTCCCATAAATAAGTACCAAACTTTTTACCACATTTAACTCGTCGAAAGCAACAACTTGTAACCAAATTTTTTTTTGAAAATTCACATTTTTGTCCTGTATTTTTGTACCCATTAAAGTAACTGCTTGATTCAACCTGTAAAATTTTTTGCAAACCTAAATATTAACCATTTAGTACTTTTTTTTTGTTTCTTATCGGTTCTACCAAGCGTTTCGTATTATAAACCATTGGCGAATAACAAAAAATTAAAGTTTAAAATATACATGTATATACAGTAGAACCTCGATTATCCATGATCTACGGGACCGAACGCGGCACGGATAATTAAAACATTTATTTTTTTACATAAAAAATGGAGCAATACGTAGGTAAACTTTGTAACTTCTGCAGATTAGAAGCATTAGTCAGAACATATGATGTTATACAGTCTTTACTGAACAAAAACACAAAATAACTCATCACCACAAATTCCTAGACATAGCACGGATAATCGGGGTTCCACACTGTATATGCAATTTTATTATGATAGGCAAAATGGCAAATCTGTAATAGTATCCCCATCAAAATTTGTTTTTGTTTAAGTAGATGTGTGTTTAATTTTTATAAACTATAAAATAATACTGTCTATACTAGTAATCTATACAAAATAAAAATTTAGTAAATCAATTTTAACAAACTGTCATTTTACAGATTAGCAAAATGTTTCCATTATTAGGAACAAATAATTATTTAGGTTGAATAGGAAATGTGTTTCGAGGGAAAAATGTTAATTTATTCAAACATCTATTTTTATTTCTAATAACAGAAATATTAAGTTCTTATGCTGCAAAGCTTCTCATTCTCAGTACTGGTTAACTTATCCATTAAAATAAAACAACAGAAATATTTCAATTCAACTGCAAATATATTTATTCTGGAGGAACTAAGTGTTCCGGGAGTCTTTGCAGTTCAACCTAAAAAATAAAAATTAAATTCATGAAAGAGATTAAAGTGTTTATTGCTCTTGAATAATAAAATAATTACCTTTGTAGCTTTAAGAGCAACTCCTTCAGGTAGATTTCTTTCAATATATTCCAATAAAGTTTCAGCTGTTGAACCAGTTAAATGTTTGAACTGTACATGTGCAAAGTATGTTCTGAACTCGTACTGTACCCTATGCTTCTTATAAATATGTACACATTTTAGAACTGTATATCTATCATGTTGCGGCTTCTTTATGCTCCATCTGAAACAATAGTAATGTACCTTCAATTTGTTAAATGTTGGTTAATAGCTTACGATTTGCTTTCGAGATCAAAGTGATTTCCTGTTGTTACAGCAAATTTTGTGAAACTTCTTAATACAGCTGGATCATTCCCTCTGAGCTCCAACTCTAATACTCTTAACAACTTATCAGCTTCACCTTCTGCTACTTGTGCTGATTGAGTAACTGAATAAGGTTGAAGGAAACTTGAAGTTAGGTGTTTTGGCAGTCTTAATAACTGTTTAGTTATATTCTGAAATATTCATTTATATAAAAAACGTTAATTAAACTACTCTATAAGTTACCATATTCATTTAGTGTTGTATTAATATCACAATATTACTTTTAAAACATTTCAAATTTCAATTAAAAAATATTAGGTTAGGTCAACTCACACAAAAAACGTAACATAAATCCTAAAACTCCCTAGAATTTATTTCAAGTTACCACTACAAACTATGGAGCTAAGTTCAGAAATTCAGAAATAACAAATTTGAGACGGGGCATTGAATAGAAAATCGCCCTGCCGATTCACAATTTACATTAAATTCATACAGAAAATAAGTATATCTGTATAAAAAACGTATTTTTCTTTTCGTCTTTAATTAATAAAATAATATAATGAATATGAATGAATGAATATTTCTTATAAATACTTACACATTTTAGAGCTATATGTGTTATGTTGAATTATGTTTCGTATACTCAATCTGAAACTATTAAACATTTTCGACTTACATTTTTGCATTCAGGGTGCACCGTGAATATATTATTTAGTGCACATTGAATATAAAACTACAAATAAATCGAAGGTATTGTGACGAAGAGCGATCATTAGCCGAAATATATCTATTGAAGTAGTATATGCTCTAATTATTGTAAGATTGAAATGTTTAAAATATTTGAAATTTGAATGTACCCCCACATATTTTTTCTTTTAGTATGGCTATCCTGGTCCACGGGGTTGTTAGTATTTATTTGCCTAGATATTGGTATCTGTTCGGTAACTTTTGCAAGTCGATCAAATGACAGGTGAAAGATATTTTCAACTCGAAGTCGCGCTGTACATAAATAAACGATATCCCAAATGTCAAAATGTTTAGGAATCCGTTATCGTGGTATATTTTTACACTCTCATTATTCGAATTAATAATTAAAACTCATCTAACGCTGCATGACAGCAGTCATGGTAAGACTACGAATCTATTTTGATATCCTCAGCTGACATTTAAATAGCATGATTTGAAAAAATCTTTTATCTTTTTGCAGGCTTCATCAGCAAAAATCCAAGATACTTCGACGATGATTTCTCAAACATTCATGAGGTATGCTAAACAATCCATAAATTTAGAATTTTAGAGTTTTTTTTACTAGGAGATCACATCTTTGCGAACGTCCCGTATGAGTGATGTTTCATCGAGGCTACAGCTAAAATTTGAACCATCGTTTCTGGATTTTAAGCAGAGGTACTATGCATTTCTCTAAAAAAAAATAAATAGATAAAAACAGCTTATAAAAAATATTTCTAATGCTTCACCTTTGTAATTTATTTTAGGCCTTTGGGTGTACCTCATTTGGAAAAGGTTACTTTATTTAATGTAGATAAAAATAAAAGTATTGATATGACATCTATATCAGGAAGTACAGTTCATTTCCACAGTTCTTTTTTTGAAGATAAGGTAAGAATTATAATTTATAGACTGTATTAGGTTCATAGATTCATATTTCATTAAAAGTAGTGCAGTTTTTACTCTAAATTGCCATTTACTATTCACTTGTTAGTAAATTACTTTTATTTCATTTTTAATTCTTAGAGGATTCCCCCAAGTGGAAATACTTCTTTCAATGTTGTGTTTTTGGGGCGAGAAGAAGGTTTTGTGGAAAGCAGTTTGTTTATACACACATCGGAAGGTTTTTTAAAGTACAATGTGAGTAATTGCGTTAGTTTTTGAAAATGGAAAATTATATTCATTATTAAATTCATTATTAGATATTAATGTTTAAATATTATTTACAGGTAAAAGGTGCAAGTACCTTTAGTCACTACAGGTTAAGACCCATAGTCGGTATTAAGTTGCCGTTGAATTCAACATTTGCACCTTTAATTTATATGCACAATCCTCATTCTGAACCCATTCAGGTAAGAACAGTAGTTATTATTACTTATTGTTGATGGGTATATAAATTATTAAATATATAGATAATACAAAGAAGATTTCATATTTATATACATTAAAAATAGTAATAGTGTAAAAAATTGTTTAGTCAAATTTTAAAATCAAACTGACAATTAATTAATTAGTCAAAGATTTTAAATGGAACACTTGACTAGGAAAAAATATGTTTAAATGTAAAGTATATCAGGTCAGATAAAATTTGAAGTGTATTTATTAATATTTATTTCTATTCAAAGGTATATGTATATTACAGGATTAAGTTGTAACTCAACCACAAAATTCAAACTGATAAGTGAGTTGATATACTAGACCTCAGAAATTATCTATGTAAAAACAACCATAAACATGTTGAGAATGGTACATATGGATTTCTGTTTTTTTGCTTTCAATTATAGGTACATCTTAGGCACTGTGCAACTTAAAATTAAATACATTTTAAATATTTAAACATTTACATATTTTTAATTTGAGTGACGATTTTTTTAATATTAAAATTATTGTCTTAAGACTAGTAATAATTACGATTTCACTTGTTTACTTGTTAACTTGCTTGTACACTATTTTTCTTATACAGATTTAGTTGTAACTTATTCAGTCAATTAGATATTATTAACATTGTAAAGTAAGTTTTTAATTATCTGCTTTAATTCTGTGATAAAGTCTCATGCCACAAAGAAATAATATTTAACTTAAGAAAAAAATAAAATTTATGTTTAGTACAGGTTCTTTCATTAATATTTTAAGTTTGTGTGTAAAATAAAAAATTAATTTAGAAAAAATAACGACTTTTATGGTTTTTTAAAATTATAATGCTAATAGACAGATTTCATTGTTTCAGAAAAAAATTGTGTGGAAGCTTTTTTATTTCATTATGTTGCTTTTAGATTGTTGAAATCTACAGTAGTGGGGGTGATTTTCATCTAGAATTGCCCACTGGTGAGCAAGAGGGCCCCAACGATATGTGGGAAATACCTCCGCTTCATACCAAGGCTGTAATAAGGGTTCGGTTTCAAGCTAGAGTAGTACAAAACCATACAGCCTATGTCAGGTATACCTAGATAGTTTTTTAGTAGATACATATAGTCACTTATTATGTTTTAGATAAAATTTTAGACTGCCGATCATATTCCAAATTTTTATTGTTTGATTGACATATTGTACATTCAGTGCTGATATTTAAAGTATGGTGGTTTTTGGGTTGTCTTGTGCATCATTCTGACGGTTTTGCCTATTTTACTTTCCATTTTCTTCTGCTATAATATTTTTCTCTACAGTGCAGTAATACTAAGCATACGAAAATTATCTCTTGTAATAGTTCCCCAATATATAAGTATTATTGTGCTTCATTAAATGTCAGAACAGACATTCTCTTAAAAATCGGACAGTAATGAACTTGTTTGGAAACGAAGCCATTGGAGGAAAACAGAGCAGGTTCTATTTTTTATTTAAAATTGCTCAATATCTGCTACTTGCTGTAACACACGGTCATAGACTTTTATAATCAATTTTACATTTATTTGAACCACTTTTTGAATCGTATCATACATGGCTATTTTGTTTTTTAAGAAAAAAAGTCATATCATTTTAACCAAGCATATAAAAGAGTCTTATCGTTTTTTAAATATTGAGTTACAAATCAGAACAAAAAAAATTATCAAATTTATCTTGTGTAACTTGTGCTTTTAAAATTTGCATTAAGGAAATTGCCACAAATTAACATTTTCCGTCTAACTCATGCTAATTATTTTCTAACAATTAGTTAACCCGCTAATTTGATTATTCATACCAAGGATTGTATCCAATGGCCAAAGCAAATAGACATTGTTTGTTTAAAATGTTGCACGAATACTTCTATATCAACTATTTATTTGTTATAGAAACGATTGTAATATTGTAAGAAGCATATTAAAAACTTTTGACAAATGCATAAAAAAATTAACCCTTGAATTTATTTCAGAATCAAACTAAATAAACCAGATGAAATTCTGGTGGTGCCATTGGAAGTGGAGGTCACTTCCGTAATGGGAATATTTCATCCCCAGGGATCTGTGGATTTCGGAATAGGGGGCAACTTGGATGCTCCCAAGGAAGTAAAACTCTGCCTCTATAATCCCCTGAAGAAACACATTCGGATACACAGTGTCTTCACCACATCTAAAGCCATTAAGGTACAATATTATAACATCCGGCTTCAGCCGGAGAGTGAAGTGGTGGATAAGGATAGTTGTGCGGAAGCTGCAACTTTAACGGTGGATTGTAAGTATATTATTTAATTTTTTGTCAAAATGACATCTATTTTGTGCAGTAGGATGATCCATAAAAAAAGAAACATTTAAAATAATCAGTAACATGATTCATTTTTAAGGAGGTTTATCGGGTATGGGGGTACGTCTAAAGTCTAACGAGAGTTTCTGTAGATTCGCTAGTGACTAAAGTAGTAAGCCTTTAGATTTAGCAACGTTGCACTTGGCTGGCGCGCTCGGCTCGGTGTTCGCTTGCCTAAGCTTGAAATATACATCATATGTCACACCTGCGAATTTAAAATAATATGCTACGTCGAGAACCGCTATCACGAGATCGCTGGTTCGAGTCTCGTATTTTTTTCCCTTTAAAACGCATCATATGTTTTTTTTTTCTTTTTCTCATCTATATATGTAGGAATATTCTTCAAATATTTCATTAAATTGCACAATTGGTTTATAAACAATATTTGTTATGAATTAACAGTAAGGTTTCTTTAAAAAAAAAACAAACGAGGTCAGGTAGGATGTTCTTTTATTTTATATTTACAATTAGTATTTGAAAATTTATGCAGTTTGGCATGAGCCAGAATGGTATAGTTATCATAGAAACATGGGAAGCAGAAATTTTTTAAGCATCTAGCACACCGTGTAAGTGTTATGTTTTTACAGGCTCATTTTGATTTAAAAATATCGACGTTGAAGCAAACTTCGTTAACATTTTGATAGATTGTGCCACACTACGTAAAATGTCAAATACTAATTGTAAATATAAAATAAAAGAACATCCTACCTAACCTCGTTTGTTTTTTTTAAAAAAGAAACCTTATTGTTAATTCATAATAAATATTGTTTATCAACTAATTGTGCAGTTTAATGAAATATTTGAAGAACATTCCTATATATACCTGTATAGGTACATAAGTAGTTATTATAATATTTCGATTGTTCGTAATTTTCGAGATGAGAAAAAAGAATAAAAAAAATATATGGTGCGTTTTGAAGGGGGAAAAAAAATGTCGCGCGACGAGACTCGGTCCAGCGATCTCATGACTGTTGGAACCGAATGCTACCAACTAGGCCACGCTGCCGGTTGAAAAATGTGTCACATCTAATGAATTTAGGTGGCAGGTAAAACTTCAAAATCGATTATCTCGGAAATTTATGAACATTGCGTCAAACTACTTTGGAAAATTCTTATTCAAGGTCCCAACTACACGTACCATAAATATCAAAAATTACAAAAATCCGATTACCTTGCCTTCTCCTTGTAAGAGAAAAATCCCACTCTCAATAACATTCTGTAAATTTTTACATTAAATATGGTGGACTAAATTTGATGACATTTGGGATTATCTAAAAAACTATATGAGAGAAAGACATATACATTTCCTGCTCCTGATTTTACAGAAAAATGCAGTTCAAATTGCAGCCTGCTATTTTTTCTTTGCTTTGTAAAACTCCTTACCCCGCTTACTAAGAGCAAAAAATATATTAAAACACGTTTAGTGAAATACACGATGTAGAGCAAAAAATCAAAAACTGGTTCATTACATTGTATTTGTACTTTTACTTGTAATTTTCAATGTAGAACACCCTGTATGTTTTATTACCATTCGGTTATAGTTCAAATTAACTAATAATAAATAACCTCAATTCTCACCGAGTTTTGTTCACTCTGTTACATATTTCAAATGCCTTGATAAAAATTAGTCCTAGAAAATCGATTAACAGAGGTTGCTTACACTTGTTTTCTATTTTCAATGTATGTTATGCTGTTGCAGGGAAAACTGCTTACGATACAAAAGACTATTCAGGGATAATAATAGTTAGGTATCGTAATGGTAAGAACAGATCTGAAATCCCATACCATCTGACTGTCCTTAAAGGTGGCATCAGCTACGATCCGCTGACTACCACATACTTCATAAATGACAGGGCAGTGGATTTGTCTTCGAGAAACTTTAAAGTCAAAAACGAATTTGACTTCCACCTCAAAATCATCAATGTAACCTTCCCTCAAGATGCCCATTTGTACTTTAAGGTGTCTAATAAATTATTTTGTGTACTTTCTGTATTTTGATTTGGAGATGTTGCAGATTGAGACCTTCGTTCCTAAGGTATTAAAACCGGGGCAGGAGGCAAATATTTTTAATATCAAACTGAAAAATAACATCAGGCTGTCTGATTTACAGTTGCGTTCGCAGATTATTTTGAAGACGAATGTTTCCAATGTGTCTGTGCCTCTGTTGAGTTACAACGGAAAGTTGCAAGTTGTAAGTATCCTGTTATAAACGGTGTTCTATATTATCCGTTGTCGTGTTTTCAGCACTTGCCTTTCAAAAGTAAGGATTATTCTCTGGATATTGGCCTTATAAGTTTTGATCTGAAGAAAGAAGTTTACTTTATGATTGTAAATCACAATCCTGTGACGTTACAGTTGAAAAATATTCATTCTTCCATACCGATGACACAGGTGGAAGTTCATGGTTGTGGTACAGGAGACTATAGACTAGTTTTATTTCAAGTCTCGTTTCCAAACCTTACAAAATGTGTAAGTTGATCTTGTGCACATATCTTTTATAATAATTGATGGAGTTTTTATGTTTACAAGATGAACGTATTGTTCATCTGTATTATAGTGCATGTACTGTATCGTTGATGCTAAATTTGTATTATTAAACTTTCCAGCATAACCTAAAATCGAATCATTACGCCATTATAAAAGTGGTTGTGACCACTTCTCATGTAGAAGGTCAAGTTTGGGGTGACATTTACATAGAGACGCAGTTTGAAAACTTAAATGTACCTGTCCATTTCAAAATAGCTCCAGGTAAACTGGAAATAGGCCCTGATCGGCTTGTGTTCGATCAGTGCTTTCCCGTAAGTTATAAAGTTTGGTTTCATTTCCTATTGCTTTTTCGAAAACAATTTTTTTAGGCGAAAATATGTTCGCACCCTTTACGAGTGCATTCGACGTATAACGATCCGATGATTATCGAAGATATCGTCACATTGCCTCCGGATAAGAGGATTTCTAGTAGACATACCGGCCACATATTGGCCAGAACTTCTAAGGTGATTGGGCATTTGTTTTTGAACCCAGATTTAGAATGCCAGGCAGATTGTTACACTGGTCTGCAGACAGACACTTCAGGTAATTTTGAGTTCCGGATAATTTTCTTTTGGAATAACATTTTTTTTATCTAATTGCCTTTTTCCTTGATATAACCAACAAATTTTGTTAGGAAATTGTAAATAGCTTTCAGACCAGTCACGTATTACATTGAAAACATTATTCTTGTCAGTTAAAACAATTTTTGCTGATGCTACCAAAACACGTTATTAAACAAAATATAATTTGCAGCACAATGGTTGAAAACGTTCACATTATCAAAGTTTGTGTCAGACTTTGACTTGCACCTTGTCAATATATTCTATAACAGATATTTAAATCTTACTTCTAATGGCATGAGGAAATGGCAGAACCTCACACTCCGACTAGACACGTCCGAAGTTCGGGGCCACATTTTTAGGACGAGGGTAAAAATGAGCTGGCCGAGTCTGATCGTTGAACAGAATATAGAAAACAAGTCTTTCTTTGCATTCCCTTTAACTCAGATAGGGAATTATACCTTCCAAAATATCACAATTCGGAATCCTGCTAGTTATAACATTGTGGTGCAAATGGTTCTCGACAGGGATTATCCAAATGTTCAAATATTATATAATGGTTTACCATCTAATTTAATATCTCGAAACGTCCAGCATTACATTTTATCACATGGATTCTTTTTCGACAATGAATCAAAAGAAAAGCAGCTGGATTTTTTCTGGGAAATGTTGGGGATAAGAGTTCATAGGAACACCGTACCAATTTTGCTGTATCCAGGTCAGAGTTATTCGGTATATATAGGTTTCCATACCTACGATACCAACGTACATTCGGCCTTTTTATTGCTGCGTAACAACTTGACGATATTGGAAGTGGTTCAGCTAAGAGCTCAAGGGGCCCTTCCTTTGTTTAAATTTGGTAACCGCAAACCTGGTTCGTTACAGCCATTGACATTTGATATGACCGATAAACATTTGAGAGACTGCGAAAGACAGAAGCAGTATTCCACCTCACAACCCAACTTAACTGTCAAACGAACATTTACAGCAAGGAATATTGGGGATGTAACAATTTACATCAACAGCTTTCATATAAATGATTTGTTATGCGAAGGGTATGGATTTAAAGTGATTGATTGTGAACCTTTTGTACTTCCCCCTAATGGCACGAAGAAAATTGATATAGCGTTCACACCAGACTTAACTTTGACTAAAATCACCAGAATGTTAATTTTAGACACCAGCTTAAATATTCCCGTGAATTACACCTTGTATACTACAATTCCAGCGACTTATTTAAACCTGTGTGCCGATCTCATCATGAGACCTACTTGGGAAATTCATCTTAGTTATTTAACCTTAACGTTTATGTTTATGCTTAACGTGATCATTGTCTTCATTGCTATGATCGATGCCGAACGGATCAAGAAACAAGCAATGGGATCATTTATTTCTCCATCTAGCCCATCCGTTCAACCGATTTTAGATTTGCGGCTAGTTGGTCAGCAAACGAGAGAAGAAATTCAATCCACTAAAGGAGAAGTAGTATTCGACGACGAGAGAGACGAAAAGGATACAAAAAGTGAGGTTATCCATGATGAATTAAATGAGGAAGTGAAGCCTAAACTAGAAACTGAAAGATATACCGTCCTAATACCGGCAACAGGTAAAACAAAGAAAAAACTTGGAAAGAGGAACAGTAATGAACATGGTCCTGAAACTATTGATATGCAAGTACATGAAAAATCGGAGAAAAAAAGAGACAAGGTGTGTGAGATAAAACAGAAAATTAAAGAGAAAAGAGAGGAGAAAGAGAACATTAAAATAGAAGAGAAGGATAAAAAGCATTTACAGAATAGCATACAAAAAGATAAGGAGGTGAAGAAACAGCCTCTTTCCCAAAACAAAAAACATACCAAAAATACTATTGTACCTGCTTACGAAGAGGAGAGTTCGTCGACTACAACTGACAGCAGCTGTAGTAACAATGAGGACCCTGAGAAAGAAAATAACCAAAGAAACCAAAAAGTTTGCTCAAAAATTAAGCTCACTGGCATCAAAAACGAGAGTTTAAGAGCACCTATCGAAGAGAATCCCAATCACATATACGAATTGAAACACACAAGTTTAAACCACAGCAACCCGAACAAGTTTAAATACCAAAAATCTATGACAAAAATGTCGAAAACGAACGAAAAACATAACAAAGACCAAGAAGGTCGACATAAAACAAACGAGCATCATAATCACAACAAACACCACTCTAATGTACGTGACATTAAGAAGAGGGATAAACCTTCCAAGGACAGAAAGGAGAAAAATATGTATCACAAAAAAGGGGCTGACAAAAATAAACACTCAGAAAGACAAGTTAGAATAAGCGAAGGTGACGGTATTGAAAAACGAAAGAGTCCTAGTAGTTTTTATATCCCCTTACCCACACCAACTACAACCTCGTCGATATGGGGTGAGAGCCGTGCCAAGTTTAGTGATGTTGTGGCAAGAAACGAAAGCTCTCTCGGTTCTTCATCAAGCACAAATCGTCCGTTAGCGCACACAACTAAACAAATAACAAACAAGCCAACGATGTACGTGGAACCTTACAAGCAAACATCACCAGTGGAGTTGGGACCTATCGGTTCTAAGAGATCAGATCACAGGGCTTCGGGCGATGGTAACCGAAGATCCTTAAATGAGGAAAACCACAGACTGTTGGACGACACTTTCCGTTCACTAAACGAATCAAATAGTCGATCTTTAAGTGACATTAACCATCACATAACTGATGAAAATAATTATACACATGTAAATAACTTACTTCACGATTCAAATAACAGTTTTTTTACAAATGTGGATGAGATCCATTTGGAAAATAATTGTAAGGAAGGCAGTTACTTAGAGGAGTTTGCCTCGATTTCCGGTGGTTGGAATCAACAACAGGATTTGTCTAATCTTATTGAATCGGATATTCCAGAAGAGCAGTTGAAGTCTGGCAATTCCGTAGAAGGTAAGGAATATGTTTTTAACTGCGTGATAAATTTTTTAATTTCCATTTCAATTAAAATTATTGAATTATACCAATGTTAAGTAGTAAAATAATAAGTCTTGTGGTTACTTAAATTTAAAAAGATAAGTAACGTATTACTTATTTTTTTTCAAACTTTCTATATGAAGAGGAATATATGGATGACAGTGACATAGGTAAATATTTTTGTTAAAAGTATTACTATATCTTTTGTTATTTTGATAAATTTGTAAAATAATATACAGGATGTGCCACTTAACATTACTACTTACATTTTCTTAGAAAGTAAAAGATATATTTTTTAATTAATACTAGCGATAGGCTCAGATTCAGAGGTTCAGCTTTGCATAAAAATATTTTTTGTATTTGTAGTATATTATTTTGTAAAGAAATTTTTGGGTGTATATTATTTTATGCACATATTTTTCTACAGATTGATTACTGTGTAAATCGACCGTTTGTCAGGATATTGTCGATAATTGAGTTTATTTTTTTTTGGTAAGATACAAATAATTTTTCTTTTTTGAATGTTATACAGTTAAATAAACATTATTAACAGCGTAATAACCAAATTGTCATAAACCTTCCAGTTTAACTATAAGTGATGAAATTCTGTCATTTTAATTAAGGTGTCATATAAATTCTTGTCTCATATTTATAATAATAATTGTTTTGAACAATTCAAGTACAATTTGTCAAAGATTTTGGTTCGTGCAAATGTCATGAGTCATAACTTATTTTATGTTTTTTCTTTATTTGCTCTTTTGCTATTTTACAAATGGTTGTTTATTTATTTTTTAAATATATTTTTTCGTTGGAAGTGTTACTTAAAACTAATGTAGGCATATTAATTAATAAAAATATATCCAGATTGACACAAACAACTTTACATTTTTGACTCGGGCACAGCTGCATAAGAGTAGGAACGAACGCATTCAGCTAAAAGGAATAAGACATAGATGCCATAATTTTGGATAGCGGCTATTGCCAAACGCTAGTATATACGGTGTGTCCTGTTTTTTAGGTTAACATATCTGAAAATGTGAGAAGGCTGTGGACTTTCCGCAAGCCAAATTTTTTACAAATAGTACTCTGAAGAGAGATTATATTGTACTAATAATAATTTTATTGATGTAACTAAAGCCTGGCCTACTACGATTTTTTAAAAGGGTCATTTTTCCAGAAAGTGGTATTAGGTATTTTTTTATCAAAAAGATAATATTACCAGGGTATTCAACACCTTTCAAAATACCCATATACCAAATTTAAACAACAGATGTCTATGGAGTGTTTTTTTATGTGATGCCAAACTTCGAAAAATTTGCCAACTAAAAATTATAATAAGCAGGTCAAAGATTGCAATGAAAGTGAAAACAAGTACCAATCGGACAAAGAAAAACACTATAAATTTAACACTTTTAATTGCGGCCATAGTAAAAATAATAGTTAACATACAAAAAATGTAGGTAATACTTTATAAATATTAAGTTGTTAAACAATAAATGACAAAACAATCTAAATTAAATTTTAGTTTTCTCGAACTATGAACTCGAATTATGGACTTTTGGAGTTTTATAAAACAAAAAGTTTATAAAAACAGACCAGGGAATTTGGATGACCTAATGAATTGCATAAGATAAGCTACTTAAGAGATTACTCCACAAAGACTATGTAAATTATTTTTAAATTTAAGAAGAGCATTGGAAAAATGTGTTCGACTGGAAGGAGGTTTGGTGGAGAAAACTAAAACTTAATTTAGATTAACGTTTTGCAATTTTTTTGTTAAACTTAATATTTATAAATCATTACATTTTTTGTAAGTTGTTATTTAATTAATATAGGTAATTAAAAGCATTAAATTTATAGTGTCTGTATTTTTCGTTTGCCCGATTGGTATTTGTTTTCACTTTCATGGTAACCTGACTTATTATAATTTTTTTCGAAGTTTGGCTCCACATAAAAAACACTCAATAGACATTTGTCGTTGAAATTTGGTATATGGATATTTTAATGGGTGTTGAATAGCCTGGTAATATTATATTATTCTTAAAAAAATGCCTATTACTACTTTCTTGAAAAACAACCTTTTTAAATAATTGTAGTAGGCCAGGCTCTTGTCACATCAATAAAATAATTAGTAGAATATAACCTCCCTTCAGGGTACTATTTGTAAAAAAAATGGTTTGCGGAATGTCACAGCCTTCTTACATTTCCAGAGGTGTCAACCTGAAAATTGAGATGCACTGTATCTGACAAATGGTTGAATTTTGTAACTAATAGCTGTTTTACATTGACAATTTATTCATCAATAAATTGACGAAGTTCTTCATCAATTAATTCACGAATTTATTGGTAAACAGTGTGGTTTTACACTGCTACAGACTTTGTTGTTAAGTTTTTTGACGTATGAATCAGTTCTACCAATGAATCAAAGAAGCAAATAAATTTCAAAAATGTCACCTTTCTACTCATAATTGTAGTGATACAACAGCGGTACCGTTTTGACACATATTATATAAATATTAGTTTTTGTAAATAACAAATCAGTAAAAACAATGCAAAACTAGCATGACGCCACACAATTATTTACATATTCCAATAACATAACGTCATTACTGATCTGAGGCTGGAAATCTGTTGGATTGGTACTTCCGAACTTCACGAAGAAATTGACGAAAATTAGAACATGCTCTAATTCGTCAAGAACTTGATGAAGTTATTTGACAGCTGATTTGGTGCATTACACTTGTCCAATTTCTTGATGAAGTGACTTCATCAATTAATTGATCAATAAATTGTCAATGTAAAACAGCTTTATAATAAGGAAAATATTGTTCAACATAACTTTTTTGTTTTTGTGTGAAACTGAAGAACCTATTTGCACAATAATGCTTCCTACCAGTACAAAAATAAAAAGAAGAAAAATATGTCTTTCAAGTACTAAGGTGAGAGAGAAGTTAAGTGAAACATACTGTTATTACTCCAAGTTCAGTTTTGATCATGTTCATATATTTCTAATTTTATCTTTTTATGTACATAAAATTTCAGATCTCTGGAGTCAGAATTTGTTGAATTCAAACTCATACTGGAACAACTACAGTCCCCTACTCGGTGAAACGTTGATAAATGATACACAATTGATGAACGATAACGCACAGTCCAGGGCTTCCACACAGTCTGCAGGTTACCTCTGGGGTTCCTCTTCTGTGTGGCAACCGTGGGCTCCGGAAACTCCAAGAACTCCTACTAGAACTCCGCCTGGTTTCGATGAATTCCTTCAGAGAAAACGTGAAGAGGTAAGGGTAAGATGTATATACTTTTATATGGAAGCATACGACACAATTTTTTATTTTTTATTTTGGCTTGTAATGTATTTATTTATTTATTCATTTATTTATTTATACTGCATACATACAGCAAAGGAACAGTCCAATTACATGTATACAGTTGAGAAATGTTAGCTAATATAAAAACCAGTTAAAAATAATATATAAACAACCAGACACATGCAAAATACAATGTAAAAAGAGAACAAAGAAAGAAAACAAAAAAATGTCAATTAAAATGTACATAAAACACCCAATCGTATACATATCATGTGTCAGTCATGTCACCAGGCTTAGGATGGTCTTGTGATTTTGTACCATTCAGGTAATGAAGTTGTCAAAATTCTTGTTACCTTCATCATTAGGCTTAGTGCACTTGCAGATTCTAACAGAGCCGGCACGGGAGTCGGTGGCCTTCACAGCTGACGTTTTGAACTGTTCAGTTATTTACGGAACATTGTAGTAGTTGGTGCCATGTCGTTACCTTTGTTTTTTTTACGTCAGCTGTAAATTGTATTCGCCGTGTGTAAAATAACTATTTATAAATAGTAACATATTAGTTGGGGGGGGGGGGGGTAAAGTAAAATGCAGTTTGACAGTGATCCAGTTACAGGGACATACATGTTAAAGGAAATGACCTGTTTTCTACTGTGTGGGAACACATTATAAATTCTTCTGACAAAACTAATGTGACAAGCCATTTAAGGAGCGTTGCGACATATTTTCTGTAAACATATTAATATTTTATTAATATTTTTATTCGTAATCTGACTACAGTCCTGTTAAACTCCACGCCTCACTAAGCTTATTCATAATTATTTTTTAAAGTTAGCTTAAACATATGAATTTTTTTAATCTTTTCGTAATTTTCGTATCCACCACTGGATAGGCTAATGTAACCTCGAACAACCACACACTTTAGCCACATCCCATACTCAATTAGGAGCTACGGCATGTATTGTTATAAAATTTCATTTTTCTTAATTCGTATACATGTTTTTTCATATTATCACAGAAATTTGACAATGAAGACACATAAACATGCCGTACTGAAATTAATAACCTTATAAACTTAATAAAATACAACATGTAGAAAGTACATACCAACACCTTTTCATAAACCAATAAACTGAAAACTAAAATAATTGTAGGTAATAATATGACGAGGTAATATATTCAGTTAGTCTCGTTTTGCCAAATTAACATTGGTCATTTATTTTTTTGGAGTCGTATTGTCATATCCCATCAGGTTATATTATGTAGTTCACTCTCAAAGTCATTCATATCACAATGAAATTCACGAACCAAACACAGTGCTTAAAAAAAATTGTAACATATTTTTTATTAAAATTTTGAAATGATTTTAAAAAAATTTTCAAATCGATTAGATTAGTAGGTGTTTTTGTTTATTTTTTATTGGTAAAGGGTAAAAATAATTATTTTAAAACACAAATTAGTTAATGTTTAATAAATCATGAAAAATATATTAATTTTATAGAAACACTTTTTTTATGTTTTGTAGTTTGTCTACATGTACAAAGTAACTTGTTTTTAACAGTTCAATTGTTTTGCTGCGCTTAATTCCATTTTTAACCCAAATTATCAGACAAACTCTCTGATCCGATATTTCGCCACACAAAAAATCGCCAAAAACATTGAGGTAAGTGTTACTCATTCACTTGCTAAACACAAACTAAACGTGGCAGCTGCCTAAAAATTGACAGGTATATCACTGACAGAACATACACATAAAAGAATCAACTCGATAGACAAGATACAACACGTGCAATTTGAAAATTCCCATTACTTTTTGATCGCACCTTGTATACAATTAACTTGATTAAAAAAATACAAGAAATTACTTTTGTCCAGGAACCACAACAATCAAGAGAAAGTTACAGTCCCTTCAATATATGGACTCAACAGCAGACCAACCCATGGAACTACTCTCAAGGACAGTAACACATTTCAGCTAGGGTTCATGATTTTGTTGGGCCTTTTGCACTTATTCCAATAAATGGATTTTGTTTGTGTTTTTTTAAGACTGCATGTAATTTATTAAAATACTCATTTGTTATGTAGGAACCCTAGACCTACCTATCAAACTTTGTTTTACTTAGTAAACTTTCAACGAACATAAATGTTACAACCAACTTCTTTGATATACTGTCAGCAGTTCTCTTTGTCTATGGAAGAGATCCCTCAATAAATGTTACAGTGAGCAAGTAGATGCAGTTTTACTACTCAAACTGTCAGGAATTTTATTTATTTTTTTTCGTTGTATTCACTCCGATATCTATTGTTACTGGGGTTTCAGTTACTTTAAATAAATCGATTTATTTTTTTTTAATGGTTAGGTTTATTCAACCTTCTAAATTTTTATTTTATTTAAAGTTTTCATTGCAGGTAAGTAACTTAATTTTTGTTTTTTTTTTTACTCGTGTTACAAAATATTTTCAAAGGGAACAGCGGGAATAACTACATACATATTCGATGTTGCCAAATTTAGAAGTGGAATTCTGTGAAAAAAAATTGGTAAGTAAATATCTTCTAAACAAACATTAAGTTTGAGCCCAAACCAGTGGTGTAATTATGAAATGTTTACCTCAAAAATTGTTATTGTTAAAATAAAAATTATATTTCAATTAATGATTTCTCGACAATCTTGTAATCTTGATTTGTATACACCTATGTTTACATTACATTTTTGTAACCTACATTACTGTTATCAAACACTTCAGTAAATCAAAAATAACTTAAACTACTGATGTATAAAAAAGTTTGCAAATTTTTTCAATAGATACGTGATTTTAATTACATACAGGTTTTCCCGAAATTAATGCTACAAAATTTGGTCATAGATTCTTAAGACAAATTCAGGGGACCCGTATTTTTTATTTTTGCCAAGTGGCCCCCTCTTTTGGAGTTACAGCTCCGTGAAATCTGCCCCTAAGAATAGTCCTTTTTATATCTCAGAACCCTGTTGTATGAGAATCACTAAATTTGGTACACAGGGGTTTTATGACATGTGAAATCTGATAGTGCTACACTTTTTCGCGGGGAACCCTCCTAAGACACTTTTTCCTGGGCCCCATTGTCTTTGAAACCAAAAAAATTTGATCGCATATTTGAATTTCTTAAAAGTTATTAGTTCCCTAGAAAGCCATTGGATTTAGAAACTTTTTTTGTCTTGATATTTTTTTCGAAGTAGCCAAATTTAGAAAAATGTCAAAATGTAATCGAATGTATATCGTGATTCGCCATTTTTCTTAAAAACATTGCGTTTTACGAAAAAAATATTGAGAAAAAGGTTTCTAAATTTAATGGCTTTCTAGTAGACTAATCATTTTTAAGAAATTTAAATATGCAACGAAATTCTCGTACAACAGGGTTCTGAAATATAAAGAAAAGACTATTTTTAGGAGTGGATTTCAGGGGGCTGTAAATTTAATGGCTTTCTAGTAGACTAATCATTTGTAAGAAATTTAAATATGCAATGAAATTCTCGTACAACAGGGTTCTGAGATATAAAGGAAAGACTATTTTTAGGAGCGGATTTCAGGGGGCTGTAACTTCGAAAGAGGAGGCCACTTGGCAAAAATAAAAAATACAGGTCCCTTAAATTTGTCTTAAGAATCTGTGACCAAATTTTGTTGCATTAATTTCGGGACACCCTGTATATGCATTAATGGAAATTAAAAAAAATCGTGGGTAGTTTTGAATTTTATTAAAGATAGAGGCAAAATATCTGTCAGTTATTTTTTCATAGAAATTCGAAATACAATGTAAAATACAATGTAGATATTTATGAAAATATCATTCGTGTAGTAATTTTCCGTATTTTTTGGGCTATCTTGCTACCAAGAGCAAAATGCGATTGGCCAATGTTATTTTTTACGTATTTTTTGTACATTGTATCTTTTAAACTTTTTTGCATTTGCTGATTTAGATTATAGTTGAAGTGATAAAGGTAATGCATGTCGAAAAAAGTTTATAAAAATGGCATATTTTTAGAATACAGTAAAAGGCATTTTTTTAGAAACACCACCAGTATTATGAGCAATGATCATGACCTAATATCTAATCTAATATCCAGTGACATTGATTTCTGGGATTCTTACTAATAGTGACCCCCTGTGACGCTGCCACTGCTTAATATATGCATTTACAAATTCAGTGAATTTATTTTGATAAGTTATTAATTTAAGTTTCATCGTTATACCTCAAAGTGTTTCAACATCCTGCTGTAACTCAAAAACGACGCATATCCGAACATTCCTTCAGAGGACTTTTTTCCTGTTTGATCAATTAATCTTACAACACTTTATATTAACATAATTTTTAAATAAAACCATATCAACCAAAATTATTTATCAAATTCACCTTATTTTCTTTCATACCTACTACTTAAATAATTTATGACATGGTTGAACTGAATTAAGAATAATTTAGTTTCACTTTTATAAAGGTGTACTTGTAGTTACAATTTGAAATCGTTTTTATTGGTACGTACTTAAATTAATTAATGAGGAGAGAATACATTTTAGGATCAAGATATCTATTTTTAGATGGAAAGATAATTTTAGGTGTCCTTATAGGACGTTTCCTCTTTTAAATGGCATTGGAGTGAATATATAATAATTTTATATACATAACAGAAATTATATTTCCTTTTACTTATTTGAGCCTGCATTTTTAGATTAAAAAAATAAAATATTTAGGTATTTACAAAAAAAAATAAAGTATTTTTATACAATGGCTAATAGATGTGAAATTTATAAACATTTTAAGATTATTTCAAAAACATAAGTAGGTATATATAGGTACAGGGTACAGAGCTTATGCCAATTTATAATCAATTAAAAACATCATTACCATAAGTAACAAACATTATGAACTTCAAATATTAGATAGCCATAATTTTTTAAAATTATAGTAATTTTTTCTAACATTTTAAAATTTCTATGAACTATTAATTTTTAAATTTCCTATATACTTACAAATATTAAAATGTAACATGATTACAGTATTTTACACTTTTTTTATTCCCTTTATCTTTTTAATGATAATCCCATAAATAAAAAGGAGACGATGTCAGATTTTGGATTAAAAAAAAAATACCATTAAAATTTCTCAGAATTTGTATCTAACTATAAAAAAAATTGTAGCAGAGTCGAGATTAAAGTCGATTTAGGAAATTTAAGATTTTTAAATAGACGTGTTATACAGGGTGTTTCATAATTAGCTGCCAACCCTGAACAGGCCGATTCTATGATCAAAATTAAGTAAAAAAGTTCATGTGAACATGGGTCCGGAAATGCTTCCTAAGGGCACAGGGACCCATTGAAGAGGGAGGAATGGAAATCATTTTTTTGCAATATCTCTCAATCGCGTTGTGATAAATGAATGAAATTTGGTATACACAGCTAAATTTTGATGAGCAATTTGATGGACTAATCCATTTATTTCCACAAGGTCCATTGGGGTGGGTACGGGGGGGCCCTTGGTACTTTGCGTGTGTAACTTTTTCATCTTTGACTTTTTAACAAATTGGACAGCAAATTCCGTTTTCCCGAACTGTTTTACGTTAAAAAGGTACTCTTGTTTCAAATCGTTATCTTTAACGGTTTCTGAGAAAATCGCTCTTGAATTAATCCCACTTTGGTCAATTTCATAGTAATTTAAACAAAAAAAAATAATAATAATTTTCCTTTCCTCTCTTTTCCATTTAAAGGATTAATTTTTATTTAATTTAATTTTTTATTATTATTTTTTTATTAAAATTAGATTAAATTTAAACAAAAAAATTTTTTTTGTTTAAATTACTATGAAATTGACCAAAGTGGGATTAATTCAAGAGCGATTTTCTCAGAAACCGTTAAAGATAACGATTTGAAACAAGAGTACCTTTTTAACGTAAAACAGTTCGGGAAAACGGAATTTGCTGTCCAATTTGTTAAAAAGTCAAAGATGAAAAAGTTACACACGCAAAGTACCAAGGGCCCCCCCGTACCCACCCCAATGGACCTTGTGGAAATAAATGGATTAGTCCATCAAATTGCTCATCAAAATTTAGCTGTGTATACCAAATTTCATTCATTTATCACAACGCGATTGAGAGATATTGCAAAAAAATGATTTCCATTCCTCCCTCTTCAATGGGTCCCTGTGCCCTTAGGAAGCATTTCCGGACCCATGTTCATATGAACTTTTTTACTTAGTTTTGATCATAGAATCGGACTGTTCAGGGTTGGCAGCTAATTATGAGACACCCTGTATAGGGTCCATTTAATAAAAAATCCTTTGAACTTCACTGTTTTTTTATACCTTATGTATACAGAGTGTTCAGTTACTAATCAGCCTAACATCACCGATAAAATATATGATGAAAATTAAGATAGTTCAAATAAAGTTTTGTGGCATGTTTTAAATGATTCTTAAGGCGTACGTTGAATCAATGAATGAATCATTACATGAAAATTTTAAATGTGTTACCCGTTATAATTTTTACCTTTACAAATAAATGGCGTGATATAATTTTTTTTAATGAACGCCACGAGTTGTATTTACATTTCGTCTTGTTTATTTAGGTGCATGGTGCATGTGAAAGTCGGGTGCATGTTTTAGCAAAATGTATTAGTGGTTCATATGGAGCTCATTTCATTTCGCTCATTTCGTTTTGAATTTGAAAAGGAGCATTTCTACACCGCCTCCCTCAATTTTCACTGTAGGATCAAGAATCTATTGACGGCGTTTGGTCGATTAATAAGTGAACAGACTGTATATCGATTTTAATTAAAAATTATACCTATCTGCCTTATCAACCAGTATAATATAGTATTATTTTTCACCTACCAATTCTTTTATGTTATTTTCGAACAAGAAAAATACTGGTACCTGGAAAAATGATGCGAGTATACCTATACATAGGTAAATATACCTAAGCCTTAAAATAACTGCATCATAAAGCGACAACTATAAAAAATATCGATTAAACGAAATTACTTGTACTTTATTTTTATTGTTACTATAGAAACGTTTATTATAAACTGTCATATATAAAAATACTGATTTGAAAGTTTATTTTTTATTTGTGTTAAATTGGGCTTGAAAATGGAAAAACAAGAATCCTCGCCGAAATGTACTGATTGTATCACGTGTTATAAAATAAAAAATGCATACACCTGCGAAAATGCACGTTCCCCTTCGAGTGAAAATGAATCTGATATAGAAAATGTAACTAGTTGTTCATCCGAAATTGATAGTACATCGGACAATAACAACGATAATAAATATGCCAATGAATCTTTTGAAGACGATACTGATCCTAATACTGATAACGAAGAAAGTTTGGATATGAGCTTCGTTTTAAATGATTTACAGAGTAGTGCTTGCCATAGAAGAAATCAAACAAATAAAACCTTCTCTTCTGAACAACTACGAGATATTGAACGTACAAATGGGATCTTAATGAATAAAATTTTATCAAACAATAAAAGGGTTAACCAGTATAAGGTAGCTCCGAAAACCACAAATCTGAAAACGATATCAAGCGCAGCTATAAATAGAAAAAGGAACCAGGAAAAAATTGCTCGTGATAATCAGATATTGTTGAAAAAAATACAATCCGTTAGACCGTCTGTGATGCATAAATAATCAATCCTGAGCGTTGAAAATTCGTTAATAAATAGATTATTTTGTTAACAAAGTGATAAACATTTTTAAAAAATTATACTAGTTTTAATTTGTAGCAAATAGTACTTCGTAGCTGCATTACGACGTACTTTATTTAGTAATTGTGCTAAGGTCAAATCGGATGAGATAATTAATCTGAAATTTCAGTGATATTTAAATGACGCGCCCAGAGAACATGTGGTGAGCCGCTTTTACACTGGAAAAAACGTAAAAAGCAGTTATTAAACAGGTGCACTTGTGATATGACAGTTTCCAAAACTCTCCCAACCTTGAAATTTTAACTTTACTAACTGCGAAATGTCAAACTAAAAAATAACAGTAATTATTATGTTAATAAATTGTAGATGTAATATTTTTGTAAACTTTGTAAAAAAATTGTGCAGCGGTAATTTATTGAAATGCATATTAGAGCATTAATTTTTTGGCTAGTCTTTAACATATATTGGAGTGATGTATCATCAGATGAATATGGAACTACTGAACACGCAGACGGGCAGAGAGCTGCTAAAGATAATCCAAAAAGTACTTTTTCGAATGAATTAGCACCTACTATTGACGGTAAGACAGGCACATTACACTTAATACTATAACGTCCATTTAAAAATTATTTGATTTCTAGGTGCTTACGATACTTGCAGTATCGATGATTTTGCCTGTCTGGCTATGGCTCAAAGTGATAGACTAGGACTAGAAGCTATAAAATCGTTACATAAACAGTTGGATGATGATCAGGATGGTAATATAGATTTATCGGAATCTGATGATGTATGTATAAGCAAATTTTATTGAAATAAGTATTTCCTCTTTATTTAAGTCCTTTTTTTAAATTAAACTAAACCTCAGTTTAATATTAAATATATTTAAAATATTATACACTAAATCTTAACAAATCGTACAAAAAGATGCTAATTTACTGTTATTTATTGTTTACTTTAAAAAATTTATATTTCAGTTTAATTCCTGAATTATTTAAAACTAAAAGCTACTAAAACTTACATTACAAACTTATTAAGTTTGTACAGTTTTCTTAAATTATATGTTGATGCAGTTTTATACAGGGTATCCGAATTTTAATAGCACTGTCTCAATTTTATTATTATAAACTTGCAACAACTGTAACAGTTTTAAAATTACTTTTGATTTACAGTTTCTAAAAGAGGAATTGAAATATGACTCGGGGTATGAAAAAAGACAAAAAAATTTTCATCGCAATGATGATATGCACATTTCCGTTAAAGAATTATGGGAAGCATGGCTAAGATCTGAAGTCCATAATTGGACAGTGGAGCAAACGACTGATTGGCTAACAACTTGTGTAGAACTGCCCCAATATGCTCCCCATTTTATTAATTACAAAGTAACTGGTGCCAATTTGCCAAGGTAGGTGATTTTTTATATTTAATAGTAATGAAACTCATTTACTTATTATAGACAAATTATAACAACGGGACTGAGAGTGCCTATACATACTAAGTAACTAATGGATTTCTTATCTCTTTGAGAGTAATTAATTTTATGTTTATTTGGGTATTAGTTAAAAAATGAGTGATCTCTAGTCTATAAATCCATGTCTATTTAAAGCAGTGAGAAGTTGAATACATTTTTTCACTTTAGCATTGTCGTGCAGGAGTACCTATTATTTATATACTAATACAAACAGTAACTCAGTGGTTATCAAGTCGTTAAACATAATGAAATGGTAAATATTTATATGAGTAGAATTGATTAAAAATGTAGTCACGATGCACAGTTTAATTATTTGTCTCTGGTCAAAAAATTAAATGAAAAACAAGTTATTTTTGGATGAATTTTAATTCAACTATAGATTTCGAAGAATCATCAGTAGAAAACAAATATTCACTAGAGGAATGTTCAATATATTTTTATTCAAATAACTCGTTTTTGTGGAAAATTTTACACTCTTCTATATTTATAATGCTATAGGGCATCATGTGTATAATAACCTGTATTTTTAGTTAATTATTTTGCAGTCAGTGTGAACAGTTAAAAGAAAAATAAATAGATACAGATCAAAAACGTCCCAAAATATACATACAAGCTTTTTCTATATTTATCTTCAATTTGATAGACACATATAGCTATTGAACATAAAACAAATCAAAATTTCCAGGGATAATCTTCAATTGGTTTCATCTATTCTCTACCATTATCATCTATTATTAGTACGATGATTTTTGTTGACTTATAAAAAAAATCTTTTTGGCAAATCAATTTGCAGTGTTTTAATTTGTTTACATTTCATTTATTCAAATCAATCTCTTGAAGTTCATTTTGCCCATTAATGACCAAATCATGTTTGTGGTCAGTGATTTATTGACACAGGTGAAGACATTTTGTGACTTCTAATGTTAAAAATACTGATTGAGTGGATAACTAAATTTTATATGGCATTCAAAATAAAAAGGTTTTTATAAAAATGATCGTTTATTGATATTTTATTTTAAAACACCAAAGTTTAATATAGTTTCAATAAGTACTATGTTAATATGTAACTATAAGTCATTTTATTTTGTATTTATTTTACAAAATAATACTCTTAAACATTTTTACACAAAATTTGTGTATTTATTTTTTTCTTTAATAAATCACTACTTTTTAAAAGCGTTACTCTCTGTATTTCATTAATAATTCATTTGCATAAATGATAAGTTTATTAACAAATAATATATACATATTTATTTATTATAAGTATAACCATTAGTAGCTTTAAAATCAATGGTACGAGTATATAAAAGTTGTCACATATTTTTAAAATTCTGTACCATTCTAAATATGGGTTATTGTTTTATAAAGACTTAAAATCAATTTCTTTAAATTAATTGAATTAATTGTGTGCTTAAATTTAACTTTTTGATGGAGCAGAAAGTAATTAAAGATGTGAGATTTCATTATATTTAACTGTAATTTATGGTTGATGCAAATATGAATATTATTATCATGGAAGAGATATAAGTATATCTTTCATTAATATTAATTGTATATATTAGAATATTTTATTAATATTAGATTCATTGGTCTAAAATGAAATAAATTTGCTTAAATTATTAACACATATAAAAAAGTGTGACCTGTGTCTGTGGTCATCAGTAGAAATTGTAGCTTAGAGCAAGTCTACTGTATTTTATTTATTCTCAAAATTGAAAATTTGTATGATATTTTAAGAAACGGATCCAAAGCAAATGCTATTTAAAATAGTGATTTAATTTTTATTAAATTTTATTGTCTGAGCATTTTTTTTATAATAGGAAGTATTTACATTTGCAACTTGTGTGAAAGCAACTATTTTCACACTTACAAATTTGAGATTCTGCCCATTTTTTTAATCTAAAAAGCTTACCTGCTTTATAGTACTATGAAGAGAAACAAAGTGAATCAGTTAAATGCGGCCTATGAAGGAACATCCAAATCTAATATTTAGACTTCAGTACATTTGTAGGAGGAATGTTTCAAATAAATTTTACCATAATAACTTAGTTTGTACTAAACGTGAGTTTTCACCGTTGCCACCTTATCTGGACATTATTCATTTACATGTCTGACATTAATTTGTGTGTACTCATGCACAGTAATATCATTATTTTGTGGGAATGTTTTCCTGATGTATTCAATTTGCCACTGTTCTAATGTCATTTTAAATAAGTCCCATTATTAAAATTAAGATGTGTAATACAATTATAATTGCTTTACAAAATCCCGCATCACTATAGTGTTAATATGAGTTTTTTTTTCAACAGATTAGCTGTAAATAATGCAAACTATTTAGCTGTCCTTGGGATCAAAGATCCAATACACAAACAAAAAATTGCCTTGAAGGCAATGGATGTAGTTCTTTTTGGACCACCTAAAGGTAAATACACCGTTTGAATCATCTGTAGATCCATTCCTCTATTTACTCTTTTATGTGCTTATTGTGATTATTTTTTATCAATTTATTTTTTAATTCATCTAACCTTCATTGTAATTTTATAATTTGTGTAGGTTAGAAATATTTCTTATTTCTAATTAATAATTCAATGGAAAATGTTTTTTCGCATTTGTCTTATCATCGAAGTAAGTTGTTATTGTAATTTTTTATGTACGGTGTGTCCATGGGTTACTTACTGCTCACAAAACGAAGTGACATTTTATTTTTGATTCTTTGTGTAACTTACACTTTATAAAAATTTCACTAATTCGCTAGTTCCAGAGCATTTTTCAAATTCTCTAATAGTTTTGTTTCTCATCTAGTGAAAAATTGGGAGTAGTGTCTCTAATTTTCAAATAATATAAATAAAAATCCGAAATGGTAAAATGAGGACATTGAGGTGGTCACATATTTCTGTCTATTTTATCTATTTGTCCTTTCACCTATCAAAAATTTATTGTCATAATATTTCCCTTCTTATACAACTCTTATTCATAGTTGGTTACATCACACTTTTAACAATACATAGGTATTTGAAAAAATATAAAAAGCTTTGAAATTAATGTTATACCTATTATTGAAAATTCAAATTAGAGATGCTATAGTAAATATTCCACTAAGTGAAATACAAAATTGTTACCAAAAATTTGAAAAAATTTGACTGGTAATTAGTGAGACGTCAATTGAATAATTTTTTAGTTTTGTTTCTAGAATTATTATTTAAAAAACAAAATTATTATTACAAATGTCGATCTTGAATTACAAATAACTTTTTGTACTTTTTCTGTAACATTAAAAAATAAACGCTATCACATTTTTTTTAACACAAGAATGACTTCAAAAAAATTAAAAATGAAAAAGTTTTTGGTCCACTGCAATCTGTGAATATATAAAAATATAATTGTTTTCCAAATGTACCTTGTTATATAATGTTTTATATTGTTCATTTGGAACAAAAGATCTACAGCAAAAATTATTGTGTAAAAAATAATTATATGTTTTTAATAGGTCAGACTTTTTACAATATGTATTCTTTTAACTAATTTTAGCTGAGAGTAACTTAACTTACTTACTTTATCTTACAAAAGTATTTGCTCTTTTTACAATAATAAATTTGCTTAAAACAGAATATCTAAGAATTTTAGAAACCCCCCCTTCCCCAACTAAATTAGCTTTTTAAAATGCTTACTAATCTGAAGCCGTGAATTTATAAATGTATTCTTTTTAGAGTCTTCTTTACTTCATTTCATTTTAGCTAACTTAGTCTTAGTTGGTTTCAGAAGTAAGAGAATTATTTAGTAAATAGAATACAACTAATGTATCACACTGCCTTATTTTTAAATTACATTTCGTTATACAATTTTAAGGCAATAAATAACAGCATAAATTAATAAAGACTAGTAAAGAAAATTATTGCAATCCAAAAATAAGACGCTTTTTTTAAATGACAGATGTGCCTCACTGGAAAGATTTAACCTTAATATTTTTAACAATCGTTGGTGGCCTTGGCGTCTGGTATGCCTTTCAACAAAACAAAAAGTTCAAGAATCACTTAAATCGTATGAATAAGGATATGGACAGCTTGCAGAATGCTGAAAAAGCATTAGAAAATCTTCAGAAGGAATTAGAGGAAGCAAAGCAAGTTAAAGAATCTGTGATAACGGAAAAGCAGAATTTGGAAAAGAAACTCCAGGATTCCAAAACCGAACTGAGTTCACTCCCGAGTTCTTACTCTGATTTGGAGGTTTCGCAGCTCAAAGCTGAAATCGAAGTAGGTGCCTCTCGTTTATGCTACTTTCTCGAATTACAGACATTTCTTAACTACAAAATTGGTCTTTTGTCCTCCATAATAATAATTTATCCTTTGCAGATGCTCAGAACAGAGCTGCAATTAGCGGAAGGGGAGCTAAAGGACAGATGTTGGGCTCCCCCTCTTGGCTTGCAGCAGTGGCTGCAGTTAACACACGAAATAGAGAATAAAGCTTACAATAAAAAGAAAGTAGCTGCTGAGAAGCAACTTCAACAAGCCAGAGAAGCTGTAAGTATAAAAATGTGAGAAGATAAAAAAGTATATAGAATAATATTTTTTTTACCTTAAAAATGAATGTCACAACCACATTACCACTCCTTTTCTTAGGTCTTATTTTGATTGGTCACCTCTCAAGCATTTTATACTTTACTTACAAAATACACTACACTATCCGAAAACATGTTAAAAATACAAAAATTTTAAGGTTAGAGTACGTCACAGTTTCCAGAAGCTACTTCTTTCTTGTTTTTCTGTGGTTTCTAAAGTGTGGCCACATTTGCCGACTTTTTTCCAGCTGTGTTCATGCGTAGAAGTATTACACAAAGTAGTTTTGTATTCAACTATAACGATAACTAAAACTAATTATAGTTCTATTTAGTGCTTAACTTAAGTTAGATAAAAATCTTCTATTTTACAATGGAACCAAAAATTGTTCTCAAAACTAGAATTTTTTGTTTGAATTTTGTACTTTATTGCAAACTATGGCAATGATATGACACATGACAGTTTAATTTTGATATATTTGAATTAAGAAAGACACAAAAATATTCAAAGGAGACAGACGGAAGCCAAAAAATTAACTTTGGTTGAACTTCTCACAAATATAACTGGGAAAATCATTTTTAATTGACCAATTATGTTTTCCAAAAAAAAAGTTGCTGGAAAGAAGTTATCATGTAGACTTAGAGACGCTAAGCTTTAAACTTGGTAGTATGACAGTTGACAGTTAACGTTAGGTGAATATGCTAATTGACAGAATTTCAGAGGACAATGCTGTATTTAAGCTTTAAATGTTTTCTATTTCGTTGGTAGCTGCAATTAAGGCATCAAATTTTTAAAAATACTTATGCATTCAGTGCGCAATGAAAATATTATTTCTCTCACCTGCACTTAGTAGAAAATATGTTCATCTGATAACGTGGTAGTTTTCCAGTTCCTGATGTACAGTTGGATAAAAAATTGCACACGAACTTTACCCAAGTGTAAAAGTTCAGGTAACTTAAAAATGTTTGTCCAGTTCTACTGAATAAGCAGTTAAAAAAAAATGTGCGACATATGTGGATTCTGAAACTACTCTTGGTTTCAGTGCGAAAAGCTGAGAAAGAAACGATCCAGCCTTGTAGGTGCCTTTGTGTCAACGCACGGAAAGTCGATAGACGAAGTAGATAGAAGCATCGTAGAGGCTCGCACTGCACTAACTGAAGTGACTCAGGAACTGCAGGAGCGAGCGTACAGATGGAAGCAGATCGAAATGCTCTGCGGTTTTAATATAATTAATAATAATGGATTTAACTTCTTAGAAAATGTCTTATATCGTGGCGTAAATGGACGTGGAATTGGACTCCGAGGTAAGAATGTATAGATTATAATAAATGTTTTTTTTTATCAAACTTTAGAAACGGGTAAATTATCACTAAAATAATAATAATTCGATATACATACTACATTCGAAAAATGTTTACTTTTTAGTTCTAAGAGTGTTAAAGTTTCTTTAACCTTTCGTCGATATTTTCCAAATATTCATGTTCCATATTTTTAATTTTACAGAATTTTTTTAAAGGTAAATTTTTCAGTTTTGTAGAAAAGGGGGATGGTAGCTATTTGACATTATCTTTTTAAACATTTTAACATTTACGAAAACATGCTTTTAATTTACGGGGAGTATGAACAAAGTGTAGTTGCAGCATCTTATTTATACATAGAACAATAAAATACAGGGTGTTCCATTTGAAAAATTTTAGAAAATCAAGTTTGAACTTTCTAAAAATGATCGAATTATAAAAAATGCCCTGTATAAAATATCGATATTAGCTAATATAGGAGTGTTTGCCTAACATTTGTCTATAATATAACTCAAATATTTTTGCTCCAAGTGTTAGTAGCTGAAAGTTAATACAACTTCTTCGAGGTCATGTTTTTTCCAAAATTCGAAGAATTTTCTACATAACTTGGCAACCCCGCACTAAAATGTTAATCTGTTTATATTGCCATATATAGAATTTTCTCAGAAATCCATATGTTTAAAAATGTACAGGGTGTTCCATTTAAAAAATGTAATATTTGATGTCGCGTTTTTACTAATCGCCCTGTAAGTTTCAAATTAATTTTGCCCTTTAGGTTATTTGATTCTGTACAACTTTTATATAAACATTTTTTTGTATTATGAATAACAAGGGAGTTATTTTATTTTCTCACACTAATGGCCCATATGAGAAAACAACTCAAACAAATTACCTAATACTGTGATTGTTTTATAAGTTTATTAATGTATATAGAAAACATTGAAACCGTTCTTGTCATTTTTACTTTGAACAACATAGTTTATTGCCGAGCAGAAAAACTGCTTCTGAATTTGTTAACGGACGAAAAGACTTTTTTGTTGCATTTAAAGTAGGTAGTTGCCCACGAGTTTGTGCGCACACTAAATTGATAAAAAAATTTTGTAAATATACCAGGATCATAAAAGTATCAATGGAAAGGTATATAGATAGTTTTTTTATATTCGCCAGATTTCAACTTTCATATAAGCATTTTTTAAATTACGTATTTCCATGAGTTCTACATTCCGTTAAAGAAAATGTTTTAACTTTATATGTTTGGTGTATAACAAACAAATTTTTTGATATTTTACCTGTTCTTAAAATTTGAGCCACGCTATATTTATTCATTTCCGCTTCACTGCATTTTATAAAGCCTTGTAGTAATTGTGTTCTATGCATTTAAATCGTGGTCTTTTTGTCTGAAGGTCGCATGAGCAGCACTGATGACTTGGATGATGACACTGGGTCTCTTTATGGTAGTTACCCAGGTAAGACACATTCGGTTGATGATGATTCTCATCCTGAGTACTCAGATTGAGGCTTCTTGCATTTGATTAAATATCGTAACTGTAGTTGGATTTATGTAAGAGTGTTTATTAAGTTAACTGTAAAGTCAACCCTTTCAGTTTGTGCTTCCCACTGTGCGTGTTTGTGTGTGTGTGGCGGTGCGTGTATATTTAATTATTCTAACAATGTGTGGTTTTGGTTTGTTTTCTCTGTTGGATTGTTCTCTTGGTTACTTGCATACTTAATTTTTCTATATTTTGCTGAATTTTTTGTTTATATCGTGCTCAAGAAAACGATTGTCACTAATTTTTACAGTGTAATTTTTTTTAGTAATATCAATGTTTGAAGGCTGTATCTATTAGTGACAGTTATGTCTTTAATTTTTTTATTTTTTTTGAATGGGTAAGTATCGAAAATGGTATTTTATTTGTTGCAAGCTCATGAAATATGTTTTATTTATTGGTTGACATCTTTTAATTATTAAGACATATTGAAAATGTGAATTTATAGTTTATCATGCAGACATAAATTTTATTTACAAAATGAAATATTTAAATGTGAAATTACATTTATTGCATAATCATTCTAATATCTTACATCCACTTGCAATAAATAATATACTAATTTATTTAGCAAGAGAAACACTTATAGCAATAACAAAAATACAGAAGCATTTATTTGTTATTAATTTACATTCCTATTTTCAATGGACCGCATATAATCTCGCAAAATTTACTAAAATTTCCGTCCTAAATATTCATTTTTTGGTAACCTGAAGTTTTAAATTGCCACCATAAATTTTTTAAGAATGTTTTAAATATTTTAAAATATCACAACCATTAATTTGAAATGAAAACTGGTCATAGGAAGCTTTCCATATTTGGAAACTTTCCATTTTTGGGAACTTTATAAAACTTCTATCAATGTTTCTAGGAACTGCTCCAGGAAACTTTATATGTAAGTTTCTTGATGAAGAAGATATACAGGGTGTTTGTAAATAAGTGCGAAATATTTTTGGGGGTGGTTGGCGAAGTTATTTTGTGAAAAAAATTCATATAAACATAGGTCGAAATATACTTCATTTCCGAGATACAGAGTGTTTAAATTTAAATTTTTTATTTATTTTTATTAATTATTTTAAAGAGTTTTAAAGATATTGACTCGAAATTTGAAACACGCTTTGGAGGGATAAATGGGCATTTTCTTGGTTATCCGAATATTCCTACTTGCACCTGTGGCTTTCGTGCGAGAATGCCACAACTTTTTTAATAAAAATAAATGGTACGCCACTAACTTTTTCCCATTTTGATATTTTTTTTTAGAAATCTGCCATCAATTCTGAATTAAATTGGTGCCTTCAATTTTATTTTGTAGGATGCACCGTTTTTGAGGAAAAAAATAAAACATATTTTATTGTAGGTTTTATTAATCTTTTATTTAAGGACCACTTTTAATAAAGCATGGTCAAAGTAAAAATTTAACATTGAAAATAAAAAGTTGATATGATTGTGGGTAAAAAATTCTTCGATTTCGAGATACAGGATGTTCGAAACTCTGAAATAATGAATAAAAACAAATAAAAAATTAAATTTTAAACACTGTATCTTGGAAACGAATCATATTTTGACCTACGTTTATATGAACTTTTTTTCACAAAATAACTTCTGCAATCGCCTCCTAAAATATTTCGCTCTTATTTACAAACACCCTGTATAATTAAAGAACGATGATGGCATCCTCAAATTACTTCTTATTATTTTGTATATTTGTTAAAAACAAATTAGAAAAATATGAAGGTTTTTAAATAGAATATCACTAAATAAGAGTTCATATAGTGGGCATTAATATGTAAATCTCGTAATTCTGCATAATTACAGTTCCAAGTACCTTATATTTTCGAAAAATTTGAATATAAAAATGAATTACGAGGTACTATTTGGTTCCACATAAATTTTTACACATTCGTAATGTTTTGAAAACTACATAAGAAGTGCAGAGCAACTCTGAAGTACTCCATCCAGGAAATCCAGAACGGGTCATGGCATCCTTATCTAAGTTGCTTATTTTTAGATTTTGTATAATATCTATTAAATTTGAAAAAAAGTACTACATATTTGATATTTTTTGTAAGTGAAAATTTTTATAATTTTCATTTGAAAATTTCCAAGAATTTAATATAATGGAAACTACATATTTAAACTTTTAAAAAACAAGAAACAATATGCAAGTAACAAAATTTTACACCACCGTAAACAAATTTAATAAGAAAAAAGCAGTGATTAGCTACCATTTGGCTACTGGCGGGTTAAACAGAGCCCAAACTGCATAGTAAATATGCGCTACTCCTACTCCGTCTTTCAGTACTGTGTGATGGTAACCGTAACCACCGCTGTAAACACTTTCCAGATTTAGGGGCGAACTATGAGAGCCCAAGTATCCATTGTTTTTCAAATCGACCCGATATTGGCAACTTTACATGAGGCAGCCTTTGAGACATATCTAAGAATCAAATAATTTACAAATGACAACCTTTATTCTCACCATGCAAAGTTATCGTTTCGCAAATTAGTGGTTGTGATGTTACAAAATTTTATTTTTTTCACATTACAATTGAAAAAAAAATGGAAAAATTTGGTTATATTTATAGTACCATCTAAATTGGTGATATTAATAACTTAGAACTTACAAACAACTGAGTAATAATCTTAAAACGATCTAACTTTTTAATCAAACCAAAATTTTTTTTTTAAATATTGCTAATGGAAGGTGTATTTTGGAATTCATATAAAAAAAAAACAAAAGGTGGCTACATTTTAATAAGTACAAAAACACATTAACAATATTAAAAAATCTAAATATTTTAAGATCTGAATATTTTATAAAAGAATCTCCTGCATATCATTTATTCTGTTTGCTTTTTTTTCTCTATTAGAATATATGCACTTAATCTCTCTGTTTTGTGAAGTAACCTTAAATGTTTTACAAAGTATTAAAATTTCTCTCTTCACGAAAGGGTTGTTAGTTATGACCTAACAGTTTTTTGGTACATATTTTTAAAAACTAACCCCCTTTAGGCTAATGTTTCCATCAACTATTGTAATCTAATATGTTAAGAAATTCCACGGTACTTCATTTAAAGTACTTAAATGTTAAGATTTATTAGGTCCATCTAGATTTCTGCAGTTATACTTTTTCGTGTAGTGTATAAATTCAAAAAGCTAGGAGCATTAGTTTTTATACCTTCTTATTTTATGTAGTTTTCTTTGATTCCAAATATATAGGTATATTTTGATTTGTAATTCATTTTTACACCCATCTCCTTAGTTGCTTAGAGCTAATTTGTAAATAGATAAAATGCACAGGTAAGAAAAAGTATTCTAGTGCACTATTTAGTTGAAGGAAAGATAATGAGGTGTAACATAGAAAATAGGAAATCTATTTTATTACCTACTTTTTTCTATACTGTGGCGGTAAAATTAGGTCAAAATATAATAACTAGGCCAAATATACTTACTCCAATGTTGCTTGATTTGCAAATAATGAGGTGTTTAAATTGTTATTAATAAAAATATTTTTATAACTGCGAAACCAATAAACCATTTATCTTCAAATTTGATATGTAGTACAGTTGGTTTCTCGGTTACAAACAAAAATATTTTCTTTAATTTCAATTTCAAGATTATCTGGTCGCATTTATGCTTCTTCATTCAAATGCACCTTCTATACAGGGTACAGCAAAAGTCCGGAACGGCAGAATAACTCGGCGGGAGAGCAATTTAGAGAAGAATGTTAAATACAAAAGTTTCAGGATTTCTCCCTGGCTATCCGATGGTGACATTGACCTTGACCTTGAAGATCATTTCAAGGTCAAATGTGATTTTTCAAATGGGACCCTATACTTTTTTACCTTAGAAATGAAAAGAGAAAATCCACTCCTTGTTTGGTATGGGTCCTAGCATCTCCTTAGACTGACTACAACCACTGGTTCCCCACCACCAGTTCATTTGCTCCTGTTCCTGTACTTTTGTTAGTTTGACCTTGTGGAGGCCCCAAGGGCAAAAGGAAGGTGTCACTCAAGCTCATATCTGTACGTAAAATTTTCCGCTCTTTTCATTTCTGGGGTCAAAAGTATAGGGTCCCATTTGAAAAATCACTTTTGACCTTGAAAAGATCTTCAGGTCAAGGTCACCATCGGATAGCCAGGGAGAAATCCTGAAACTTTTATATTTAACATTTTTCTCTAAAATGCTCTCCCGCTGAGTTATTCTGCCGTTCTGGTACTTTTGCTATACTCTGTATATAAATATCTCTCTGCACTCTAGGCAAGCTTACATAATTTTTTTTTATAATTTTGTCTCAAGTCTATAATTATAATTTTATAAACTCTTAATTTATAGATTGATAACATATGTTAACATCTCATTACTTAAATTGTACAGGCTTATAAATTTGTAAAAAAAAGTAGCATAGATATCGCATGATGTGGCGTTGGGCCTGGTTTTTGACACTGCCTATATATACAGGGTGATTCACAAACGGTGACCAAAAATGAAACCTCATTCTTTGGTTAATTTTAAGGGGGGTCTTTCGTATAAAGTTTTTATCTAGGAAGCTTCATTAAAAACTAGGAAGTGAAATAATTTGAAATTCAAAATATTTTATAAGTTTAAATCCTGTATCTTTTTAAGGAAGCGTCCTAGATAAAAATCTTATACGAAAGACTCCCCTTAAAATTTACTAAAGAATATGGTTTTATTTTTGGTCACCATTTGTGAATCACCCTGTATATATGAATCGATATTGTTTATATCTTCAATTAATATCTGTCTGTAACAAATTTGTGCAATGAAAACCGTTGAAATATGTTAGGATTTATGTCCTGCTAAAAGACTTTTGCAATGAATATCTACATTTTTTTTTAGTTATATGTTTCAATCAAATTTGTAACATATTTCCACTGAGGAAATTTTGTTAAATATGGTTTGATTTAATATGATGGTAAGTTTACTGTGACTTCATTGGTTTAAATAAAGCAAAATATATTTTTGTATTAACCAAAGTTTTTTTTTAGTTCTATAATAAAAAAAACTCAAATACACAAATATAACATTACTAAAATGCGAAAATTTTAAATTAATTGGCTGAAAATAGAACAAGATTTTAATGCAAATTGTAGTCTATCCAGTTTTGTCAAGCGATGATAAATAATAAATTAGTCGCAAATTAATTTGTTTGTTAGCAGAAGCAATTGTTGTCTACCACGATAACTGATTTCAATTAAAACTAGCTACTCGTTAACTGCAATTATAAAAAGACATTTAATAAATCTTTTTGGTGTATCGACATAAATTTTACTTTACGCATTCCGTTAAGAAATTCCAACTGATTTAACTGCTTAATGCTTCACATTCAATGTCAATTAATAATTAATCGATACAATAAGCGGCACTCTATTAATCTTAAGTGGTTTTAATTATTGTTTTGCATGCTGATTTACTAACAAGGTGTAAGATGGCGCTGTATGTGTGCAGGGTATATGGACTCGGGCCAAATGTCAATACACTGGAAAGATGGGGACTCTTCGAGCAGTGAAACTAGTAAACAAGACGATGAAGGATTGCCTGGGGTGAATGATGTAAGGGGCTCGTCTCGCAATAATGTACAATTTTCTGTTGGGAGTGAAGTGTAAGTAGTGTTGCAATTTGTTTTTTGGCTCATGTCTTGGCACCAATGTCTTTGTATTCTTTATCTGTTTGATTATACCTAGTTATACAGGGTGGTCCTTACGTATGTTTAAGTGATAATGAGGTTCATTTTTTAGGTGATTTTAGGGGAATTCCTGAGACTTTATGTTCTAAACAATTTTTTGGAGGTGTAAGGCAAGTTTTTATAAAATTTCACATCTACACAAATATATTGAAATATTATTACAACTTTGGCTGGAAATTTAAGTAAAAGGTCAAAATTCACCTGATTTTCCAGAAATAGTTGCTAAAATTTGAATCACATGTTTAATTAACTCCTCAAAAACAACAATTTTATCTAATAACCTTTAATTTTTGTTATCCGACACTGGAGCATAAGTCAAAACACAGATGAGTTAATAATTAACATAAGAGAAATGGAAACATATTAAAACATTGTGAAAATGTTACTTAAATATTTATTTTTTAGTGAGTTGGTAAGTGTAATTTTAACGAGTACCAATATCTAAATGAAAATTTTCAAAAAGAAAATTATTGAAGAAAAGTTGTTTATGATATAAATATGTGGTTAAAATTTTAGCATTTATTTCTGAAACATCCTGTGTAATGATACCAGCCAGTGTCAGGGAGATTCTGTCACTAAGGATCCCCAAATTTTAATGCTACTGACAACGAGTGTTTTGGAAATTTGATTCCTTATCGTATTTCAAAGCAAAAATGCCCTTTTGTTTCAAAAACAAACCATTTTCGAATTTGTTTCCCATAAAATACGTTATAAGCTGAAATAATAGAAAATATTAAAAAATAAATAAATAAAAATAAACTAGAACATCAGACCATACTTAAAGACCATCTTTTAGTTGTTAATGTATATCTTGCAGTGTTGGTTAGTTTGAGAAATAGTATTTTTTGGAAATTTGGGAAAAACTAATTTTTCAAAGTTAATAATTTTGAATGAACAATATTTAATTTATTGAAAAACGTGAATGGAACGCTTTTATATACAGAGTGTCATTGAAAGAGGAGGATTTTTAGTATATAGGGTGTTTGGTAAGTCGATGCATTCCTTGCAGGAGGTTATGATACAAGTGATTTGTGATATATTTTCTTAATATACCATCTTCCGAAAACGCTTAGTTTCTGATCTACAGGGTGATAGTTTTAATAAAAAAATGCAAATTTATAAATATTGTGGAAACTGCTCAGAATATTTTAATGAAATTTTACAAGCTTTAACAATTAACAACAATACATGTTTTACGATACAAATATGGCAGGCGCACAGGCATGTCTGGATATTTTTAAAGAAAAAAATGATATGCCACTGATTTTTCTTAAAATAAAAATTATTTTTCAATTCCTTGTTCAATTTGGAAGAGAAAAGGTATCTTGACTGTTTTTCTTATGACACACCGTTTTGGAGTAAAAAAATTTATTAAAATCAATTTATTGCATGGTGTAATCTGGTTTCACTAATTTGAAAAATACCACAATTTCAATGAACATTCAGTGGTATGTTTTCTAACAATTCCGCCTAACTATTTAGTAAAAAATTTGTATTCTACAGAAGTTATTGGGTAAAATAAACATTAATAATACCTACCCACACATTTATTTCAAATCACAGCCGAAAATTTGTTCTTTGGTTTGTATGTAAATTTTCTACATCCTACAAATGTCGCTTTCTATAGTATTTATTTTTCTACTAGTAAACATCGCCTTGTTGCCTAGAACACTTTTTGTAAATTTTCACCAATACATAATATTCTATAGTGAAAAATGCACAATAACATTGGGAATATAAACCTTCAACATACCGTATTTGAAACAAATGAAATTCTTGTTCATATAATAATACTAAATCTAAACTTTCTGTGTAACGCCTGTAATTATCTAGTTTGTTCTGTGTTTTAAACAATGTTCTTGTAATTATCTACTATTTTGGCCTTGTTCTATTAGAGAAACAGATGTCTGTGGGGAAGGATGGAATTTCATCAGAATACATTAGGCATTACGATGCGATGCCTCTGCAGCATTTTGCTGGCATTCATCGTAGATGAACAACATTAGTAAGTTGATCATTGTCTTACTTTATGCCATTTTGTAATGATTTATCACTAATTTGATTTGGTTAGGTAGTGCACTAACACAATAATACAACTTAGGTTTCAAGCAGGTCTCGTGAAATTCCAATTCTAATAAATTATTCTGTGTTGAGCACAACCTACTGTAGCTATAACGATCAAGTATAAACTGGTTTTAAAGGATACGATACTTTTAAATGTTAAAATCCCGTTTGTTAAAAGTTTTAGGTTTTATAAATATTATTTATTTTTATACCTAGAAACAATTAAAAGAAAAATTTCACTTTTAATGACACCCTGTATATAAAAATTCACTTTAAATTAATTCGATTCTTATTTCCTCAGAGTTTAATCAAAATTTACAAATGTGAATTGTAATCTGTTTCGTTTACATTTTAGTTCACCTTGGCCAGAAGAGACGATCCAACCTTATATTCCTCCCAGAAATAATGTGGCAAAGCTTTCTTCGCACCCGAAAAGTATTAGCCAATCAAATATAGCAGTAACTCCTCTACCTAAAACAGCGCCAATTACCCGTTCCTGCTCTCAGGACATCAATATAGGCATTGTAGATTACGTGGTGCCTAAAAACTCACTGTCCGATACCTGCATAGATGCCAACAAAGTTTTCAAACCTGTTCCTATCAGGCCTATGACAATTAAAGAGCAACCGTCTATGTCAATAGAGGACGATATCTGCTCTACGGACTCGTCTGTATTGGATGAGAGTGACGGTAAAAAGAAGAAACGAAAGCTGTTTACCTTCAGCAAAAAGAGTAAAAATAAAGGCGACTGACTGTTAGTTACAAAATTAGGGTCACATTTTATTTATCACTAAAATAAATTTGGCAAATACCTTCCTTTATCTTTTTAAAAGTATTTTTTTTTTCGAATCATGTACAGAAACATGCCTTTTCTTTGCTTAATTTTATCGTTAGGTAAAAGCTTTTCTTAATAACAAATCTGATTTTTTTTTAATTGTAAGACCAGCAACCGTTTAATTTGGGTAGGTGTACTAGGGAGTAGACTAGCATCTTAAAATGGAGAGTTGATTAAAGCACAATACATATATCGTCTTCCAATCCAATTCAAAGTGTAATCTTTTTTCAACTTGTTTTGAGGAGTGTTTTTTTCTCCCGATATTTAATTATATTCCAGCTTAAAATTAGGTACTTAGAATAGACTTTCGGATTATCCAGAGTTTTTAATAAATATTTCTTCGTTCTTAGTTGGTACTTAAAAAATATTAACACTTTTTTTCTTACAATCATTAGTACTTAATTTTAACATCCTTTTAATGGTTGTGATTACATTAGGAGGCGTCTTAACTAAAAAAATCGAATACCCCTTTCATTTTAATCTCAGTATTTGATTTATATGAGTATTTACGAGACATTATATACTTTTTTGTATTTGCCTGGAAATTCATAAAAACCTTATGATTATGTCTTGAAAAATAAAATGGGGATTTAGAGTTCTAAAGAATTCGATCAAACTCTGGAGTGTCTCAAAGAATAGAAACGTGAATACTTTTTTGATGAATATTTTTTAAAATATATACAATGTTTCGACTTTTTTTTAAATATAAATTTACATATAAATTATTTATAAATGGCGAGTTTGGTTAAATTGAAATGACATAAAACATGTTTTTTTGTAATAATGGCATACATTAAAATGACAAAAAAATTATTGAGGGCAAGACTCGACGAAATTTGTTCTTATTAGTGAGAAATGCACCATAATTTTATTGCTATTGCTATTTTTTGACTTGTGATAAGGACACAGTGGAATAATGTATTGTGATAAATTTGTTTTAAAATGAACATAACAGTCAATCGTAAACTTTTCTGTAATATGACGATCTGATCATTGTGTTTGTAAAAGTATATTGGATTTAAACAATATTACATGAAGCGTGACAAGATCTTACAAAACGCCAATGAAATAAAAATTAATTGTATTACATTGAGCAATAAATATTTTATTTAATTTATAATATCTCGTTTTTTATGTCTCTTCTTACAGGTCAGTAAATTGTATCAAAAAAATTACTTTCGACTAATAATAATAATTGGCCATGCCAAAGATGTACAAAGCATTGTTAGATTTTAGATAAAAAAAATTCCTGCTGGATTTTTTAAATAAATCTAAAAAAATTGTAGCAGACTTGCAATTCTAAAGAAATTTTCAAATGTGGGAACTCTTGGAATTTATTTAATGAAATATATTTATTTTTACCAGTGGCGGCTCATCAGGTGACGCACCGCTTCACCTAAAATTTCCGTTTGCTTGTGCAATTTAAAATTATTTTTTATTTTATATAAATTTTATAATTTAGGTATAATTCTATACTGAAAATGTATTGTATTGTGTTTGTTTAATAAGCAGAAATAAACAAAATAGTTGCGCGGTGAACGCCTTCTAAAAAAATATTGCCTTCGTTGAGCGTGAACATCAACTTCGTACATACCATACAACGTATAGTATACGCAAGTGACGCAGATTGAAATCAGTCTGTATTCTGCTTCTCTTCGAAGCGTTGTTTACGGCGGTTGTCATGGCAACGAGTGATGCATGGGGGAACGAGTGATGCAAAAATTGAAGCAGCATGACCCATCGCCTGCCTTTAAAAGTTTATACGATATGCGTCGCCCAGTGCACGATTATAACGGTTCTTAGTTAATATTTTGTTTCGAATAATAATTGTAGAAATGTTTCTTATGTATGATCCAGTATTAATTTTATTGGAAATACCATTTTCCAGATGGAAAATTGAGGACAAAAAGGATTTTTTAAATTGCGAGAGACCTGTGCCTTATTCTCTCGATATGGAAAAAAGTGGAAATCAAAAGACGTGTACGTTTGAAAGTTTCGGAATTAATGGTATTCCGAATATAAGTGGTTGTGTGCTGTGTGGAAGTGTTCATTTAAAAAACTTTTCTGTATGCCGTATTTAATTGTGGTTGTAAAGTTGCGCATGTGGAATAAGAAAGGATTTAACAATTTTGGGAACGTCACGCGAGGCTGGCGTAACCACAAAGTCCCTTTGGAACATACATATACGGTGTGCGTTAATGTTCGCAGAAGTCCACAAGCCGAATTAATATTTCTATTTTATATAAAATCTAAATTAAAATCCTCACAAATGTCAGTTTTTCGGTAATATTGCAAATGCAACTAAAAATTTCCAGATAAGCTGTTTGACCTTGAAAACTTTCGCCCCAGCGCCAGCGGCGCTTTTTTCTTTTTCTTTTTAGTCAATCAATGAATATGCTTTACCTATTCTCAATGTACGAGCCGCCACTGGTTTGTATTTATTATGGCCTGTACATCGATAAATTTAAGACACCCTGTAGATGGTGCCACTTATTATTTTCTAGATTGTTTGTGGGCGAGTAAAAACAAATTATGTTTAAAATGTAGTGCTCCTGCGTTATTTTATTTTAAAATTTTACCAGGTTCATCACAGTTAACAATTTTTGTTGTAAAAATATGTCTTCCAAGTTTCTTCAAACAAAGACGATGTATAAGGTGTATCCTTAGCTAAAAGTATTTCTAATGCTTTCGCTTGGCATTTGCCCACATCCCAATGTTGATACCATGTGTTTTCTTTCTCTGGAGCTTTCGGTTTTGGACAGTCGTATATATTTAAGTCGTTATTTCGTTTGTTGTATGTGTAAGATTGATGTGTTCGTTCACATACAAAACATTCGAAAGCCAGTATGGGATGATCTTTTAAAATATTCTTCTGTAACAAGTTGTTTGAAACTTTCGACTTTAACTTGTGTTGCAGAAAACGTTCATACAATGTATCATTTGCATTAATTTTTTTAATTAAATTAGCAACTTCTTCCAAGCTATTATAATTCTTTATTAAAATTGCTGAATTGTTGTTTGGAAGCCAATCCTACAATACATATAATAAATATTCACTGTTATGACCGGTAAGATTTAAAAAAAAAATACCTCAATAGTTGGTGATCCTAAATATATAGGGACAGAGCCCACTATAAGAGGTCTCCACAATTTTTCTGTAATATAATCGTCACATACTGAATTTTCAAAAGCTATGATGAATTTATACTTTGATATAAAGCGTAGTAGTTTTTCATTGTAAAGGTCTAATGAGTATACTTCATCAAGCCTACAATGAAATATAGCAAAATTCAGAAAACTTTTAGCTTATTAACTTATAAAAACTATTCTAATCAATTACAATGAAATTTATACCTACTCTTTGGGGAATGATTTATTTGTTAAACACTTTCCATAACTATCAATTTGTACAAATTTTGCCAATTCTCTCACCAGGTAATCCCTACTTACAGGCGTATCACAGTCTGATTGAATATACAGTACCGGTGCTATTTCATCCAGATACTTGTTTTTCGTATCTACTGGTACATAATAAGTTAAATCTAAAAAATACTTTACACTCTACTACAGGGACAGGCTCTTAAGTAACGACTTTTATTTCTATATCTGTGAAATAGTTTGTGTTTTTAAACAAACTATGAGTAATTCATGCAGTATTATTATATCTTTGTCATAAACATTCGGTAGAACACAGCAAAATAGGAAATATTATTCATTTTTTTTTATAATTAATGAGAATAATAGTATAATGTGTAGGAAATACAGGGCTTCATTTTGTTATAAAATAAAACGTAAGTACAAATAAATAATGTGTTAATTTCCATACAAAATATTTTCATTTCACATTATTTTTGTAAGTATAAAGGCAACTTTTAATAAGCAATACAAATATTAGGTATTTGGTAATGATGATTTTAATACATATTTTCAACTTAATTAACAAATATATGATTATATTTTTAAATAAAAATATTTTTAATGATTTATCTCTATTTCTAGAATATTTAGTTAAAAATAGGTCATTATGTAATTAAAATTAAATGTAATAGTAATTTTCTTTACATTTGTTATATTTTTGATTATTTATAATAATTACTGCATACTGTACCCTAATTAAGAGAATGATCTTAAAACTGAATAAAATATGTACCTTTTATTAGCGCCAAATCCTCTAAATATTGTAGAGTAACTGGAAAGTCACTATATCTACTGAAAGTAGATGTTAAATTGAATATATTCTGGGTTTCCAAATATAGAAAGGGAGCGTAATTTTTTGGAGATTCTTCATGAAATATTGCCCATGGGATGGTATAATTCCTTGGAAGAGGAAAGTCATCATTCTCTATGTGACTACCGTAGAACAAATAAGCCTAAATAAACGTATATTTGAAATTTATTTGTTGTATTATTATTTATATTTACTGAATCACACAGCTGCTTCGCCAAATTTTGAATTGTTATGTGAGAAATTGGCTTTTATTATCCATTATGAAGTTTATTTTTTTATTCTTAATTTTTGTATAGGTATTAAGTTTATAGCCAACTATCATAAATAAATCATACATTATGTTAAAAAGAATACTACTAATATAGTACCTACTGAATTGAATTTTGATTAAAAGTAACTTGTTCCCATAATGAAGGTATTCATATCAATATACAGGCATACCTAATTAAAAAAGATATTTTATAAAAATTGCGGGGGTCACAGGCCTATAAATTAAGATATCTATACCCTTGCCAGTTGTTGATTCCCCAGATAAGTTTACACTATAAACTTACAGCTAATTCCCTACTTCTTGTACGATTAGAAGTCACTAAACATTTACAGGCTCGTTCAGAGCAGCTAATTAATCTGTCTCTTTGAAGACGAGTGAAATTTGTCCACCAAATTAAAATAGGTAAAGAGTGCCCATCTTCATCTTTTATATTTAAGAAAATGAATTCCTAAAATTATTAAAAATAATAAGAAAAGACAAAAAAATATTCGTGAAGTATTAACCTGAAAAATAAGGTGGCAAAATACAAATATAATTATAAGAAAACATAATGTCTTTAACTTTAAATAGCATACATAATGTAACATTTTATATTGCACTAACAAAGCACATTTTTATCTATTATATCTGATAATAACTATCGCTCCTGGAAAAAATAATCTAGAATAGAACAGATTGGAACTTGAAAGTTCACAAAGTTCAACGAACACGTTTTTTTTGCTCATTGGGTGACTAATGCGAACAAGGCGTGCAGTTACAAGTTGTGGAGTTACCGTTCAATAGTTTAAAGATTTAACAAGTTTTGCCTTCTCTAGAACTAGCATGAAAAAAGTGAATCAGAATTTAAAAATAATCTATAAATCACATTATTTCCTTTATAAAAATATTCATTCTAATTTCAAGGGGTGATTCAAACATCGTGGGTCGTGAGTGCGTTCAAATTTTTACGCCGTTTTGATTTGATGCTATGAATTGATATATAGAAAAAAGTTGTTTCATGCTGACTCTAGAAATAATAGGTAAATATAAGTGTAACGTTTGTCGGTGATCAACTGATCAATCTACCCAGTTGGGCCACTGCCACTTCTTTGGAATCCTGTTCGGGTTTACGTTCCGATGATGCCAAATTTCCTCTGTATATTTATATAACCGGAACTTATGAACTTTTAATATTAAAAAAATATACTTACCTGCTTCTTTCCAATTTAAATAATATGGTTCTTATACGATTAAAATAATAAAAGATCAGACTAAATGCACCTTCAAATACCTAGGTAGTTATAATAACGTAGAAAAAAGGTGTTGCCTTTGTTTAGAGTAACTATTTTTTTTTACGTAGGCATATATAGGCAGAAAGATAAAAAGCATTTTATGCAAATTAAAACTGTATTCCTTCCATTACTTTAATTAGGTATGCCTATGTACTAACAATGTAAAGAAACTTTTCTAAATTATGCAAATAATTTGTGAACTGGGCAACACTGCTTGATTTCAAATGTCGCTCAACTTCTATTAAATTTTCAGGTACTTTTCTTTTAAATTTATTGTTTTTATGGTTATATGTCATGTTATAGGTGCAACGAAGAATCGAGTCTAGGTAAATTGTTACTGGAATGTAGTGAACCAAATTTTTGTACTTGAATTTTTTAATGGTTGATTGTCGGTTCAAGGTTCCTTTTGTCGAGGTATAGTGGGGGTTACCGGTTGCTTTGAAATTTTTTCTCTTTCTCGTGGTTGTCGCCGCTGGTGAAGCAGGCATTTTATTGTTCAACCATCTTTATTTCCCGGCAAAAAGGTAGTAAAGATATTCAGTGTTTTTTTAATAGTATTTTTTAAGGCTTTTTTATTACATTATATTGTGAAGTTAAGTTGGCCGTGAAACATTTATTGATGCTAATTTGTTTTATAAATTAAGTCGCAAATTGATAGTAATTTTGACATTTTAATTCTCTTTATTGTGCACGTGTGTAAGGCAGGCTGTAATTACTTGCAACATATTTTCTTAGAGTAATTGGTTATAAATCTGTTAATCTAATAACTATACAGATAATAATCGTGTTACATTCCAATTTAATTAAATCCTTTGTTGTAGCAAAATGGCAACTGAACATGATCAATCTGGAGACTGTCCAGATGATTTGGAATCTGTAGAAGAGGAGGAAACTGGACAAGAAATTGCTAATAGGATTTTAGAATTCCCAAATGTCCTATCTGCTTTACAAAGCCAACGAAATGCTGAAATGTTAGCACTTCTCCCACCTGCTGTGAAACGAAGAATAAAAGCCTTAAAAAAAATTCAATTGGAAGCCACGCATATTGAAGCTAAATTTTATAAAGAAGTTCATGATTTAGAATGTAAATACCATAAGTTGTATGTACCATTGTATGAGAAGAGAACTACAATCGTTAATGGAAATTATGAACCAACCGAAGAGGAATCTCAGTGGCCGTCTGACGATGAAGATGAACTGCCTGCTGCGTTAAAAGAAAAGATAAAATTGGAGGAAGAGAAAGAAAAGAAGGAACCAAAAGATGAAAAAGGAATTCCTGATTTTTGGTTGACGATATTTAGAAATGTTGGGTTATTGGCTGAAATGGTGCAACCGCATGATGTACCCATCCTTAAACATTTAACTGATATAAAAACGATTTGTAAAGAGGATCCTATGGTAAGCTTTATCTACAATAAATTTTACTCTAAGGGTGAATTTGTATATGGAATTTATATTAATTTAGGAAGGATCAAAAAGGCTATCCATTCTTGATTAATCATATATAAATTTAAATCTAGGCATGCATATATTTTCTACAATTGGTTTTAAAAAATTACTTCCTTGATTTTTGTTTTCTGTAGACCCTAAAATATCCGTTGTTAAATTGTACTAGAAAGTTTACTTCATACCTTAATCACAAATAAATTGTTTTTCTTGGAAATGGGGTCTCATAAATAGTCGAAATTATAGAGAAGTATCAGTTATAAATATATCTGTTTATTCGACCTGACATTTAATCTTAAACTGTAAATAAGATAATTTTAGAATAAGCGCGGTAATAAGTAAAGATGTAATACCTAAATATGAATAATAAAGATGCATCATTTAAAAAAATTATAAGTAGACTTCAATCGAAACATTTTTAATTTTTCAATTTTTTATAATGCTGTTTTGCTATATTGAAGACTAACAACAAATAATATTGAAAACATAAGGAAAAAAATTTGTTAGAATTATTTTTATTATTTATACAGCTTGACCAAACTTGTCTTATCTGCAAGATGCGCAGATCAAAAAGAGACTCCGCAGTAGGAGTGACAAAGATAGCACACCTTAATATTCCTTAGATACCTTCTGTGCAAAGATTTTCCTTAGATATGGTAAATATAGTTATTTAATGAATGTTTTATATAATATATTATATGGGCAAATTACCTTCTCCCATCTGAAACTCGTGGACAAGATTAATTTGGACAAGCCCTAACGTACTTGATTAAATATTAATTGGTTTTTGCCATACAAAAAAAAAATATTTTCATAATAAAATACTGACATAAAGTTAAATAACATTTTTTTTTTGTTTTGTTAACGGTAAAGTAGGTATCCATTTTAATGAGACTAAATATGGAATAGGGCTATTACCCTTTTAATTTATTAAAAAGTGTCAAGCCCAAATGTATTAGTCATTCCATAAACACAATAGTAGTTATTTTAAATGATTAAGCTTTTGTCCTTTATATTCTTTTTTAACGAACACAAAATTCATATTTGACTAACACTGGCATCGTTAATACACAAATACATATACTTATTATGCCCACAAAGCATAAACTGTAGAGGTTTGCCTTTGCCCTTCAACATTTATTGAAAATATTTTGTACTAAAAATTATTCAGGGTCAATCGTTAGATTGACCTACTTTGAGAGGTCATTAACCCTATGAAATATCGACAATAGTACTAAGATAAAATATAAGTGTGTGGTTCAAAATAGAATCCAATTTTTGAAAAAGAAAACATAAAATTCCTAGTACATAAAACTGCCACAAGTCAAAATAAATTGATTTAACAAAGTTTACCTGTATCTAAAATTGTTCTGTATAGCTAAAAGGGGCAACGAAATTGTTTTTTTTTTTTCAAATATCCCTAAAATATTTTGTCCAACTTAAATGAGGTTTGATAATGCTAGTACCTGTATGTAGATGTCACTTTTTGTCATGGTATCCAAAGAAAGTGTGTTTACAGAAATAACAAAATTATTTTCATTCAGCAAATATTTTCTTTCACCTTTTTTGTGTTTGTAATGACGACATAAAAAATGTGATTTACACAATAATAGAAATGATTATTGCTTTCTGTTCATTTCAGAAACTTGTAATGTTCTTTCACAAAAATTGTTGAAAAACTACTGTTTATAATTTGCAGAATGAGAAAATGAGGATATTTTTTTTGTGGAATTGTATATCACTGAAAATGGTGATTGCAACAACTTTGTACAGAACATTTGATTACAGGTTTTTAACTACACACAGCATTATTCCTCTTTTGTTATTAAATAAGTCCAATTTTTGAAGAAAATTATTTCAGAGTTGTATAAAAAATTTGTTGATGATTAATATGACAATTAATTCTGTGAGAATTGTTACATATACAGAGCCTTCATAAGCCACGTGACCAGTAATTTTGTTTAGAACAATAATTTTATATACTTCATATTGGCAATTAAAAATCAAATAAAAATTGAAAATTATTAAAACAACGAGATATCAAGGTGACATTAAAACGCAACAATCTGTTTCAATAGCTGGGATTAGTGTAATTTTTCATGAGATTGTATTAAACCAACCAACGATTGCATTGTGTCGAGCATAGATGTAACGTTTTGTCATTGTTCATTGTTAATGAATCATTAATTTTGGTGATTTAGTGAAGATTTAGGGAATTTTCGTTATCAGTACCAGTCCTGCAATATTGATTGCCTAAGCTCGGTAGTCACTTACCATGTAAACATTTATGAAGGCTATGCATAAAACTTACAAAAAAAAAACTTGAAAAAAGTCATTAGATTTTTGCTAACTGAAATCCTAAAATCATTCATAAAAATATGTGGGGTATTTTTCTTATTTTTGTAAATGCAATTACTTAAGTTGTGTGAAAAACTTACATCTGTTATGGGATATACCTTTAATTTGTATAATTGAAAAACTGATAAAAGAAATTTTATTCTCATAATTTTTTGATATTGAAAGGTCCTATTTACATGGAATATTGGAACACCATATTTAATTTATTATTATATCATGTGGTTTGTATTATTTGTTAATTTCATACAGTTTTTAGTTAATATCTAGGCATCAGATAGGTAATTTTTTTTTTAATTTTTAGTGGTCGTAGAATGAAGTGTAACCAGTTTATCTAATTACTATGATTTCCAAATTTTCATGAGCCAAAGAGTGACCGCAAAAAATCTATGATTTTCACCCGTTTCTTCACAATTCGCAGAGAATTTAAAAAAATACATAAAAATATGTTTTTGGTCGCAAATTACTTGTTGCAAAAAACTGAAATGAGCATAGTTTTAGTATTTTGAAAATTTTAAAAATCACCCCTACTTAGGGGTTGAAAAAATGACAAAAATGAGAATAAATCTTTCTTTATACCAAGAATCATTCGATAGAAAAATTCACATGCTAATAGTTTTTATATTTATTGGTAATATTCAATTCTTCATTTTGGGCATCTTTTCAACCCCTAAATAGGGTTGATTTTTGAAAATTTTCAAAAACAGCTCATTTTAATTTTTTACGAGTAATTTGAGACCAAAAACATATTTTTTATCTATTCTCTTTAGTTCTCTGCGAATTGTGAAAAAACGGGCGATTTTTGTGGTCACTCTTTGTTTTCCGATAAATAAATGCCTATGCAAATCTTGAAAATGATCTCTGCATTACCGCTTATAATGGGGGCAAATGTAACATATTTCAATGTTAACTGCTGTATTTTTATTATGAAGAATTAACTAATCGGTAATTTCTGTGGTTTTTCATTCCACGATTTTCCTGCTATAAGCCCCACATTTTTATTAATGTTTTTTGATATTTAGAATTCTTATGTTCCACATGACATTTTTTTTTGAATAACCAAACTGAGATGTCGAAGCGACTTTGTCTATAGATTTAGGGATATTTTAGTGCAGTGACTTCAGGTCGCATTGGCCGCTATTTTATTGTGAAGGAGGACACACTTCACAAACTATGTTGATTTGCACCATATATGGCATACACAGCACATCTGTCTGCTATCTATATAGCACCGAAAATTCTGCTTTAAAACTCACAAACTTTGTACTAATATAATACTTATATTCAACTTAGTCGCACACGCCAATGACTACCATTCTTTTTATCGTTTGTCTACCTAAAAATTTGATGCTGATTACCATAAAGATATGTTTAAAAAATATTCTATTCAGAAAAACTTTTGTTTTCAGAATTTTACTCTTGAATTTCACTTCTCTCCAAATGAATACTTCACCAACACGGTCCTAACGAAAGAATATGAAATGAAATGTGTGCCTGAAGAGGACGACCCCTTCAGTTTTGAGGGCCCGGAAATCTACAAATGTTCCGGTTGCACCATCAACTGGAACAAGGGTAAAAACGTAACCCTTAAAACCGTGAAGAAAAAACAAAAACACAAGAGCCGCGGAGTCGTGCGTACTGTTACAAAAACGGTCCAGAATGACTCTTTCTTCAATTTCTTCACCCCACCAACTATTCCAGAGAATACTAAAGAAGAAGATGTCGATGAAGATCTCCGCAATTTACTTACTACCGATTTTGAAATTGGCCACTATATAAGAGAACGCATAGTTCCACGTGCGGTGCTTTTCTTCACCGGTGAAGGGTGCGAAGATGAAGAGGATTTCGAAGAAGAAGAAGAGGAGGAAGATGATGATGAGGAAGAGGATTCCGATGGCAAGGAGAATACGAAAATCAGCAAGGATCAGAACTGCAAGCAACAATGAGATTATTTAGTTAGTAATTCCTGTGCTTTAAGTAACTGGAGGTATTTAAAACTCTTCCATTTTTGTATTCCTAGCTTTTGTTATTCCTGTCTATTTATTTTAATACGTAAAATTTTTACCAGTTGTCTGTAATATTAAATTTGGGATATATATTCAATGGAAACTGTTGCGATTATGAGATATAATTTATGGAAAGTTGTACCGAGCATTTATGAGTTACTAGCTTCTACTCTGTAATGTTTCCAAATTTATTTTGTAATTGAAGGAGTAAACAAAATAAAATTTCTTACACATTTTCTTTTTTGTTTGTACCAAATGTTTGGATATTAAATAAATTTGCATTTTTTAAATACGATAGCCAATTATCTTTTGCGGTTAAAACTGGTATTTCCCTATTCCGTTCCCATTTTTGTCCTTTTCAGGAATTAGTTGCCTATTTTTTCACTATGACCTTAATTCTACCTAATTTCATCAAGAAGTCCTTTTTCCCCCAATTTTATAATCAAACTCTTAATAGAACACTGGTATATAATTTTGTTCTTACAAATTAAAGAGAACACAATTCGCGGAGAACTAAAGAAAATAGATAAAAATATGTTTTTGGTCTCAAATTACTCGTAAAAAATTAAGATGAGCATAGTTTTTAGTTTTTTGAAAATTTTCAAAAATCACCCCTATTTAGGGTTTGAAAAGTTGTCCAAAAAGAAGAATTGAATATTGCCAATAAATATAAAAATTATTAGCATGTGAATTTTTCTATCGAATGATTCTTGATACAAAGAAAGATTTATTCTCATGACTGAAATAAGCATGTTGAATTAGAAAATCCACCCTTAAGCGTGCTCAGGGGGTGGAATCATTTCCAAAAATAGAGAATATCGAATATAAAAATTTCAAAAAAAATATATTAGATAATTCACCTGCTAATAGTTTTTATATCAATTGGTAATATTCAAATTCTTAATTTTTGGCATTTTTTCAACCCGTAAGTAGGGGTGATTTTTAAAATTTTCAAAATATTAAAAGTACAAAGTAATTTGTGACCAAAAACATATTTTTATGTATTTTTTTTTAATTATCTGCGAATTGTGGAAAAACGGGCAAAAATCACAGGTTTTTTGCGATCACTCTTTTACATAAGGATATTTGTGTAGAAATGAGAATATTGTTTTCTATTTCAGAAACGAAAGTGGAATTCTAATCTTCAAAATAGAGAAAATTGATAATCTCAATTTTATATTTAAAATTTTCATTAGGTATATTTTTTTTTTGCTTTGATAAAATTAGTGAGGGCAGTCACAAGTGACCAAAGTCAATGACTGCATTTGAAAATTACCAAGGAATATTTAAATTGACCAATTGTCTATATTTCAATAATTCAATAAAATCATTTACCAATAATTATTTTTTTAAAATCGATAAAGTGTAACCTCCTGATTTAATCCAGATCAAAAAGGAAAAAAGTAATAACCAAAGGTCAGGAACTAACATCGTAAAGTGAAAATGTATTCTTCCGCTAATAGTCAAATGAAAGTGTAAAATGTCTCAGATTATATTAAGTATAATCAAAATATTACTCTTATTATAACCATTTCATTTCAATTGCAAAATATGAAAGTAGATTGCGTTCATTGTCACCCACCAACTTCAGATTGAGGCGGAATTGGATGCGCGAACCAGAGAACTGGCCCGCTATTTAATCATAAGCAAATTTCCACACCACCCACCTGGAGTAAAAAAATAATAACAATTGTTTGAAGCACTTTTAAACGATTTTAAACAAATATTTCATATCAGATCAGTATTTTTGTTTTTTATTGTGCTCGTTTTTCAAAACAGCAAAAATTATAATCTTAAAACATTAATTTTATTTACAATTAATTCATAAAGTATCTACGTACCAATATTGGTTAGTACTTAGTAAATCATGTAAAAATTTATAATTTTTGAAAAATTATTTTTTCAGTGTTCGGCACTTCGTTCACTGACAAAAAAATGTGTTATATTAATTTTTCATTAGTAACACGACGTACCAATATTAGTTAATATTTAATAATGTAAAAATTATTTTTCATTTTTACAAACTATCGAATGTCTTTTTTATGTTCGATGCTTCAATCACAATGATATCAAAAAAATGTGATGACTTTAAAATAATACATGGCTAAGTTATATCAAAGCAATGTGTTTCACTAAATTATTTTTCATTGTAACTTCATACAATATGGGTCGACTTAAAAACAACTGGCAATGCTGGTAGTGCAGTAACACGCAAATTAAGGTGCCCCGGTTTACACCTCCCAGTAGCAGTGTACACAAGAATTGAAGTGCAGTTTAAAAAACTAATTATAACTACTATTTGAAAAATTCAGGGGAACCCCTAAACAACGACCCCTACTAAAAATTTCGCCCTGTATATACAGGCTGTTACAAATTCGCTTCTCACTACTGGGATCTTGGAAACGGTAAGAGATACGAAGTAGCTTAAATGGGGACAAAGTTGCGTAATCAGGGGACCAACATTATGCCTCTAAAAAATCAAGGCTAACATAATTAATTTTCGAAATTTTTGAAAAAAAAACACTGGAAATCCATTTTCGTTTCATTTCATTCTTGTTTGAGGTGATATTGAAAAAAGGAAAACACTATCTCATGATGACTTTTTGCCTTCTGTCCAATGGCATAATTAATTTGTATAAGTAACGTCTCAGGACCACCATCAACTTCATCTTTTTAAATATGACTGGAAATTTTATTACATTTTTTGCAAGTCTTTATGACTCCCAATAGTCCCAATACGGTACTGCCTCAGCCCAAACCAGATTCAGACGTTTTGTCGCGAAAAATTTATCTTCAATGTATTCGTTCCAAATTTATCAAAATTTTGTATTTTGATTTCTATGTTTATTGAATTATCATACACTCTAAGTGTCTTTAGACCCTGCAAAATCCACATAGTAATGTCATTATTCCAATTCTTAAAAATGCATATGAACAACCAAAACTCCAAATGAATATTACACCTTAAAAAATTACAGGAGATAAATGTTCAAAAACATTTCCGTTTTGGCAAATAATATGATCGGAATTTATTATACGTGTAACCGCAACTGTGGAAGACTATGTCAGATGTAAATACATCATACAAATACATACATTCATACAAATGTATGAATCTCCTGAAAAAAATTAGATTGAAATTTGTTTGAATTTTGAGCACTCGAGAAACCTAGAAATAACTATGAGCACGGGATGAAAACTTTAATAATGTTTTATTGTAACATGTGACGGCTTTCACAGGGTCTAACGACACTAAGACTGTACGGTAATTCAATAAACATAGAAATCTAAATAAAAAATTTGAAACAATTGGAACTGTTAACGACTGAGTGGACTGTATGGTTATGGTTGTAATTAGGTCTAATAATGCTTCCCAATGTTCTTTAATATTTATTACGGAGCTCTCATCACTGTGAACGCTACAAGCCAACTGAACTGGTCTCTGCGGCGCAGCGCAGTTGCATATCATTAATTCTAAAAAAGTCGGGCACAGGAACGAATACATTAAAGATGAATTTTTCGAGACAAAACATCTGAATCTGGTCGGGCTGAGGCAGTACAGTATTGGAGGCTTGCAAAAAATGTAATAAAATTTCCAGGGTCGTATTTAAAAAAAAAGTAATTGATGATGGTCCTGGGGAGACGAAACGTTACATATAAAAATTGATTATGCCATTCGATAGAGGATAAAAAGTTGCTAAGAAAAAGTGTTCTTATTTTTTCAATATCGCCTCAAAACAGGGCTGAAATGAAACAAAAACGGATTTCCAAAATTTCGGTTTTCAAATATTTCGAAAACTACTCACGTTAGCTTTGATTTTTTAGAAGCATAATGTTGGTCCCTGATTATGCAACTTTGCCCCCATTTAAGCTAGTTCGTATCTCTTACCATTTCTGAGATCCCTGTAGTGAGAAACGAATTTGGAACAGTCTGTATGTTCCGAGTAAGAATGAATTTTGTAAAAAAAATTATAAAATAAATGAGGATTAAAACAAATACATAAATCTTCAGTCTGTATCTCAAAATGAAGAGGGCTTGGAGACTGATATTTATATGAACTATGTTTTTTTTTTTGTAGAAATTTGTCAGTGGACAACTTGCAACTCCCATTACATTCCTTTGACACAAAAAAATGCCAAAATTTCATGACATCTCCCTGAACGTCCTGAATAAACAACATCTTGAATTTTAAACCATTGCAATATAGCATAAAATTTTTATACCCACAGTATACAGGGTGATTTCCATTTAAATACAGAAACTGCAGGAATAGATTACTTATCTCATGTTATGTAAATAACCAAAGGAGATGACTAAAGATATCTATCTTTATCTAGATTAGTTGCCAAAAAATAAGTAGAATTTGTTCTATAAACTTTTTTCCTGGGGGACGTGGTATTCGAGATACAGGGTGTTCAGATTTCCAAAAAAAATTATATTTTCTGTCATATCTTCATATTGCACAAACAATTTGGTTGTAATTTACTACAGCTTATTCACTTACTACGACCTTTTATTGAATGTAATATTAGCTTTGTGGCATTAACCAGTGAAGTGGCCTGCTACTGGAGGTGCTGCCTCATTTTCCCAAGAAAAAATACGCCACTGGCAGTTTTTTGTAGAAATAATGTTACATTCAGTAGATCGATTGAAATAACTCATTTAGAGGGGGAAAAAAGAAAATTGTTACCTGGACTTTTATAAGTGGAAATGGAGGCGGAGAGTTGACTTGAGAGGTTGAAAAGTTGTGAAAAATTGTATCATTGGGATTTCTGGCGAAAGTTGACGTCAAACAAAAAAGTATCAAATACAAAAGTTGTAGATTATGCAAAAATCTACTACCTTAAAATTTCTGAGAAAAATGCGAAAATCGGGTTTTTTTCTGATTTTTCGTTTTTTATTTTTCATTTCCGCAAAAATAATTTAATTTTGACGAAACGATTTTGACGAAGTATACCTTTCTGTCTTAAATAATCACAAATTTTTTTTAGATAAAAAAATCAAGAAGTTTCGGAGATATTCGTTTTTTCCGGTGATAATTTTTTTCGTTTTGACATATACTTTTTGGTGAAATAAAAAAATCTGTACATAGTTCAAAAGCATGCTCAAAAATACAAAAAAAATAAAAAATGACGCAACAATAAATTTTTCAATAATTGTTGATAATTTGTTTAAATTTAAAGAAAAATTCAAAAACTGATTACGCCATTCAATTGTATGGACAAAAATACAAAAAAAAAACTGTGACTCATTGTTTGACCCAAAACTTTATTTTTGTACAGTATTGCCATAAACATCCAAGTCGAATAGTGAATAAATAAAATAAATAATTTTTTTTCCATAGAATCGATTATGTACTTATTTTTTTAAAAATTTTAATGAATTCATAGATATACAGTGTGTCCAAGATAAGGATGAGATAGCATTAGGATCTAGGAAACGGTAAGAGATACGGAGTGGCTCAAATCAGAAAAAAAGTTGTGTGTTTTTATACCTAACAATATGCCGTTTATAAAGTTTTAAAATTCCGGGTAGTTCCGGAGATATCCGAAAAAACCGGAAATTTTGCAAAATCGTTTTATTTTTTCTAGTTTTATTTGAAGACGAATTTTAAAATAAATTTCATATTTACATTGCCACTTTTTTTGCTATATCCAATAGCGCCAACATTTTTGCATTCCGATTTTTCGTCTTCGAGGGGCCATCATCAGGTTAATTTTTTTAAATACCCTGATATTTTTATGACAAAATCTAGTCATGGTTAGTGTTACATTCAATAAAATGTCTAATTAAGTGAATAAGCTGTAGTAAATTTCATTCAATTCCGTCAGCGCATTATGAAGATATAGCAGAAAATATTTATTTTTTTTGTAAACTTTTAATTCTGTATCTCAAATACCGAGTCCCACAAAAAAAAGTTTATAGACCAAACTCTACTTACTTTTTGGTAATAAATCTAGTCCCACAGTTTCTGTATTTAAAGTATATTAGATCGGCTTTAGGTACTGAAGAAAATATGAACACGTTCGTTAATATTGTTTATTTTTATCGTATTAGTAAATAATAATGTAAAATGGTAGTAAAAAAACTTGGCAGAAAATAATTTTCACCATACAAATATAATAGACCATTATAAATGGGTAAAAATTACAAACAAAAACCATAACGCACTGAAATAATCACAAATACTTAAAGTTAACACAAGAGGCACTTAAAATGTATGATTCAATTTCATGGAGCAATTACGTATACAAAACTATCAAAATTTACAATACGTATATGAGCGGAGCTTCAGTCACACGCACAGACATTTCTTATTCCTAAGAAATTCGTACATTGTGCCCTAGTATAAATCAGTCGATACAATTCGCTACAGAACAAAAATTCCATTCTATGCAATTCAATTATTAGCCGATACTTTACAAATATAATTTACAATTTTGTACACATCAATATCATTAACATCAAATTGACATTTGGCAACCTAAACATTTACCTCGACACAAATTCACTATTAAAATTAATTATGTTACAATAAATATATCATATAAATAACAAAAAGTTTAATGGGGATATGTTACATGTCAAGTATAGATTTGTTACATAAAAAAGCTACGATATGAAGATAAGGCACACAAAATGACATGGTTTATTATCTGTCACGGAAAGTCTTTTGTTTGCCGTCTAACGTTTCCCGTTCTTGTGGAAATAGGCCTAAAAGTGAGCCACATAACAACAACTCGTTATAGTGTGTCAAATGGGTAAAAAATGGATTATGTATGAATTTTTAAGCAATCCATGTTTTATCAATTCAGGCCACTAATATTACAACACTTGTTAAGAGTATTTTACGAAATATTCTTTTTTGCAGTAAATCTGATACATTCCAAAATGATCTAATGTTACGAAGTTTACGATAAAGCATTGTCGGTTATATTAGTAGCATATATTTATATTTATACTTTCTACTAACATTGTAAAATGCTCAATGATTTATTTTTGGAGAATTTTCATCGAGTACAAACAAGAATAACTGAGAATGTCCTGAGAATTTATACAGGGCATTTTTGACTGTGTCTAAATTTATGAATATATTCCTATAAAAACATAGAAACTAATTTTTAATAGTGTTAAAATTTTTCAAAAGCTATTCAAATATATCGCGTCAGTCGAAGCGTTAAATACAGCGTTGCCATATTTCCTTTCATTAGATCAGATGTTTGTTCAAACTTGTCAAAACGTCATAATATATTCATTCCATTATCTCAATAATTACATCGTAAGTGCATATTTTTATTGTTGTAAAATGTTTAGTAATATTTAATTCTTTTATAATTAAAATTTTATTTTCCCTATCATAACAATTTTTTTTTAATATTCACGTTTGATGAAAGTTTTTTCCCAACTCCCATAAGAGCCTGTGTATAAGATATTTTTACACGAGGCAGTTTGCATTTACTAACAGATTTCAATTGCTTTGAACACTTTCTTTCGGAATCGAACCTCCTTAAATACACTTTTCGATAACCGAACATCGGTTAAGAAGAGCACATGTAGACGAAAAACAATTTGTCTTCGAACTTCTGTCGCAACAGTGCCACTTCAGAAGTAAAAATATAAAAATTCATGTTAAACATGAAATAAATGATAAAACTTCCTAACTTCACTCCCTAGTGAGAAATTTCGGAAATAGATATGACAATATTTTACCTGCCTTTTATCAGGTCGTTCAATTCAAATATTTTCAACTGACAGATATTTTCTAAAAATTTTATCACCCTGTGCCTAAAAATGGGTGAAAAAAGTGCGAGAGTAAATAGTTATATAAAAAAATATTCTTAAATTCGGATGAGGAATAAGTTCCTCTTTTTGACCTGGTATTTGTGCTACATGCTGAATTCTACATGATGTAATTGTTTTAAAAAATGCGAAATTTTGTTTTTTTAAGATAATGAAAGTTCTATTTATTTTCGTGAATGCATACTTTATTACTGCCAATAATGTCGGAAAGATTGCCAACAATTACTAGTGATTTCATTCACACTTCATACATAAAGTTTTTTCATGCGTAAACATTCTCGAAAAATAAATATATAAACTTTTTTTTATACAAAACTTAAAAATACCTGCAGGTTAGAATTCAATTTTTCATCTATTACTTGCATTGCATACGATAGATTCTAGAGTTACCCAAAGACATTCATTAAAACAATATTTACGTCAATGAAAATAATAACAAAAACCACCACTTCTTCGGTTAAAAAATAGTCTTATTTTAGGAATGTACCAGATTTATTTGTTTCGTTACGAAAATTACCTTATATTGCTACGAGGTCCAGGTATTCTCGAGGCAGGTCTGGGAATACCTGTAGGTCTAGGCAAGCCACTAGCTCTAGGTTGTTGGGGTTTAACAAACACGTTATCACCAGCTACATTAACTTTTCCTCTAGGCATGGGAGGTACCTAACGGAATTAAAAAAGAAAAAATGTATAATAAATATGGGAAGAACAAAAAATTAAGGAAATAATATTGCTTAAGGTATTAAGATAATCGTACATTTGAGATTTGTATTTTGTTTTCGGATATGAAAAATAAGCATGTTAGAAGTATGATTTTATACACATGAATGTCGTGTAAGGATAATAAAAATCGAGTATTTTTTATCAATAATTAAAAAAGTTTAAAATACAATAGTGAACTAGTAACTCTCTACAACTTGTAGCAGTACAAGTCAGGTGCAAAGTAGTTTGCTCAGATGTGTCACGCAGATCAAGTGTTTGTTAAGGTCTGAAATAAAATTTATATATTCTGAATTAAAACTAAATTATTCTAAAATACAATTAACGTTTTCTGAAATACATCTGGAAAAGGTGTACTGTGTACTATTGCATGTCCAATGAAATATTTATTGCCTTATTACAAAATAGCCAATTAAAAATTAATATATTATTTATCATTTGTTTATATGGATATCAGGGAGACTAGACAAGGAGCATGAACTTATACGGGAAAATTGACAAAATTTGTCAATGTAATAGTACAAATTACTTATAGTTTTTACTGCTAGGGTGGTTAGTGTTCCTTGTACACCGACATATTTTCATTATTTATTAATTTTTTTATCTAATTCAAAGTACATTATTTATTTTAAAATTTTTATCACATCACAAAACTGCATGATTGATTTTTAATTTAAACTGCTGCTTTCTTTATCTTCCCTCCGCTATTTTGGGGCATATGGGACACTATAGTTGTTTACATGGAGTTTGTGCTCCTTGTGTAGTCTTCATGATGTACGAGGCATGTTTTTTAAGTAAGTACTCTAGTGAAATTCCGCCGCTACAGCGCTGCGATCGGTGTCCCGCGCATTCGCACTGTGTACCTACATCTGCTGGCAAGCCACAGACGCCATTGCAGCATCAATTGATCGTGCTTACATTAGCTTTTGAGTATTGAAAATGCCTCCGCCGATTGAGAATCCCGTCGACTGTGGAATATGCGCTGTTATTCGTTTTTTAAGTGCTAAAGGCCTGAAAGCAGTTGAAATTCACCGTCAAATTTGTGAAGTGTATGGACAAAACATAATGAGTGATGGAATGGTATGCAAATGAGTAAAAGCTTTCAAAGATGGCCGCAAGAATGTTCATGACGACCTTTAGTGATCACTGACGATTTGGTGCAGAAAGTCGACGAAAAAGTGAAAGAGGACACACGCTTCACAATTTGTGCATTATCAGAGAAGTTCCCTCAGGCTTCAAGAAGTGTTCTCTACGAAATTGTTACCCAACGTTTAACCTATCGAAAGTTGTGCTCACGACGGGTACCAAAAATGTTGACGGAGGCGCACAAAAACAAATGTTTAGGCAGCGCCTTGACATTTCTTGTGCGTTATGTGGCTGAAGGTGATGATTTTTTTAGCCAAATTGTCACAGGTGATGAAACATGGGAGGCTTACGTTACACCAGAAACAAACCAACAGTCCATGGAATGGTGGCATCCAACATCGCCCACGAGAGTGAAGTTTAAGCAGACAATTTCAGCTCGGAAAATCATGTGTACTGTGTTTTGTTATAGGAAGGGGGTGTTGCTTGTTGAATTTTTGCCTCGTGGTGACACAATCAATTCCCAAACATATTGTGAGACCTTAAAAAAACTGTGCCGTGTAATCAAAAACAAAAGGAGTGACATGCTCAGGTAAAGGGATCGTTTTGTTGCATGAGAACGCTCGTCCAAGTACGCCAATCGGACTGAAGAACTCATCGCATCATTTGGATGGGAACAAATTGATCATCTTCCATACAGTCCCGATCTGGCGCCAAGTGACTACCACTTGTTTCTGCAACTGAAGAAGCATCTTGGAGATGATAACGTTAGCCTAAAAATGGCCATGTTGCAGTGGCTGTCAAATCAGACGGCAAACTTCTATGATGACGGTTTAGTGCCTTAATATTGGTGGTGGGTTAATTATGTGGAAAAATAAATAAACGTGTGGTCTTCCATGTAAAAATAAAATTGTTACAAAAAGTTTACTTGTTTTTTTTTACACATCAAAATGGTACTTAATTAAAAAATATGCCTCATATATCATCAGAGTGCTCTGAATCGGTCTGTGGTTTTATGTTATGTACGATTTACTTACAGACCTCACTTATAAAATATAAAATATGGGTGAACAAAGAAATAAGTTTTCAATTGTCTCTATTAAAACTCAAAATAACTACCCATAATCTACACTATCGGGGGTTGAAAAGAGCTATTTTATGCCAAATGCTCTTAAATTGCAAATTTTTAAAATAATAATGCACAGCGTGTTACTCCATGGATAAAATTCTTCAGAATTTAAGTTTTTAAAGACATTCTGTTGAAATTCAGTACATTTTTTGAGAACCAATAGAATGTATGAATTACTGTTTTTGAAATAATTTTCAAGCAGAAATTTTTTTTGGAACCATGGATCCTATAGACCAGCGGTCGGCAACTGGCGGAAGGTAAAATATTGGTCGCGGAAAATTTTTTGAAAGTTACTAATCAAATTTTTTGATTTATTGAATTTTTTTTTTACGTTTGAGTGTCCGTCCTTATCATTTTTCCTAGTATTTGACAATTGCATGACTGATTTGAGTTCTTAATGGTTAGTAAGCAGATTAAATTTGAGTGCGAATTAAAATGAAAAAATTACTAAGAAATATGAATTCTTCTTCTGGACCTCGTTAAAAATTTTCAAAAGTATCCGAACCCCACCTAAAATTACTTGCTGACCCCTGCTATACTCTCCAAATTTTTTTTGCAAAGACATTGACTCTTCTTTGAGAAAAAAAACAACTCTTTTATATTTTAACTTAATGATTTCATTTTTTTATATCTTAATTGTTGGTAAAGGTAATTATCAAATTGTGACAAATGATGGACATGTTGGACACCGTGTGTAACACGTTTTTATGAAATAGAACAATCCGCTGATCGCATTTTTTTTATATTTAAAATGCTGTTTAGATTCAGAAAGTAGGTTGGTTTGAAAAATGAACTCCACTTACCTCAGCGACTTTTGAACGAGTCTCGATATTCCGTGTAACGTTGGGATTTGTTGCTTTAGACAGCGTAGTTGTCGTGTTCAGTTGAGGGACTATGGGTAATGCCATGGGCAAATTTGCACTTATAGGCCTCAAACTGGTGTAGGAACCCTTCAACCTATGCCCCATTGTTTTCAGATTGGAAGAGGGTGCCTGAGCTTTAACATTACTGGGTTTGTACAGATTGCCCTGCGAACCAGGTATATTTGATTGAACTGTTCTCAGGTTGCTGTAGGAAGCCCTTATATTGTTGGGAATCACCTGCAAAGGCTTTTGACTTGACAAGGTGTATGTAGAACGGTACGTGTTCTTTAATTTTGTGTCAATGTTACCGCCTAGGTAACTCATACTTTTTACGGGTTTGCCAATGTAATTTTCCATTGATGCTTTCGAAAATGTAGATTTAACGCTTTTGTATTCATCCGTGGAAGATACGTCTGAATCAGACAAAGGTTCGTTTGGTATTATAGGCGAGATAAAGTTGTTCTCCCACAGATTTTTTGAGCCTTGGATTGTCTTTGGAGTTGACATAACTTGTTGTAGACCTGGAAAAATAATGTAATTATTTTTAATATACGTTTAGTCGTGTGACTTTTTACCCATTATTTAATTTGAACGGGAATTGTTGCGGGACAAGTGAGGGGAAATTTAAAATTTCAGGACTTCAAGGACGGCATCAGTAGCTTTTGACAAATATTTGAAAATGAAATCTATGAAATAAAGGAAAGTATAAAGAGGACCTAAAAATTAGATCCTTGATTTATGAAATGTATAATTCGAAATTCGATATTATTCGCTACATGAAACTAAGAGGGTGTATACCAAGTTTTGACCAAGTAATTCCCTGATATTTAAAGGTTTTCTGGGAAGATTTGAAAAATTTCCCAGGTTGAGAAAATGTAAGCTCTATATCAATTTCTGTTTTTCAGTTATTACAATTATACATATTTTTTTTTGTCAATATCTCCCAAGTATTTAAATACTGAAATGGATTATTTCAAAAATAATATATACAGGCTGCTTCAAAATTCAATACAAGGAATTTAGAGTCCAAAATAAATTTAAAAACTTTTTCACTGTAAATACAGGTAGTTATAGAATTTGAAAATATGGTGTGCATTTAACTCTTCATCAGCTAATATCTCGGAAATGGTTGGTCTGAGAGATTTCGATTTTTTGTTTAAAATTGATATATACTCCACGGTCGAAATTATAGAGAGTGATTCATCGCTGGCTTTTGGACTAATAAGGGGGATGAAGCATGCCGGGAACGAAAATCCATTGGCGTGTTTGCGTAAAAGGCAACAAGATATAGAAAATAATGAAAAAAGATAATAAAACATAACATCTAATATTTTTTACGGTTTACTATAACAGGCACTTTGATCCATTTTAATTATTACAGCATTTTAAAACGTCCCAATTGTGTTTTTTTTAATTTATAAATTTATTATAGCCCTGGAATTAGACCCCTCGTCTACGCTTATGCTATGACATTTCTCAGGACGGGTTAAATCAAGTCCGTTTACACCCACTAAAAAAGCATTTCCCTATTCCCTACCAAGTGCAAAAGACAGAGATAGAATATAGATCGACGTTCAGTGTAACTCGGTCTCTAGACGATTATAGATTATATCGATGTGCGTAGTGAGCGGCACAAAGATAAATAATATTGAACCGTATAAAAATCATTTTATATTTTATACGCATTATGGTAATAGTGTTTTTATATTATGTGTTAGTCACTCTTTATAATTCCGACCGCCGAGTATAGGAATAAACGCACTAATACGAAACATCAATATACAGGGTAGCAAAAAAGTTAGGGCCAATTTAATTCAAGCGTACCCTTATAGGTGGCGTCAAGAGCAATGATATATTTAAATTTACCATCATAAAAAAATCCCTATACCCCAAGTTTTTTGAGTACATTCAAATCTATTTGGAAATTATCCCTAAAAAAAATCGAAAAAAATAAAAAACTTTAACACCCTGTATATCGAAAACTAAGCATTTGTGGACACACATTTATACGGAAAATTTTTTTTATTTTGACCTCAAAAATACGCCATTGGCAAAGTGCCGGAGCAGCCCACGGAACTTATTTAATTTCGGTACAATTGAGTAAACATTGGTACAATCTCATAAAAGGTAATTATTAAAGCCAATATTAAAAGTTTCAAACAAAATTTTAAATGTGCAAAACTGTGAGATAATAAATAAATAATCTTTATGTAACTAAAAGTATTTTAAAGCATTTAAATGTAGCAAGTAATATGTACATAAGGGTTTTACCCATTTTCACTTTCTCTCCCAATTGTACTTTGCATCTCACCAGCCAATTGAAATAAGTTGAATTTATGAATTAATTCTTAAATTATTGACTATACCTACCAACTATACTTTTATTTGTTTTATGACAAGAATGAGATCGAGAATGATACTGTATTGTATTATATTATAGTGAGTACTTATCTATTAAGAAATAATCTGTAAGTGTTAAAACGACATTGGTGGATAAGACTTGTTATGGCGAAGAAAAAAGGGAGACTTGATTTTAGTTAATAAAAAAAAGAGGATCAAGACGAGTTTAAATGTTTAATGATTTTTGTCACAAGCACTGTTGGCACTATATCTTTAAATCAAAATGTAATCAGAATTTAATTGTATTGTAATCAATAAATTGATGACAATTTAGTGTATTACACATCAATTAATTCAAGGTGGAAAAACTGTAATTATGTTTTATTTGTGAATATTTGTCCTAAAAATTAACATTATTTTTAGTATACAAAAAAAAATGGAAAAAATGTATTACAGTATCTTTTTTTGCTTATTACATGCAACTCAGTGGCGGCTCGTGACATTGAGAATAGGTGAAGTATATTCATTGATTGACTAAAAGAAAACAAAAAAGTGCTGCAGGCGAAAATTTTCGAATTTTCAAGGTCAAACGGCTTTAAATGAATCTGAAAATTTTTAGTTGCATTTGCAATATTTCCAAAAAACTGACGTTCTTGAGAAGGATTTTTATTTAGATTTTATAAAAAACAGAAATATTAGTTCGGCTTGTGGACTTCTGCGAACATTAACGCACACCGTGCATGTATGTTCCAAAGAAGCTTTGTGGTTACGATAGCCTTGCGTGACTTTCCCAAATTACCGACTTTACACCCATAAATAAACACAGCATACAGAAAAGTTTTTTTAAATAAACACAACTACTTATACTCCAAATACCATTCATTCCGAAACTTCCGAACGTACACATTGTCTTTTGACTTCCCCTTTTTTCCATATCGAAAGAATAAGGCACAGGCCTCTCGCAATTTAAAAAATCCTTTTTGTTCTCAATTTTCCATCTGGAAAATAGCGTTTCCAATAAAATACATACTGGATCATACATAGGAAACATTTCTACAATTATACAAAACAAATATTAACTAAGAACAGTTGTAATCGTACACTGGGCGACCTGTATCGTATAAACTATTAAAAGGCAGACGAATCAGGCAATGGGGGATGCGCCTTCAATATTCGTGACACTCGTTCCCCCACGCCGTAATTTTCTCCCATGTTGGCGACCTCGAGCGGAATTCAGACTGTTTTGATCTGTGTTACTTGCATATATTAAACGTTGTACGGTACGAGGTTGATGTTCGCGCTCAACGAAGACAATGTTTTTTTAGAAGGGGTTCACCGTGCAACTATTCTGTTTATTTCTGCGTATTAAACAAATAAACATAATACATTTTCAATATAGAATTATACCTAAATTATAAAATTTACATAAAATTAAAAATTATTTTAAATTGCACAACTAAACGGAAATTTTAGGTGAAGCGGTGCGTCACTTGCGTCACCTGACAAAGTATTAAGAATATATCGAAGTATTATATTCATTGAGGGAAAAAAAACAAATTATTAAATGTCTAATTAAAAAATTGCCGTTTTTCCCAAAATTTTTCTTAAAAATTACTTTATTAGATAATTTTAACTGAAGCATGATGGCAGATAACAAAAGTATGGCATAGGCATCTTATAAATAAAAACCGATTGCAATGAAATTTGAAAAATATTCATGAAAATTAAAGAATTCCCCGATGATTCCCTGTTTTCAAGATTAGTATACACCCTGTACTGTAACTTTTAATGAAACATTTATTAATCATAAAAATTGATTATTTGCAGTTATAAAACTAATTGTACTTATTTGACCTGGCAATCGTGTGGACATTTTTAATGATATTGAAAATATCTGCAAATGTATCTAATCTATTAAATTGTGTATTATCTAACTTCACAATCTATTTGATTATTTCAATTTACAGACCAAAACATTAAAAACACATATTATCACCAGAGATGCGATTGAAATTATCTAAAAATTAAAAATTTTATATAATCATCTAAAAGTGAATAACAAATGAATCAACTACCAAAATAAATTTGATCTAAATTATAAATGTGATGTCATAACAAAAAATATATTTCTTAAAATGTGGCATTTTCAACTTTTATTCCCTATTATGATACACTTCTACAGAGATCAGTACTTACTTCTTTCTTGCATTTCAACAATTGCATCCAGATCTGCCATATTGAGCATCTTATTAGATTCTCGACTACTATTTGATAAGCTGCTCATTCTGTCCAAACTGTCGGCAGATCCAGTAGAACAACCTAACGATGTTCGCTTTATATTAATTTCTCCATTTAAATTATCTTCTTCGGTGTATGTGGCGTCCAACCTAATATTATCATCTAGACAGTAGCTTAATCTGTTCAAATCGGTAATCTGTACTGTTTCAGAGAGCTGTTTCTTCATGTCCTCAACTGTGTCTTCGTTAGAAATTGTTAGACTGCCTATCACTGAATTGTTTTGTTCGAAACTTTTAAGGCTGCAGTCTTTTATAAGGGCTTGGGTAGTGGTGCTATGGTCAGACACAGGATGATCTGATGGCATGTCAAATGTTGAGTTTAGGGCTAATGTGGTATTTTTTACATCGGACTTTCTGAAGGTACCTTTTGATTTAGGTGTGCGACGATATGTGCCGTTTAAATTAGAAAATTGATGATTGTTTATTTTATGTATTTCTTCATTGTTAGTAACTTGGACTGGATCTGAATTTTCTGGTGCTAAATTGAAAATACACAATAAAAATCAAGACAATTCCTTTAAATCACAAAATTTTTTACGGTTTAAAAGTCTTTGAATATTGAACTGTTGTGAAAATGAGTACAAACTGAAAAGATATGGCTAAAATTTTATTCTAAGAATCATTTTGGATGCAGTGTACCTCCAAAATAAAAAATCTTGGGAAAACCGTTTAATTTTTTCAAGTTTTATTACACCCAAGACTTTTTGCACTCATTTCCGCAACACCTTGTACAGGCAATTATTATCTTTAATTGCAAGTAATTAATGAATGCACTTACCAACTTCAAATTGTTTTTCATAAGTTGTGTTTAAATCGATAGTCGAGTTGTTCGATTTATCGAAAGACGGACCAAGTTCCTTTGTGGTATTTTTTCGAAAAGTTCCATTAAAAGACATTTTTTTCAAAAAACTTTCAGGTGTATCTGAGTTAATACTGCTACAACTTTCTGTAATAGACTGAAACATAGGTGGTTCTGAATCTTGCAGCAAAACGGTCTCTGTATAATCGGTATCACGAATTTCTCTTAATACTGGATCATTCTTAATGAAACTGCTTTCCATTAAGTTGGCAAAAGTAGAAGAACACATGGAATTCACAAGACTAGGAGGAGACATATTCTGAAAAGAGTCAATTTCTGCAGAATTTGCCAAAATATTTTCAAAATAATAACTGTTTGTGGGTTGTGTCAAATCAAAATTTAGGGGTTTAGCTGAAGTTGCTATTGGCTCACTAGTTTCTTGAATAATACTGTTACTAACATCATTAGTTTTCCTCGAACAGTCGGAAGATTCATTTTGTGCGTCACTACTGTTGCCATAGACCTCTTCGTTGTATTTCTCAATACTCGGACGGGTAAATCTCTTTTTTGGACGTGTGAATGTTCTGGAATCAAAATTTTTTTGACTTTCGTTTTGCGATTTCATTGTACTCAAGAAATATTCCTCATCTTTTATATCATCATTGTGTAACCAGCCATACAAATCTGTAATGGGACAGGTGTCACTGACTTTAAACAACCTAAAAATTATTATTTTCTTTATTACAAGTTTTTATGTACATTGCCTTGTTTGCTTACCATGTCTCATCGCTGTCGAATTTAATTTTGGTAATGTCTATTATATCGAATTCAACATCATTTTTGGAAGCAGCTGGTTTAAGTATACCTGACTCATTTCGATTTTTGATAAATGGAAATTGTTCTTGCATTTTTTGACCAGTTGACAAATCCATTTTTACAAAATAGTGCCAAACAACCTCCTGTCAGTACATTTGTTTGAACAAGTAATCAAAATATTTTTTGACCACAAACTTTATCAACCTATTTATAATTTAAAACACATTAAATGAATGTAAACACAACTTTTGAAAATAACTTATAATGTATGTAAAGCAACTCTTTACTGAGAATTTTTACCCGTCCATTGCACTTTCTAATGGTTTTCTCTGTGCCAACTTTAGACTGAAAGCAAAGAATAACTGTTATGTTTGTTTCTCCTTCTAATGTATCTCAAGTCCGTATAAGTTATCCTTGTTACTTCTAAAATAACTTCCAATTTTAATTTACTTATTTTTTTTGTGTTGCCAGTATCCAGGGTCTTTAGAAATGTCAAAATGTCAGAACAGAAATAAAAACATAACCTTAAGGAGTCTAAAAATGGATAAATGTATTTTAGTGCAATATTTAACTTCTATAAATTCTGTGATAAGCGAAATTTTTAAATCAACACAACGTATTAAAGTAAATATTATATCAGAAATGTGCCCACGGTTTGTTAAAATAATGTGTTTTTTAGTTAACATGCTTCGATGTCTCTGAAGAATACATAGTTTTTGGGACTAGTAGTGGAGGTGTTTATATATTTAAACGTGAACCATGTCAATTTATAAAAATAATTCCAAGTAAGGTAAGGATTTTAGTAAATTTTGATAGATTCTTAACAAATAGATATATAATTTTAGGAAGGTTCAGCAATAAAAATTGTAATAGCTCCAAAAGGAAAAAATTTGGCAATAGCAAGTTCAAAAGGACTACTTATAATTTTAGAAGACTTTTTAGATATAAATGTAAGACCTTTAATTCATAGCGAACATGAAGGTAGTATGGTTACTGCGATAAAGTGGTATGGGAATACTGTTTACAGTGGAGATGATGCAGGAAGAGTAGCAGTATTTTCCTTAAGTAACTTATTGGTATGACTTTAAATAAATATACTGTTTGTTAAAAATATTTATTCAAATAATTTTTTAGACAATCTTTCAAACTGCATCTGCTACTATAATGCATTTAGATTCTAATATAGTTCAAATTGATTCATACTTGAATTACTTACTTATTTCTACTAAAACTCGAACATATTTATGTGATACAGAAAAAGAATGTTATAAACAAATAGGAAAAAAAATGCGGGATGGCAACTTTGGTGCATGTTTTTTTAATGTTGCTAATAATGATTCCCCAGACACTTATCAGAGTATTAAAGGAATATTTAAGACAATAAAAGAAAATGAAAGCTTTATGACAACGTTGAATAATAGTGACGTTAAAATATATTGTGCTCGGCCTGGTGTTAGACTTTGGGAAGCAAACTTTGAGGCAACAGTACTTGTTACTCACCAATTTAGAGATTCTCTGAATCAAAATCCTTCGGATATATTGCATCTTGAAGATGTTGAAGATGCAAGAATGACAGTTCATACTTACAGAGATATTAATGGATATTCAAAAGGTTTTAATTTTGGCTTAATATATCCTGTTTTGTCTAGATTTGTATTTTCGCATGATAATGAAGGAATTTATTTCTTTGATCCGACAACTAGTAAGTTGGCATTTTGGAGTAATTGTTTTAAAAATATTAAACATGTTATAATTTTGGGATCTGTTCTATATGTTTGGCAAGATAATTCTCAAATAAGTGTTATCTCCTTAGAGTTATTAGAAGAGTTAATTATTAAAACGTTACTCAATAAACAGTATTATTTTTGCTCGGAATTGTGTATAAATTATTTTGATGATGTGATAAGCTTAATAGAGCATTCTAGGAAAATCCATTTGATATCTATTTTAAAATCTAAGTTAGTTGCAGCGAATGCCACAGAGTTATTAGAAAAATTAATGCCAGTTTTACAAAGATTGGAAAAGTTTAATAAGAAAACTACTTTAGGGAAAAAGCTTTCAAATGGAATTGTGATAATTGAAAATTCACATGTTGAAGCTATAGATTACGATATGTACATACCAGAATCTGTTAAGAATTTTAAAAATTCCTCTTCCAGCAAAGAAGATAAATGTATAACTGATGATATGAAAGAAACATTAACTTGTAATCCTCTTGTTAAAGAACTTACAGCACATCTTACCCAAAGTAAAAATGCTCAAGATGAGAAAACACTTTCAGAGGAAAATCCAAACTTGTTGGCTTTATATAAACAGTTTAAACTTAATAAAACTCACAAAACTGTTGAACTAACCGAATCAAGTGATTTGATGAATGAAATGAGCTTGGAAGATCTGATCATTTTATTTCAAGACTTTATTAAATATATAGAAAAAATAGAAAATACCGATGCAACCACGTGGTGTAAAGAACAATTCTTAAAACAAGCATCTCGGAGAAATTTTGATATAAAAACAATGGATACAAATACTTTACTATTTTTACAGGATGCATTTTTGGAATTGTGTAATTCGAGACATTTTAGTTGTAGATGCCATTTTCCTTTGCCAAAGGCTTCCAAAAAGTGCCCACAATATTACCATTTGGGGTATAAATTGTTAGATCACTGTGAGAATGTAAACGCTTATTTGATAAATGTTCCTTATATGCATAAGTATGTTTTAAGTAGAATAAAGAAATTAAACGATGCTCTCTCGAATTTACCCCTAATAGTTCAGTTTAACGATGAAGAACTATTTGAATCATTTAAAATGATATTTACTTACGATACTTGGGATGAAATAATAAAATTGCACATAAAATTAAGGAAAGGAAACTGTTTAAATTGTGAAGAAAGTATTGAATTGGATGGCATATGTTCATGGTCAAGCTTAGGTATACTGATGATAAAATCCATTGGACCTCAAAATACTACAAGGTTATTGAAAAGGTATTCCCAGTATATACCAAATGGCAGTTTGGATACAAAATTTTATCAGTGCTCTATATTAGCTTCCACTTTCGACCAACCTGATCTTGCTGTGAATTTTTTGAATAATATGGTTACGGAGGACACTCTCCCTCAGGTATAAACTTTTAACTGTTACAGTTGATATTTACATAGATAAAAAATATGTCTTTTGTTGAACTTTTTTGCTCTAGTGTTGTATTATACGATAGAAATACAGAAAATTAAAGAGATATCTTTAATTTTGTGCATTCCTAATTTTATTTCCTTGACATATCGTTGTTGTACCTTCAAAATATGACATGTATATTTTTGTTATTCAGTGGAGTTAAAAAACTGTTTATTGGCATTTTTATTTAAGATTTACAACAATTATTTTTAATTTTACTGCGCACAGTTACAATTCTGTACAAAATAAAATGGCTGTTTTTAACCAGATTTTGCGGTTTGATGTCGTTTATCGAACTCTGTACTTCTGCGTTTTGCGGAAAGTATATGCATGTCGCATTTTAAAGGTGCAATGACAATATATTTTTCAGTGTTCAGTTTTTAAAACTACACCCTATTTGTCTAATTTTCTTTATAAGTACTTCGTATTTAATTTTTCTTATTAATATAATGTTATACAGGGTGGTCACTTTTAAGGTGTACACCATTAGTATGTCCTAAACTGGAAGATTACCAGAAAGTTGCATATTTTTATATTATGAAAAGAAATTGGAGATAAGTTGCACAGTTCCTGAATTAAGCTGAAAACACTGAAAATTTGGCTTTTCTTATTTCTTTCATATCTTTTTTATTATTGGAAGTAGAGTAATAAAAATTAGTATGTACACATAAGGCGAAATACTCTATCTGTTGGAAGATTAAAATATTTTCCAAGCCTCCTAGATCCTTATGTTTTCATAACCAACTTTTATTTTCTTATGGATGCCATACTAGATAAAGTATCAAATTTCTAGTTCAACGATGTATATTACATGGGTGAAGAGATTTTAATAAGGACCAAAAACGTAAATTTTATGATTTATTTAATTTAATCATAGTTGCCATAAAAAACAAATGAAAATTTTGATATTGCTGTTTAAAAGGAAACTATCAACTACTGTTGAAAATAAATGCTCAAATTATTTATTTATTATTTGTAACGGCACACGCCTCAAGAAATGAATAGGTAGATATGTACATGTTTACATGCAATGTAACAGAAATTCAGTGACTACGTCACAACGTTATGAAGGGATGCATCCTGAGAGAAGGTAATTTTAAGAAGACAAAGTATCACAATTTTAAATTTAAACCAGTGCAAACATTGCATCCTCAAGACAACCAACGAAGACTGGAATTTTGTGAATGGCGAAATATGCAACTTTCATGTAATTTAACCAACCCTGTATATCTTCTAGTTCAGCAGATACTAAGGCAGCGACGCATTAAGCTTCGGTTTGTTAGAGCTGTGCGTCGCAGACGACATACGCGGTTAGCAGAATTCTGTAGCATAAATCTGTAGCATTCAACTTTATCGGTTTTGAAGTGGGGTGTTTTGTTAGATTTAGTGCTTGTGATTGTATGCTGATAAGTGCAAATGAAAATATTTATTATTATTTTGGCAATTTTTTTTTCTTTCATGACAGTGGCTGAACATTTTTTGCTGACACTACTTAGGCCGGTGTCCCATGCATCCGAAATCCGATGTACGATATCCGAAAATATTTTAATTCGTACGAATGATAATATTATAATTCACATGCATCTGAAATTAATCTCATAGAAATCAAGTATAGAACCATGGAATTTATTAGAACGTAGTATGAATTTTAAAAATTTCGGATGAAAATGAGCGGTAGAAAATTTGAATGTATATTAACCAATAGGAACACTTTCGGACCTTCGTATCGTCGGAATTTGAATGCATGGGACACCGGTCTTATTGAGAAAGAACATGAAAAAGATCTTTTAAACTTAATTAGTTGTCGTCGTCAAAATAAAAGTGAAGATCGAATGTTTTCTAACAGACGTTTGGAAGGGACGGTATACAATGGGGGATGTTTAGAACGAAATCGATAAATTTCTCGTCTTCCTCTGGTGAAAACTTGGTTGCCATTTTAAAATTCGTTAAAAATAACACTATATACTGCGAGCTCAACTGAACAACTCCCGAGCTCGCGAGCTCATTGCGCTCGCATCGCGTTCTCCGCCGTACTTTCCCAAAGAATCTAGGGAGACCGCGATGCGATTGAAATTAGGTTCCTCTTCTATATAACTCATTTTTTTAAAAACTAAAACAATACCTCAACTATTTAAAGAAGAGCATGAGCAGGACTGTGTATGATTGCCAAAAGCGACTGATTTTGCAAAAGACCGCGATCAGCTCAGCGCAGAACGAACCGCGATGGGACGGGACCGCGAGCGCCTAATGCGTTCTCTGTTTAATGGTGTTCACCTTAAAAGTGACCACCCTGTATATACAACACCAGAGAAACCTTTTATTTTGAGGGTACTTGTTTTAGCAGAAATTAATTAAATTCCTTTTCAGTTTGAAGACCAAATGGAAAAATTTCTGCAAAGAAAATATCTGGGATGTCAGAGTCAAGCAATAAAATGTGGCAACACAACAGATGCAATAAAATGCACTTATTGTGATACACCTCTTCATGGACCTATTCTTAGTGATACTAAAAAATGTGATTCTGGTCATAATTTTCATAGCTTATGTTTTGCTCGTAACAAGGGAATTTGTAACGTTTGTTCAAAAACGTAATATTTTTATAAGTGCATTATTTAAATGTAACATTTTTAATCTTAGAATATGTTTATTCCTTATGACAAAGAGAATACTATTTAGAAATATGTTTATTGAAAAGATATTAAATCAGAAAGTTGCAGGAAACTATATCTATTAATTAATAACCATTGATTTCATTTTTATTTCTGTGAATTTTTTTATTCCTCATGCTTTTCAAAGTATCTATAATTTAATATTCATTTTTCTTTATTTTTTAAACGCCATTCAACACCGTTCAACTCGTTGCAGTGCAAAAAACCCTGACTGACCCAGTGTTTGGAAAGTTCTACAAATCATGGAAAATAGGGTGAAGAATGTGTGAAAATAGCAATACTAGCACATGCTTAAAATGCTAAAATGCTCTGTCTAATCCTCAAGGAAGTAGGTAAGTCAATCAATCTTGAAAGAATAAACACATTTTTTTGCCTCTCCGTTAGTTTCATACAATTGGTTTAAAAATGTAACAACATTTTTCTCTCCGGGCTTTTGTTTTCGAGATACACGGTGTCAAAACTTTAATTTTTTTTTAAATTTTTTGCCAATATCTTAGGAACCGTTTGAACTATAGAACTGAGCTTTTGTACATACATTACCACTATTAATAGCTACTTTTTCGCACCCTTCTCGAATTCATTGGACGTGCCAGTGGTGGAGATTTTAAGGTATCGTAAGGGTTTTCCAAACCTAACTTTTACGCCACTGGAAAAATTGACATTTGACAGAAAATTCTGAAGTGCGAATGAATTTTACATAAAAATAGTTCTCTTGTTTCATTGCTCTAAAGTCAAATGTTTTCAAGAAAAATGACTATGAACAAAAACAAACATTTTGCTAACGTTTCGAAAATCTTTTGTAATTCAAAAAGTAGGTAGTAATAATTAATAAATTTAAAAAACTTAAAAATAAGTTTTTATCACACTAAAAGTCATTTTTCTTTTTGTGTAAAATTCATTGGCGCTTCAGAATTTGCTGTCAAATGTCAATTTTTCCAGTGGCGTAAAAGTTAGGGGGGGAAAGCCCTTACCATATCTTAAAATCTCCACCACTGTGTGTACAGAAACTCAGTCCTGTAGTTCAAACGGTTCCTAAGATATTGGCAAGACTAAAAAAAAAAATTAAAGTTTTGACACCGTGTATCTTGAATACGAAAGCCCGAAGAGAAAAATGGAAGAGGAAAAAATGTTGTGACACTTATTTGAAAAGTGAAACGTGTTGCGACACTTATTTAGGAACACCCTGTGTATTTGATTCAAAAACAAATAATTTCAGGTCAATATTCTGGAGAACACATACTGTTACTCCTAAAAAAGTTACGCTCTATATAGACATAATAGTATTCCCTTTAATGTTTTCTACATACGGCAAGTGACATCATGGATTTTTTCCATTACTTTTAAATCAGAAATATTAGGAATATCCAATATTTTACTATTAATCATAGAAAATATTGCATAAATGTGCGCATCAAACATTAATTTTCTAAGTACCTATAGAATTATTTGTCCCACTATCAAAATTTCTAAGAAAATTTTGTATCTCTACCATGCCATACCATAATAAACCATACCATACCATGTCATAAATCATGCCATGGAAAACAGCATTCATACAGTGCCGCTGGATCCACGGGGTGCGTAATCTACAGGCTGAAATTTAATTACTTTTATACCTTGTTTTCAGTTTCTAAATCTACACGGAAAAGTATAAGATTTAATAATTACAAAATAGGTTTTATGTAGTTTTGCTCTGTACTGACCCTACTGTATATACAAGGTGTAACTGTAAGTGGGGGTAATTTCTTTAGGAATATATGTCGGCATCACCCTTATAACCACTTATGAATTCGTAGCAACTCGAAGAACTCTCACTGTCGATGGAATGTTGAAGCGCATGTTTTTGTCCACGTTGGAAATATTTGGAGTGCCAAATTGTTAACTTTTCAGGGTTAAGTTCTATCCTGTGTGTGAAAGACCATCATTATTTAACTTTTGTAAACACTTCCTTATATGGTCATATTTGGTAAAAAGTAAGCCGATAGGACAGGAACGTGCAAAGGAAATAATACCCGTGAAGCAAATTCATCATTCAATTAAAACAAACAGCTATAGCTGTCTGGCTTTTATTATTATTGTTTTGACTCCTTTCTTTGATATAACAAGTTGCTAGGGCTGGCATTGACGAACCGTTATTTCCTATTTTATAACCTGTGTAACTGCTCCTATACTTCAGTGTTCGAACTTGCAATAAATAGTGCCATGCCACCCATTTATTATTTCGATGGAGACAATCGAGCAAACCAATCCCCATGCCCACCCAGTGTCTCCGACATATATCTTTTAAATCAAGTAGATGAGTTATATTTAGTTTTTTAATCTACACTTTAAACCCTTCTCTAATGTATGGTTTAAATTTTTTTTTCTGTTTTATAAAATGTACATAATAAAAATTAAAGTTCTTAATAATCCGAGAGATTTCAAACATTTTAAAAATCATTCCAACTTTTTAATAAAAGTATGTTACTATGTTTTTAAAGCACTGTGTTTAGTTGTGAATTTCAGTATCAATGACCTCTGAAATATCTAGTTTAGTAAACTACATAATATCAATTTACCTACGTTATGCATTATAACAGGGCGCAAGGTGGGTAAAAAACAAATGACCATTACTATTGCACAAAACAGGAATGACTGGATATATCACTGCTTCATTTTATTACATTTATTTTAGTTGCCAGTTTAGCGGTTTATGTATTTTTAATATGGTAGGTCATTTTGTGACTCTGCGTTTGATTATTTGAGCTTATACTAGTCAGTCCAGTGGAGAATATAAAAACTACGAAAAAAAAAGGTTTTCAACACACTGGAATTTAAATAAACAAACTTATCGATATGTATATTTAATGTCAAACTTGGCCTTGCTATAAATGTGACCAGTAGGTATTCAAAGTTATATCTTTTCCAGAATTTTTAATATTTTTTTGTTTAAAACAGAATAAAAAATTTAACAATTTTTAGGTTTTATATAGATTGGTTCAATTTTAATAGACAAACTTTTTTAAGTTCAGTAATTTGGCGATTTTATTATGTGCATCATGGATAGGGTTAAGAGAAAAGTAGATTTCTTGTGTACTTATAAATTCAATAATAATTTAAAATCACAACAGCTTGATAACAAAAAAAATAATATTTGCATTAAATAAAATAATGTAAAAAAATGATCTAGTTAAATTATTTTTATTCTCATTCCACAATCAATCGCTAGAATGGAACATTTTTGTACCATTATTCTAAGCCAAGCGCCCAATTAATTCCTTGAACTAGAAACAGTACCATGGGTTGCCAAGCAACTAGCCACCTTATCCAATCTAGAAGTTGCCCAAAGAGGACATGCGGCTTTTCCCAGGGATTTGAAAACATTTTCTTTAGGTCTACTTTTTCTTTGCAGTAAGGACATGTTTGCTTTTTGCCCACTATACACCAACCCCTTATACAAAATTCATGGAATCTGCAAGAAAAATTACATTACATTATTTCAATGTATTTTTGCCGTTATCAATATATGAAAAACTTCTAGGCAGTGGCGATTTATCAATTCACTTTATCAAATTAAGTTGGTGCACAGATATTATAACATGAGCCCCAAAAATGTGATTGTTTTTAGCATCGAGCGGTACCTTATTGATAAACCCATATAAATTTTAATTAATCCCTTAGATATGATAGGCTAGAAATATTTGCTTAGGTACCCTGTAGTACGGGGTGGTTCAAAGTGTTCAGAATATACCGGGTGGGGCCTTTGTCTTGAGACAAAATAATATCTCGGTTGGGATCGATTATTTCGAAAATAGTTTCTGACAAAAATTGTAGGGCAGCGAAGGGGTCATTGAAAGGTCCATATTACATCTTCCGGTCTAGACCGAGGGTGGTGTTTTTAGACCGGAATTTTTTTAAATGGAAACACTCATTTTTTACTACGGATTTCGATTGAAAAACACAAAAAAACTTTTTCTCATTATTTTTTCAATTTCCATATTTTGGCCATAAAAAACAAAAAAAAATCTTGAGGCAACAGAGTATTTTGTTGGGATCACTTTTTTTTTGCTAAAATGGCTAAAGTAATGCTAAAAAGTGCCAAATGTAGTTAATAATTATACAGTTTTTCGACCTTAAAATGACCTTGAAATCTGATCTTGTTCTCAAGAACAAGTTCATATCTTATTGTAAAACTTCTCGTTCTTGTAATTTCCGAGGTCAAAAAAGGGTCCCATTTAAAATTTTGAATTTGATCTTCAAGCGACCTTGAAGTTAAGGTCAAGGTCATGTCAAGATAACCCTCTTTTCACCCTACAACTTTTGTATGAAATATTTTTTAAAATGTTATGATATCTCAGACTTGTAAATATTGCAAAAAACGTTCTCTTATTTCTTTGTATAAACTGTATGTGATGTAATTATAAAATTTTATAAGTGGCAATTAACAATTGAGAAAATGCTGATAAATAAATTTATTTGTTATTAAATGAGGGCTAAGTATATTTATAATATGTGTTGTAAAATATCCTAAATATATAAATCATTATTTAATACACGTTGCAAGCTAAAGCATCAAGTAGATTATTAGAAAACATATCAATTTCAAAATTTTTCTTTAAATTTTTATTTTTAAAATATGATAATTTTCAGTTTCAAGATTCAAAAATATACAATGTCATTTAAATTTTAATATGAAGGCAATTTTCCGTTTTGTATAATCTAATAAATTGTGGGAACAGTTCATTTTTATTGCAAAAGTTACTATTGTATTCAAGTACTTAATACTTTGTTTTTTAAAATGAACCTGATAATATTTGATAAAAAAATATATTTAAAGTAGTAATTTGACTTAATTATATCTGAACAAACACACAACTGTGTTGTTTGTACAGTGTAACTTATCATATATTTTTACATTTGTATTAGTTACTCTTTAGTTTTAACTTACACAGAATTTTAACACGATAATATATAAATATACTTACACATGTTCACAGGATAACTTGTATGTGTTTTCTATAACACCTTCTTCATTTTCATTGACCAATAATTTATTTCCGCAAACTGCACAAACAGATGGATCTAAACTTCTAGTACTAATACCTTGTGGCGAATAATACTAAAAAATAAGGTGACTCAACAAAACTTTCCCACATAATGCTGATAAAACTTCATGACGGCATTGTGAGTCATTAAATACTAGAATCAAATATTTCTCACCCCTATATGAGCAGCCATTTTATCGGCACAAATTTCTGAAATGTCTCTACCTAAGACTCCGTAATACAGTCCATAAAAAACAAACAACAGTCCACAATCCATCCATGAATTTGCTTGGGCATTAAATATTAGGTTAAGTCCAAAAAATGTTGCCATCATGATAAAATAACCTATGAGACCAAGAATATAACTTAGCTTATAAAGCAAAAGGAACCATTTATAAACCAATCTAAAAATATATTATTTTACAAAAACTAGTTATGTTATTAAGACGACAATTGAGAAAAGTCATTAAATGACGTTTATGAAGAATTTATCAAAACTTTTTAAGCAAAAAAAGTGTTTGGACTAGTTTATACCTTGGTGTGGTCCTTTCAATTGGTTTTTGAATTGCCTTTCTGACAATAAGGCTCGTTATACAAGAAAATAATAACCATATAAATATAAACCTCCACCAGTGACTTCTTACACATAATACAATAGGTACTAACCACATTCCTAACAATGTTATAAGCTAAAATTGAAAATTGTATTTTACAAAAATATTTCTTGAAATGGTACTAAAGCTAAGTTTTTCATACTTACAGAATAACTTCGATAATGCCGTTTTTTCCATTCAATGAGACAAATCTGAGCTACTATTAATGTGACTATTAAAACTATAACCATTTCGGCATGCATTTTCTCATGCCCTTTGTGCTGTTCGTGTAGCCTTTGGTGTTCTAACCTACAAATAATATTATAAAATACATAGGTATCAACTTTCTAATTATTAATTTTACCTCCATTTCTCTTCAGATGTAAGGTCTTCCAAAGTCTAAAATAAAAATATTGTGATATTATTTATTTAAAACAACTGAGATAATAAATGTTTGTTATTAATTTGTACATTTACCCTATTTGTCATATCTACTGGTTTATGCAAGTCCATTTTAATTTTTTATCTGTCGGACGATAAAACACCATAAACTAATTCAAAATATATTTCTAACCCAAAATTTTAACAAAAAAATCTATCAAAAATCTGAAGTTATCTGAATCATTCCTGCAACAACAAGAAAATAAATGTATAGTTTAACCGTCACTCCGTCACTCCACTGTTCTTTTTGAACAAACCAGTGCTTGGTGTTCTTTTGCACTGGTCATGGTCATACTTGAATTTGGTTCTATAGTCGTTACACTAATAAAACCATTAATTAATGATCTTAACAGTTCATTCGAACAAATTCTTTCACTCAAAGAAACTAAATGGAATGGCAATTAACCAATGAGAAATTTAATTAAATAGTGCACATTTTATATTTTGCGCCATCTGCTGTTCAGAAGAAGCAACTGATTAAGAAGATAAAGATTTTGTTTAGAGATGGGCAGGATCGTGTATTTTTAATAATCGAGTACCTGTTTCTTGAATACTTTTAAGAATTGAATCAGTGTGGGACGGAAGATTGAATATTGAAGGGTATACCACAGCATAAGTATCAGTTTTCGAGATTTACGAGTTTTTTAGTTGCTTACAGAAGGGCACTTTAATTTATTGACAATTGTCGCAATATTAGAAATACATCATTCCAATCCCATTTCAATGATTGAAGTGGAATGCTGAACACTCCTAATTCTCATGCCCTGTCATCTATCGCCGAGATACTGCACAGAACTACTGGAAAATTGTTCAGCAGGTAGTCAACTGTAATAATTACTCATACACTTGTTCGTTAATTGAGCTCTCTGCTGATAGATGTCGCCCCAATTCGTTTTTGAAATACAGAATCGATGCAGACGCAAATTTGTATTTTGTAATCTGATATTTGATATTTGTAGCAATTTTTTTAATTGTAGGATATTAGTAACATTTATTGAACGTTAAATGCACTTAGAATACATAAGGAAACACTAAATTCGAGATTTGCCTGTGTAGGCGATTACTATATGTCTAGAAACAGCCAATTATCTTTGCTCCATTGAGGTGACTTGGGTAGAAATTTCTCCTACTGATATTAAACGATCAGATATAAATTTCGTACGAAATCATGGTTTAATATTTATATTTTAAGACGGACTATACTACTCAATATGTTTTATTGATGTCCCTGCATTTATATTTCATTGTTTATATAAAAGGTTTACAAACATGGGCCTAGTTAGGATTTTTGCTTAGGGTGGAACCAAGGCCGTTGCAAGATATATGTAGGCCTCAAAAAAAAATAACAGCACACGCAATCAACGACTTACCGATATAATATTTCAAAATCTAAGCACCCTTTCGTTTCATTCTAAAAAAAAGGTGGCGAGCGCCTTACCGATATGAGAAAGATATTATTTGATCTTTTTTTTTTTTCATCGGGTGGGCCGTGCACTATGTACCTTATAAAATGAAATGATGACAGTAGTACGAAATTATAGTTGAACTTTCTATTAATTAAGACCTAGTTTAGTAAGTCACAACTGTCCCTCAAATTCGTTTTACTTTTACATTTTCTTAAATTGCCAATTAAATAATGACTTAATACAAAAATAAAAAATACAGGTCAAGTTCTTACCAGTATTATTTTATTTTAAGTTAATATCTGAAAAGGTGGCAAATACCCCATTGAAGAACAGTCACCACCAGTAAAATGTTTAAGATTTTATTTTATGCCATTGGCTGAATCTCAATGAAGAATGTATAGAATACTACTACTCAGTGGCGGCTCGCCACGTGACGCAAGTGACACCCTGCCTCACCTAAAATTTCCATTTGGTTGTGTACTTAATTTAAAATTAGTTTTAATTTTATATAAGTTTTATAACTTAGATATAATTCTCTATTGAAAATGTATTGTGTTTGCTTGTTTTATACGCAGAAATAAACAGAATAGTCCCAAAAAAACATTTTCTTCGTTGAGTGCAAACATCAACCTCGTACAGTACAACGTATAGTACAAGCAAGTGATGCGGATCGAAACAGTCTGCATTCCGCTTTTCTGTGTAGCATTGTTTACGGCGGTTGTCATGGCAACGAGGTGGTCAACTTGGGATTAAACTACGGTGTGGGGGAATGAGTGCACGATTATAACGGATCTTTGTTAATATTTGTTTTGTATCAATAATTGTTTCCTATGTATGATCCAGTATGTAGTTTATTGGAAACACCTTTTTCCAGATGGAAAATTGAGGACAAATAGGATTTTTTAAATTGCGAGAGACCTATGCCTTCTCTCGATGTGGAAAAAAGGGGGAAGTCAAAAGATGAAGTGTACGTTCGGAAGTTTCGGAATGGATGGTATTCGGAGTATAAGTGGTTGTGTGGAAGTGTTTATTTAAAAAAACTTTTCTGTATGCCATGTTTAATTGTGTGTGAAATAAGGAGGGATTTAACAATTTTGGGAACGTCACGCGAGGCTGCTGTAACCACAAAGCTTCTTTGGAACATACATGAACGGGGTGCGTTATTATTCGCAGAAGTCCACGAGCCGAACTAATATTTCTATTTTTTATAAAATCTAAATGAAAATTCTTCTCGTGAACATCAGTCTTTTGGTACTATTGCAAAAGCAACTAAAAATTTACAGATTCATTTAAAGCCGTTTGACCTTGAAAATTTTCGCCTGCGGCGCTTTTTTTTTTTTCTTATTAGTCTATTAATGAATATGCTTCACCCATTCTCAATGTCACGAGCCGCCGCTGCTAGTAGTATATAATGTATAATCTGTAGATTTACATTTTGAATGTAATGAAACTCAGAACCATAAATACTTCTGTATTTAATAAACGAGTATATTACTGAATAAAACAAAATATATTTACATATAAAAACAATATACACAATAAATTTATATATACATACATAAAATATTAGTATTAATATTTTACGAATATGGTCATCGTCAATATCTTTTAATGCATTACTAGTGCTGGCCGTTTATAAACAACCACACAACAATTGCACAGTATAATTTAATAATAATTAAGACATATAAGATACAAAGTATTGCTTTCTTTGTTAGTCACATTAGAAAAAATATCACTTATCCACATTTGGCTGCATTTGCCCCTTACCTATACCTAATCACTTCAATGAATGTCTTTCGTCCCAAATAATAAAAGTAAGACATTGATCTATATAAAAAGTCATAAAAAGAGTTCATTTATCATTACAACAGCTGTACCTAACGAGTCCATTTAGTAATATTCAGCTATGGCAAATAATCGATAATTTGGTGTATATTATTGGCATTAAGTTACAGTTTCTATTATGCGTATTATAAAATTCACAGTTGTACGCTATTCTAATGATACATGGCCCACTTAGATACCTATGGCCCGGGTAAATCTAATATCGATAGATGTGAAGACAAGCACCAAGGATAGAATTGTAAAACTTAATAAAACCATAAATAAATATTTACATCTATGGACTATGCATCAAATATATTCCTATACTCATCGAATGAATAATATATCAGTCAGATGCTACGTGTTCAGTGACGATCATCGAAAATCATCATAAGAAGTTGCAGCATAAAAATTAATCATTCAGATACTCATCATAGCGGTTCACTATAGTTTCCATATAAAAAGCTTCTGATATATGTACATTTCTCTTTAGTAGTGCCTGAACTACAATAAACTATATTGAAAGTCTTTGTTTTTCTTTAAAAAGTAATCCTTAGAGTAACTCGGCTACCCTGTAGGAAAAACTCATCCTTTCGTTATCATATAGGCCTTTTGATTGCTTTTACACAACACAGTTACATGTTTTTATTGGACAGTATCATGGCTTAGTTATTCATGATTATTAAAATATGGCCATGAATTTATTAAAAATAGTAATTTGTCTCTATAAATTAGTTATGTACTTTAAGAACGACTAGGATTTGATTTGATGTTGGAGTATGGCACATAAAAATATTTCTGTTGTTACTTAATAAATATCACCATTTTTAATAAATAATCACGAGTCATGTCTATGTACCCTACCGCGTCGTAGGCCGCTCTTTCTTCGCTTTCGTTTAGTGTCCCTTTGGAATGCCACGTTGCCCGGGTCATCGGCCAGCTGAGGATATTTGTGTATACTATGTATATCAACCCCCTCGTAACCATCCACGTCACCGTGTGATATTAATTCTTCCTTTTCCTCTTCCGTCCAGTCACCTCTTCCTTGGAATCCGGCAGCGACCAATTGCTTCTCGATTTCCCAGGCTCTCTCCACCGCCCTCTTGTGAGCGTGCCTCAGAATTTTATGGGTCTCCAGATTTGGATCTGCGCCATACTTAATTATAACTACTGCATCGGGATTGTGTAGTCGCAATTCTTTTATGGTTGCGGATGAACCATGATCGGTTATTTCATGCGTTGAAACATTGAACATTCCACCTAATCTACGAAGTTCCTCTAAGTCATCACGAATCTTAAGTACATTGTCTTTGACGAAATAGAACACGTCCTGGTCGTGAATGCTGAACTGCACGTTCAAGAAGAACGAGTTATTAAACACTGACGTTACGACATCTTGCACTACGCCGTTTACACCTTCCACTACACTAACTAAAGCTCTGCTTCCTACTCTAGATATTAAGACTCCTTCTCCGAAGACGGACCTCCTATAGGCTACCCTCGGGAGCAGGTTTCTTGTTTTCGGCTCCATCTTCAGTAGTGGCCTTGGCACGAAACTGAGGTCCATGAATTTCTCGTTTATCTGCAAAAGAAGTTATTGAGTATCGTTTGTTAAAATTCAGAAATGATCACAAACAACTGATATGAGAGAAGTGGTTTAGTAAATGTTATAGACAGATGGCTTCCAATAATTTTTAATGTTATTGAATCCCCAAAAAGACTCATAGAGTCAGAATATTCTGGGGGATTATGATATCAATATAATTAATATAAAACCATTTACAGTCGGACTCCAAAATAATAGGCAGTGATTTCATCTTTAATCCGGCTCACCATTTTTAGCAGTCAACACAAAGAGAAGTACGAGGCATTTATAAATTCTTCGTATAAAATTGTGTGTGCCGCATTCTTCTAGAGCAGTCAATATTGCAGTTTTAGGATATTCTTCTGCGGCGTTTAGCATGTACCAGATATTTTTTTGCTGCGGCAAATTTTAGACTTTTATTGGTGTTTGGTGTGTGACGTCAATTGGGTTGTGGTTTATTTGGTTCCGGGCAATACTGACAGCACAGGCAAATGGGCGTATGCACGGGAGAAATCCGAGGATATCTTTCAGTTAAAATTTATTAGTGATTTTGGGTTTGTGTTCTTAAAAATGGAGAGTAATTCAAGCTGGATGATATTTTAAAAATGAGCTTCCAACAATAAAAAAAATTCAGGCGCTATCTCACAGGATTAAAAGAGTGACCGCAAAAAACCTGTGATTTTCCCCCGTTTTTTCACAATTCGCAAAGAATTAAAAAAAAAATACATAAAAATATGTTTTTGGTTACAAATTACTTGTAAAAATCTGACCCCTACTTAGGGGTTGAAAAAATGCCAAAAATGAAAAATTGAATATTACTAATTGATATAAAAACTATTAGCATGTGAATTACTCTATCGAATGAATTATCTTAATATATTTTTATTGGAATTTTTACAATTATTTCTGATATTCTCTATTTTTGGGGATGAATCCACCCCCTGAGCGCGCTTAAGGGTGGATTTTCTAATTCATCATACTTATTTCAGTCGTGAGAATAAATCTTTCTTTGTATCAAGAATCATTCGACAGGAAAATTCACATGCTAATAGTTTTTATATTTATTGGTAATATTCAATTCTTCATTTTGGGCGTCTTTTCAACATCTAAATAGGGGTGATTTTTGAAAATTTTCAAAAAACTAAAAGCTATACTCATCTTAATGTTTTACGACGAGTAATTTGAGACCAAATACATATTTTTATCTATTTTTTATCTGTATTTTTTGAGGTCACTGCCTAGAATATCTAGAAGGACGCTTTTGTGAACTATGCGTGACATGAATTTTCGTTTTATAAAACGAAATCGAGAGTATGCTGATTGAAAAAGAGGAAATAGTGATATGGCGAAGAAACTATTTAAGACAATTATTAGAAGCTCGAAAATTAAATCGTAGAATATATTACACGGATGAAACATGGATAAATGAAGGTCATACGGTGACAAGAGTGTGGCACGATGGCAATATCCAAAGCAAACGGCAGGCATTTCTGGAAGGATTTTCGACTGGATTAAAATCACCTTCTGGAAAAGGGCAGCACCTAATAATAATGCATATTGGAAGTACAGCAGGATATTTGGAACAGGGTGTGTAATAATTCAGTGTATTATTATAAGTGATAAAGTGTAATATTCGCGGCGTGCGCATCAGGTAGGTGTAGGCTGGTGGTGGTGGGCCATCGTCAGAATGGATAGCATTCAACAATTGTGCTGGATATGAATCACTGCCCATTAGTATAGATTGGTAAAATTGAATGTCCTCATTTGTACTGATTTGATTTACATATAAAAAAGTATATACAGGGTGACATGGAAAAAAGTGCAATGCATGCACATGATAGAGGACCTCAAAACATATAAAAAGAACCTTAAACTCTAGTTACAGTCTAAATTTCTTTTGTTTTCGAGATACAGAGTGTTAAAGAAATTTTAGAAAATATTGATATTTTTTGTACTGACAATTTGTATTTGTATTTGTTGCACAATTTGTATGGATTTGTATCCTTTACAGGTTGCCAACCAGTAGCGGAGTTACAGGGTTCACTATGCTTAAATGAAATTAATAAATTAATATAGCCCTGTACAAATTACTATTTTAACATTTTACTATAGGTAACATAATTCCTATTAAAAGATCCTCTCAATTTTTTAACTCCACCACTGGTTGGCAACCTGTAGAGGATATTCTGTACCCATTGTCAGTTTCCAAAATTTCTTTCACTTTATATTTGGAAAACAAAAGAAATTTAGACATAAGTGTATAGGGAGTTTTTATATGTTGCCCTCTATCATGTGGTGCTACGCATTGCACTTTTTCCCATGTCACCCTGTATTATGTGTATTCACAAAATATTTATTGCGCAAATATAAGTGTAACTCTTTTTGAAATCTCTAGTTTGAATGTGGGCGATAGCAAAATTTACTATTTGGATTTGGATTTTATACAAGTATTTTTTATTTGTCTAATAAAAACAATAATTAATAATAAAATAATAATAATAATGTCAGAATGAAAATGTTACCTATGCGCTGAAAATTTTTAGATCTTTATAAGTATATAAATTAATGAAATATACAGTTTTGCAAAATGAATGACTGACTATCTACGGCTCTGATTAGTTTAAGAATTACTTAAAATGAATAGACAACATACAGAGGCGAGAGCCTATGAACCTTTTCTCCAATTATCTGCAATTCGGTTCATTTAATTCAGAAGTGAAACACAGTTCTTTTGAATAGGTCATTCGTGAACAACAGAGTTCTTTATTAATATGGCCACTGCCAAGGTCATAATAAGTTCATGTATAATTATTTTTTTAAACAAGCTTTTAGTGACGTCATTTTATTTTCGTATTCTTCTCTGCAAACCCTTTCTTTTGATACCCATATCATGAGGGTTCATAAAAAATAACTGGTCCGCCATATTGGATTTAGAATGACATCACTTAGCTAACCATGCATTGTCATCCAAACTAAATGTGTATGCAAAATTTCAGCTCAATCGGTTGGGGATAACTGTTTTAAAATTCAGTTACAAGATTTGACCCATACCAACAAGGCAAGTTGAATAAAAAGTTTGTAATAAAAATTGAGATTTTAGCCAACATTTAAAATTTTTCCCTCAACATCAATAATTTGGCTTCACTTTGTTAATCAATACCTTTAGTTTAGTATTAGCTTTTAGATATCATATTATTTTATGTATGCAAATAGTTCATGTACTTACTCGATATCCACTTCTATTTTTGCCAACTTTGTCTGGCCGATTATAGAGAACATAGTGATGTATTTGCAAAAATGAAATAATATGACTAAAAAATCATACGCCATCCTTAAGGTTGACAGAAAAAATATTTCTCGTTATGGTTATACTTACTTTATCTATAATACATTGCAATCCGGACATTATTCCAAAGTCGGGTGCAAGTTGCGGAGCAGTCACCACAGCTTGAGGCCTATATACCAGTTTACTGATATACTGTGATCCGAGCATTTTCTCAATATCGTATCCATATATCTGTAGCCAGCTCTTCAAGCTCGTCATGTAATTTATAGACAATTTTGAATTAATCGGATCATTATTGTGGAATCTGTAAATGAAAACATCGGTGGGTGTAGTCAGTTTTGTAGCAAGTTGTTCCCAATTCGGAGTCATCCACTGTCCAACCGCAGGATCATACAGCCTTTTGTTAATGTATATGAGTTTTGTGTTTGGATCCAGAATACCCCCATGGAAGTCGACAGGTAGGTAGAAATCTGGATTCGTGTCTAAAATTATATTGCCAAATGGCGTTCGTCTGATTTCCTTAATGAGATTCCCGTTAATGTCAAATAGAGCGAGAGGCGACCCGTTTTGATCTGTTGCCACATAAAATCTTTGCTCAGAAGTTTCTACAGTGATAATTACGTCCCTAGAATCGTAGAGGAACCTGAACGTACGTCCCGATTTGGGGAAGTGAACATGCGTTATTAAATCGGGAGTGCTTGGGTTAGTGTAGAAATATTGAGTAACATTGCCTTTTTCATCATTCCACGATATGAGTCTTCCTCTATCGTCGTAGTAGTACCACGTTTGGAATTTGTCTCTTTCAAAGGCATGTATTAATTGGCCTCTAGAGTTGTATCTATATTTCTGTTCTCCCCTACGTACTACAAATCCGCGAGTATCATAACTGTTAAACTCGACATCACCGTATTGCACAACACGGTCACCACTGTCATAGCCCAGTGATATTTTTTCCTTTTCTTTTATAACTCCTATAATATTACCGTTTTCATCGTAGACATATTTCCAATTACTGGTGCCGACAACTTCCAGTACATGACCGTCGGAGTTATACGCTATCCTGTCCATGAACTGTGTTCTCCCAACTAACAATTTCTGCATTTTTATTCTGTTTCTCACATCGTATTCCACTTCTAGTCTAAATACGTCAAATGATTTAATGTTGATTAAAATCGTTTTAATTCTTCCGTGATCGTCATAATCTGTTATTGTGAAGAATTGTTTAGTAGTGTCCTGCATTACCGACCGATTGAAAGTGTTTCGGTATATCCTCAAATCACTTATACCTTCCAGAGTACCTAAATTCTGATTATATTTTAATCTCAGTTGAGGCAGTTCTTTACCGTTAATATCAAGATCAATGGTTGACAATCGGGCATTGCCATCATACTGATACTTATAATGTGCATTATCCAAACCACTTTTGCTATTGAATTTAAGTTTTTCATCTTTCAATACACCAGCGTGGTATTTAAACTCCTGCCTTAGCTCAAAATTGGGTTCTATAATTTCTATTGTCTTTACCAAATCAGACACGTCATGATATACATATCGAGTTGAACTCATTCCGGCCAGTGTTGTTTCGAGTTTTCCTGCATCATCGTACACATAAGACACCCTTCCAGATTGATGTGGATAGATTTTGGCTAGTATCTGACCATCGTCGTTATAGATGATTTCGTACGGGTGACGATTCATCGGTGAGAAATACTGGTACTTGAAAAAGCCGAGGGACGTTTGTAAGGAGAATGTGTGGATATGTCCTCGTGGGGTTGTAAGAGACTGAAGAGCTCCAGAGTCGTCATACTGGAGAAGATAATCAGATCCCCTGGGAGTACTGACCTTTAATGGCTGAAAGTAAGGAAATATTTTTTAGCAAAATCCCTTTTATATTTTTGCAATTCAAATTCAATTTTTAGGAAATCAAATTCAATTGTTTGCAAATTAAACTGAAAAAACACATGTTTATTTACATTTTATAGAAATAGAGACATGAAGCAATCAATTATTTTCTGCCATTTGTACCAATTCAATTGGTTCCACCCTTCATTAATATGGGAACAAAAAGGGGAGAGTATCAATGCCGAAAATTTTGCTGCGTTACCCATCTCTAGCTTAAACTCTAGCTAAAGACGTGAAATTAATATTTACTGCCTTTTTGGGAACGGAGTCCAAATGTTAATAAGCAAATTATATTTTTAAAAAGTATAATTTGACTCACACATGGATGGATATGACATACAAAAAGATGAATTAGATTCACAATTTGACTTACAAATGATCAATTTGATTTGGAAACTGTTGAATTGAAAAAGTTTAATTTCATCTTCAAATTAATAATTTGGTTTGTAAAAAGTTAAATTTAATTTACAAAATGATTAATTAATTTAATCTACTAATGAGCAAACTTGACTTGTAAAAGGTTGAATTGATTTATAAATAAAGTTCGGGGTTTTCGTCGGCTAGTCATAGGTGTGTTCGTCATAAACAAATAAATAAACAGGTCGTTTTTTACCCCTCTCCCGTTTGACATTATTAGAATATTAAAACATGTATACATGAAGCAAACGCAAAGCCAATAACTGCCGTTATTAGCAACCGCTAATAAACCGTAGGGTGCGCTGTAGCGAAAGGCCGACGTGACGGCTATGATCATCCGACCAAGTCCTGGGCTCTATTCAGAAATATGTGAATTTGATTTGTAAAAGGTTGAATTTGGTTTAGAAATGGGTCAGTGTTATTTGTAAAAAGCTGAATTTAGAATACTAAAATTTACTTACCAGGCTACTGAACATATCTTTGAAGGTGTATACAAGCGATGACCCATCACCATATTTTATTTCATTCAGTCTGCCAGCTCTGTCAAACCCATAGCTTTCACTTAGTTCTCCCCACTTCCAGTTACTTAACCTGCTGAATCTGTCATACTCCAACTCTACTTCTGCAAATATACCATTCCTTGGACCCCATTTCACAGGTCTAGATGAACGATCATAAGTTACATTTAGTAGTTCTACTTTGTCATCCATAAAGACTGATATTGAAGCAGTTTCTCTGTCATACTCCATGGTGAGTAGGTTTTCTCCATTAACTCTCAACTTCTTGCCTACTTTTATTATTGTTCTTGGCACAAGGCCTTTGCTACCTTTGGAGTTGGGATTCGGTCGGATGAAGTATCTCCATTCGAATCTATTAGCGAGGTCTCCACCAATTTCAGTCCTTTGTTTCGCCGGAACTGGGTAGCTTTCACCTAATAAAGGCTCTTTTTCTGATAAAATATTGTAAGGAACTGTATCTGTGGTGGTACTGTGGGACCAAGGTGATATGCTTGCCGCACTTCCATCTGCTAGTAATATAATTCTGTTTTCTGTTTCCTCTATTTTCGTAGACACACTAGAACCTTTAATAAGCATGGAAACTGGTTTTTTGTTATTCTGACTTACTCGAACTGTAGCTCCTTTTAAGCTCAAGTCAAAGGAAAGGCTTATAACTTTACCAGTGGGTGTCACCGCCGAGGTTAGTCTTCCAAATTCATCGTAATTATATACGTAACTGCGACCACTGCTATCCAACTTGGTCTTTAATAGGCCGTTCGTGTGGTAATCAAAAGTGACATTGTAATTATCGGGGGTGCTAAGTTCATGTAACATTTTTACTCTAGTCATACGTAGTCTGCATTTTTGTCCCTTGGTATTTTCAATAGAATTTACATGACTTGAATAATCTCTAAGTAGGAAAACTTTGTTACCAGCAGCATCGGTTACTGTACTGAGCTTACCATTGCTTGTGTTAACGTTATAAGTAAAAACATAACTCGTTTCTCCAGTTAAAATATTTTTGGTAGCGATGTGTTGACCAAATCTATTAAAGATGTAGATTTCTTGAGTTTCTGGAGAGTAAATTTCATATTCTCGTGAAACACTAGCATCTGGAATACTAGCCATAACTGATCGAATCCTGTAATTGGCTTGGTCGCCGATGTGAACATGTCCGTCTGGACTGACAGTTACTGCTGATATTGTGTTGAACTTGGTGTTTGATGCCAAGAAGTGGTCAGCTTCAAAGCAGTCACAACCTCTCTCGAGGCAGTTGCATTTGGATTCAGCGCCAGCGTATGGTGATATTTTCCCATCGGTTCCGATGATACGAACTCTATTAATCCTTTGAGAATCGCTTTCAGCAACATATAGATCCCCGGATGCACTAAACGCAATACTTTGAGGCATTACTAGAGTTGCATACGTCGCCAACTCAATGTCATATCCAGTTAAAGGTGAAGGGCAATGCAGCGGTCTTCCAGCAATCACTTTAACTCTTCCATCTAAAGTTAATTGGAGAATCATGTGATCGTCTATAATGTGCAGAGTATTATCCAGAGGGTTGATCGCTAGCTCGGTGGGCCATCTTAAGTGAACTTCCTCGATATTCAATGTTCCTTCACAGGGAAGCGGCTTCCAGTGCGACTTGTGCATGTGATTTCCAATAACAGTGGTTACAATGCCATCACGATCCACCATCCTTATGTTGGTGCCATCAGCAAAGTATAAGATGTTGTCGTTTGACACCGCTACTCCTTTCGGATAAGCAAGTTTTGCATCTCGGGCTAAAGCCCCGTCTCCACAATGGGCTTCATCCCCTGGAAGACATCGTTCACCAGATCCTACTACAGTTTCCCAGTTACGCTCTGGATCAGAGTATTCGTCTGTATTTCGGACTTTTATGATTTGATGCGATTCTGGATCGGAAATATATAGTGTACCATCCAACGGACTAAGTGCCATGTGGTATCTGTAAGAGACCCTCGTGGCGCTGTAAAAATAAGTCATTTGTATATTTTTTAACACTGAAAAAAGCACGACTTACTTTAGTCTGACGATTGTTCGTACTATCCCGTCAGTTTGTATTTTTCTAACCAAATTAAAGTCACCAACGAAAAGGGAACCATCAGGAGAGCTAGCTAGAGCTACAGGTGCTAAAAGACGTTGTTTGGATGCTTGTCCGTCACATTCAGTACACTCTAATGGTCTTTGATGACCATCGCCCATTGTCGTGAGGATTACACGAGGTTTGTGTTTTAAGTAAATGTTGGAACCATCACCTTTTTGTAAAATACCTGAAGAAAAAATATGTTTGTAAAAGCTAACCTGTATATCTTGTTTCAAAGTTAAATATAGTATAGATAGAGCATGATTAGGAGGAATAAATGTTTGAATTAATGACTGGCGATTCTCTGCATAAATGAACAAATGAGCTGTTTATTAGATATCGAGGGTGTAATTTGACACTGGATGGGGTATTATAGTCCTCAGAGTAGTCGTTTGCCATACTGTCATTAATTAATAAGTCTATTTCACCTAGTGTGGTACTAGTCATGTATTCAAAACACCTACACATTAGTAGGTCACTCTGTGCAAGCAATGCTTTGTGTTATATTGTCTTTATAGAGAGGGCAGTGGTGACATTTGGACTTCAATATTTTATATATTCTGCTGGAAAATTTGATTACATTTTTCAAATTAAAGTCTGTATAGACCCTTTTTCATCATAATGTGCTATTAACTTCAAAAGTAAATATCGCCTTTTAAATAAATCAAATTAAATCAAATGTCAGAAAATTGTTACAATAGTCAAATATCAAATTTGATCCAAAGCCTCAAATCTTCTTCGCCATTAATGACAGTGGTGCTAATAGAAAGTATTGACACTGTACTTTGTGCCACTAGGAATTGAGTAATAGTGAAATTTGAGATATAATTATATGTTATAGGTTATACCTCACCCACACTTAACACATGCCTAAATAGCTAAATCGTTTATCAGTCACCTTGGTAATTCCTCTGACAAATGATTTTAATTATTTACTAGATGTTGGGGGAGTAATTCTACTTCAATGATCTATTATTAATAATGAGAATATAGACATATCTTCTTACTAACCTTCATGGAAATTATAGCGATGGTGTATGTCGAGGTTCCAACCTCCCACTTCGGATATACTCATATCATGCCCACTGAGTTTGGTTGTCTGAACTTCCCAAATTATGTCTTTACAGTCGGTATATTCATATCCGACCTTGACTATGGCATTGGTTACCCCATAAACTCTTTGACGGTAAACATTAAGTCGGCTCCAGGCATACGTGAATTTAATGACAGGGTCAGCCTCAAATACTTTCTCGAACAAGATTCCCTCAATCGTGATACGAAGGTGAATTAACTTCAAGTCTGCGGAAATCACTTCGGGAGTTAACTGAAGCTGAATTGTGGACAAATATCCGGCGGCGCGGGAACTATGGTAAACCAAATTTAATCCAGTTCCAGGAATCCGTAAGCTTTCCTGAACAACTTGAGACTCAGCTAATATGGCACTTTTATCTGGACATGCTCCCTGAAAACCGTGCTTCCAAGTTGCAAGGACAACGGGTTTCATGGTATCATAGTCATGTGAACTGCACGGCTGTGGAGGTACATTGAGGGATCTTTCCTCTCCAGTTATCATGATAATGTTGTCTATTATAACTACTTCGTTCCACGGAACGAAAACAATACGGCTTTGCGGTGCGAATGGCGATCTGCCGAATTGTAGCGTGACAGCACCACCACCGTTTACTAATAAGTCAAACCAACCGTCATCTCTGGTAAGTGTGAAACCTTCTTGAGGAGTGCTTGTACTGACTCGGGCACCCATCAGTCCAGTTCCCAACTGAGTAACAACCCGGCCTCGTACAACAGCTGATCGACTAAATTGGAAAATTTAAAATTAATCACATATCTGTGGTTAGGTTCTAACATATAAACATAAAAACTAAAGCAAAATGAAAAAACACGAACACAAGTGGATATTATACACAGTAAAGAAACAAACCAAGCACAAGTAGTACACCTATTTCCTATAACCAATGGTGCTCGTACATTCCATTGCCTACCACTACTATGTACTTAGTTACTCTGATGAATCCAGCCTTACCTCGTGTTGAAGTGATTCCAAAATACACTGAGCAGCAAGAATAAAAAAATTGTTAAATGATGATATCTATAGTTATATTTAGGCGCTGCGTTAAAACTATAGTTCAATAAGATTAAGGTTAAATTGAAACTTTGCGTCCTACAGTGAGATCATTTAAAATTTTGAAAAATATGATTATGGTTGAAGCTACATAGCTGTGATTAGAGACCATTTAGAGACTAACAAGCAAGTAGGTTAAGTGAGAGGTACAAGTAAAAAATTACATAAATAAATGGGGAGTGTTGTAACATGGGGCACAACAATGCGTCTAGAAAATTGTTTACAGATAGACATATAGACAAAAATTTATTTCAACATTTAAAAACAACTTTCAAAAAGAGAATAGGTTCTGAAATTGTTGACACTTACCTTTCGTTGAAGGTCTCCTGTTTTGCATAGTTTTGCAAACTGCCTTCGTCAATCAAGAATTTCATTCTTTCAAAGAAAGAAGCTGTGATTGCTGGAGGCTGTTTCCTCAATAAAATATCTATGGGTTTTGGAGAGGATACGCAAAGCTGGCTACTTCTGCACACATGGTTCGAACAACATTCCGGATCCTCACAATCAACAAGACCGTCTACAAAATGGAATTATTAAATCTTCACTTACAATTATTTTAATTGGTTTCTTACCTTTATCATTGTCTCTACCATCATTGCAGTTTTGTTCTAATAAAATACTGCAATCCGGACCATCCCATCCGCTGTCACATCGACACTCCCACATACTCTCGGAATTAAATCTGCACTGACCATGCGAAGAACAGCTGTTAGGACATCCTTCAATGGTACAGTGTTTACCATTCCATCCTGTTACACACAGGCATGTGCCATTCTTACACTGCCCGTGTTCATTGCATCTTGGGTCACATTGTTTGAGATTGCAGAATTCACCAGACCAGCCAGGATCGCACTGGCAAGCCTCAGACACACAATGGCCATGGTTTCCGCAGTCCAAATCACACAACTCTGTATGAAAATTTTGAATTTCTATAAACATTTTAAAATTATGCTATATGTTACCTCTCGAGCAATCTTCTCCGGACCACCTGGGTTCACATGTGCAAGTTTGCGATTCTAAATCGAAAGTTCCATGTCCGGAACAATCTGGAAGACATTGAAGGGCGTCTTTGTCCATTTGTGCACAATCGGGGCCTTTCCAGCCCTTCTTACAAATGCAAGATCCTTCTACGCAGTAGCCATGGGAGGAACACGTAGGGTGTGGGCAATCCGCTATTCAGAACGGGCAAAATTAGATTATGAACAGAAACAGGAAACATTTAAGCCAATTTTGGTATCAAAGACATATTAACGATAATAAACGGAATAAAAGCATATTATATTATAGATCAAAAAAATTATAATTGTAATCTTTTATTTAGTAACATTATGAAAATACTATTTCACAAACATTTTCTGTGACTCTCAAATGTCTATACAGAGTATAATATTAGATGAGGTTTAGTTTTTAAAGAGCAATAGTATGTGGTTTCCAGAATACTAATCAGAAATTAATTCAATTTTAAATCAAATAATAACCTGTTTCTCTTAAAATTGCACTTAAACTCTTGTCTATGCAGTCATTGGACGGCTCTGAAACTTACGTATGTGTCTGCTTATCAGTGTTGCCTGTTATTACTTTTTAAACCAACTGTATGAAATTAATAGAGACAAAGAGCGAAACTGTAATGGAAAATAATTTTACAAAAGCACATTGGTTTTTTATGACTCGCACAACATATTTTAAAGTCACCATATTTTTTTGATGTCTATGGGGCGACACATCGAATATTAAAAATATTTCAGGTTTTTTAAAGCATATGTTACTAATTTTAAGTAAAACTAATTTCTTTTAAAATAATTACTTTTGTTGTTCCATAAAATATACATAATAAAAAATAAATAAAAATACCTAGTAATCTGATTGATTTGAAAACTTTTTAAAATCATTTCATTTTTTTAAAGACCAGTGTTTAGTTTATGAATATCAGTGTCAATGACCATTAAAATTGATATAATTTAAGTGAACTGTATAATATCAATCCACCTGATGTGATATATAACAATAGGGCAAACTAAGCAAACAAAAACAAAAGACCGATGTTAATTTGGCAAAATGGAATGGCCGATAATGTCACCTCTTCATTTTATAACATTTATTTCGGTTTTCAGTTTATCGATTTACGAGGTGTAATTTTGCGATTCTGAAGGGAAGTTATTTCACCGTACAAAGTTACTCCCTGTGTAATCACGGAACAATGATTTCAAACATTCAAAGCAATATTACAACAGAGAACAGTGATAGATTAGACAAATATATATTGATAACATCATTTTGGTGCATGTTAGTATACCGACAGATGCAAAGAGGATAGCCTTACCCTCCTCACAGAATTTTCCTTTATATCCACGAATGCAGTTGCATTTTCCGTTAGCACAATGACCGTGACCGTTGCAATCAGGCACTTCGCATTCATCATGCCTTAATTGACATTCCTTCCCCTTCCAGCCCGGGTTACACTGGCACTCTCCGTTGATGTATTCCCCTCGTTGGCTGCAGAGTACGGGGCATACACCTAGCAGAAAGACATCCAATCATGCAAAGGCACGAGCAAGTTAGTCGCTTAAGTTACATGGAAATATTAATCAAGGAGGCGATGATTTATGTTTGAATATGTGGTGTTAAATAAATGAAAGACTTACTCTCACTGCAGTCGTCTCCGCCGAAACCAGGGTTGCACTGGCAATGTCCCATAAGGCATTCGCCCTTGCCACTGCAACCGTTAGGGCAATTGTGGGTCATGTCGTCTGCGACAGCAGCTACGAATGTTACTTCTTGCGGGTCACCATCATCATTATATAGAGACAAAAACCAGTGTCCCTGTTCCATGTAATGCGTAACCTCTTTTTTGACGGTAGACTGCTGAAATGGTAAGGAATAACTATCCCAGATTCAAAAGTTTCTTAAAAACCACTCACGTGTGATGCTCTCGTAGTTCTTGCTTTAAATCCGCTAAGAACTTCTAATATATGGTACTGGGTGTGCGTTGGTAACGCATTTCTACGTGCATATACTCCAATGCTGGCTCCTCTTGGAATGTTATAGTCGAATTGAACATAAGCTGCTTCTGATTGATAAAACTGCATGTTCCAATAACTGTAAGGCGGTATTTCCTTTGACAGTCTCTGACCTAGAGCAATTTGGGAAAACGTGGTCCCATCCGGAGGGAACGATTGAGCGGGAAACGTACGAGCACCTGTTAAAGTATGATGGTAAGTATTAAATAATGAGATTAAAACGTTAGTTGTTGCTGATAAAAGCAGCTCAAGCATTACAATGTTGATGGTTGCAATGGAATACATTTTTTACTGTCACTAAAAGAGCTACTCACAAGTTACACAAACAACAAAGAAAAAATATCACACGTGAAAGAATCATGCATGGGATATGCAAGTGAAGTTGATGCAATGTAGAATGGAAGAATTAATAATGAGACGTACAGCGGATTATCGACTGCTTAGCTGGTTAATATTGCTAAGCTCTTAGTTTTGCGACACTGCCATACCTTCGAGGATGAGAATCGTAGGTGGTGGTGGCAGTTTCGTTGTAACTTCTGGACAAATTGTTTGCCCAATTTCTGGAGATCCTGTAGAGTCACTAGACATCGTAGTAGATAAAGAAATAAATTCTGTGCTGGTATCATATACAGTTTTCTCTGTAGCTAGAAGCTTCTTAGTAGTATCAAGGGTTGAATTCACGGTTTGAGCCGTGATGTCACCACTGTAGTCATAGTCTTCTGTACTATTTGATTCTGAAAAATTAGGATCGTCTAAGCATGGGCAAGAGCACTCACAAGCTCCACCTGAATCGTCATTGTATCTGTCAAGATCTAAAATAGATGGTGGTAAAGTAGTTCTCGATTTATCCGACTCTTTTGCAGGTCCACGGAATTCTTTTGGGGCCTCTTTTGTGTCGACCTTGACACCAGGCTCCTCGTTACCCTCTGTGGGTACAGACAGAGAAAGCACATAGACTGAATGTGTGGAGTATGGATTATTATGGTCAGGATCAGTGGCTATTGTTACATTCACAAGAACACGCTTGGAAGAGGACATGCTTGGATTGTGGATAGGAGGTACCTCTATTACTTTTATTTTAGCGCTTTGATGCGGCACATCATTAGTCTCAAATTCTTTAGAGATAGTGCTATTAGTAGTGTTATGCAAGAACTCAGGGTTGTTAAAGCGGATCGTCTTCAAATTTAGATTCATATTATCTTCAACTGGTAATACTGATAAATTGGAATCTGTTAATTCTTTTGAGTTATCTTGGGCTTTAACTTCGATTGTTATATTTTTTGTATCATATTTTGCTTTTGACTTTTGAGTTGTAGATAAAGTTTCATGGTTTAGCTTTACAATTTGGACCTCATCTTGACCATAAGAAAATATGGGAGAATCATGCTGAAGTTCAGACGATTCAGATTTTATCATTGTAGTGCTATGTTCTCTTTGTATTTCATCATATACTGTATCGTCCAGTGTAAATAAGGAAGAATCTGAAATGTTGTCTTCTTCAGAGATGTCATCATAATTTTTAACATCACTCTTGTCCACTATTTCACTAGAATTTGTATCTTCTAATACAGTTTCGAAATTTTCAGCAGCATTATTGTCTGCCATTAGATTTTCAGGGGCTTCATAAATTTGAGCAGTTTCACTTAATTCAGGGGCAGCAGTGGATATATTTTCTGCGTGTAGTGTCTGTGTATTTGTTTTATTAGTTGGAGGTGCAAAAACATCAAGAACGGAAAGCTTTCCTGAGGTAAGATTGTTCGTTTCATGCAAAGATCTAACGGTACTAGCATGCAAACTATCAGGTCCACCAGTACTAGGAGGGTCACTCGAGTTTGTGGTAGCATTCGGTAACACAAAAGCATGCGGTGTTTCAGAAACCTGCCTACGTTTTCGGGAATAGATAAACTCATTACCTCCAGAATTTGCAGTTTTCGGTTTACTAGATGTGGAAAGGTTGGTCTCTGAAGGGACAGTTTTGGAGGCAGGCACAATCTGCGTGTTGTCCCCTACCAGAACCTCGCATGGTTTCGTATTTTGATATGACCAATTCAATAAGCTCGAGGCTGCAACAAAATTATCAAATTAGTAAAAGTGCATTAATTAATATTAATATTATTTCTTTCTAAACACAGAACAGACATTCTTGTGGCATATAACGGTTTTTAAATTGATTTTACGTGAAACCTATTGAAATGATACATGAGCACTTTTTTATAGAATATACTTCGCAGATAAGTTATTCTCACAATTCATTAGTTAAAAAGTTTATTTTGCCTAGTATGATACCAGTCATGATTTCAAAGTACCTACAGATTAGTGGGCTGCTCTCTGCCAGTTATAAAACAATGCTTTGTTCTAATAAGTTTTGAGTAATAATGACATTTAAGATATTACAAATATACTTATACCTACATTATATTTTACCTACATTCTAAACTACTTTTCTTCTATTTTTTCAGGAAATTTAAGAAACCTTCCCTAAAATGCCGAGGTTGGTCCATCCTGTACAAGAAGAAAAACCATTCTCAAAATTTAAAATAACTTTTTCTTTAGGAACTGTATTTTTTAAGTTTCCTCCAAACAAAGGCCCTTTCTGATTCAATTGTGCTTAAACCCATATTCGGGCCCGTTGATGCGTGCTTATTACATTGTAACCGATTCCATTACCGGACCCTTACCTGAAATATAAGAAAGGGCAGCTGTGAGCACCACCGACAGCATGATGAACACGATGGCGGTGCACTTCCACGTGCACTTCGAGGCCAGCCCCTTCCTGAAGTGGAATCTGCTGGCTTGCGGAAAATGCGACGAATTGGGCCGGCGCAAGTTGTTTCGGACGGGCAGGACAGGTACCTGGGGCCCATATGGCATGCCACATCTGTCGGCGGTCTTCATATCCTTCGAGGGGCTGCTGCACGACGAGTTCGACTTGTAATCGATGGTCGAGTTTTTCGGGTGATCTGCGGAAGTAAAAATAAAAGGGTGATTATGGCATATGGTTCCATGTTCCATTGTATGAAGCTAAAAATTCGTTGTTAAGCGGATTATGATGACTGGGCAGTATCAGGTGGCGAGTACAGATAATTTACCCAGTCGTTATGTACAACAAAAACGCTGAAATTGCGTTAATTCGATACCACAATTTTCTTTTTTTAATCGGCGGGGTAGTCATTATGGTAATCTATATCGAAATATTCAGCAATTCATCCATGTGGCCATGTCTATTATATTCAATCTTGTACAAACATTGGTTATACCCAAACTTGTCGGAGATAATTTTATTTTATTTCTTACAAGTTAGTTTAGTTAGGGTGTGTTAATGTTAAAAAATATACACGTGATAATGTAATAATTTAATTCCGCTCCCTTTCTTCCAGGTTTAAGTCGAAAAATATCAACGGTAAACGAAAAATGGTCATCATCGAAATTGCAGGCAATTTAATTTTTAGGAATTTTGATTATAATAATTTTTAGTCAAAAGTTGAAAGTAATGGAGTTTATTTTCAATAAAAACAAATTAGCCCTTAAAATCCAGATTTAGGCTGAGCCTTCAGGTGTGGAGTCTTGAAAATCTGGATTTAGATTAACAGTGATCTCCCCAATAGTTATAAAAAGAAAATTGTGGGATCGAATTAATGCAATTTAAAATGGACAGGGTTACCCAGAACCTACAGTTGGCCACCATTAAAAGAAAACGGAAAGAGCAAATTGGAAGCTGCAAGAGAGGATATTATATGAGTATTTAACGTAAAATTATGTTTTATTAAGATTATCTGCCCAAGAGCTGGATTATAAAAAATATTTTGTTAGCTTTGCCGTGTAAAACAAGATACTATTAATGTTTATATTCATTACTGACATGATTTAATAATTGTGTTTTCTAAAAAAATGAATACTCAATAAAGACGGCTTAATAGAAACAAATTCTTTATGTCAGTAATGAATATAAACATCAACAGTATTTTGTTTTTCATGACAATGATGACAATAGCAGTAACAGACTTAATCCAACCAGAGTTTTTGAATTTGTTGCACAGGAAGAGATATCGAAAACTTTTTATTAAAAGTTATTGAGAAAAATGATTCTTGATCAATCATTATATTTTTTTTATATTTTTTTAAAAGATCGTTCACAAAACTATTCAACTACACAAGTAGTGATGTCTTTATAATGCAAGTTTTGTGGTGATTTCATAAGGTGTACCATAATATCATAGCAAAAATATTAAAAGAAAAATTACGTTATAACTTTTAACACGAAAACATTGTACCGAGAAGAATATATTTCAGTTGCTTTTAATTTACTCTTTAATTATGTAAATTACACCTATTCTTTTCGAATCACCACCTGTGAAGACGAGTTATGTTTAAAGCATAAGGCATATGGCCTAAATCTGACTTGGGTTATTATTAAGATGATTATGATTGGGGTGTCAGGTGGTCAGCGCAGATTTTTTCGGGATTATTGTTATTATACAATTATGATCTTTTTTTAATTGGAGATGAGCATGCTCCGTATGTCGAGGTAAATTGTTTTTACAACTGCTCTATTTTTTTGTCTTTCACAAAAGGTCTTAATGTATGGAAAACAAATGCTTCCAAATGTGTACAGGGATATAAGCATATTCGTTTAATGATCAGGTTTTGGGGATGCAGAAAAAATCAGTTTATTATCAATCTCCAAATAAGATTAACTATTGAAGATTTGTTAAACCATTCGCAGATATGGAATTTTAAGTGAAAACGAAGTATGCATACTTATTAAATAATTTAATTCTTCTTTGGTCAAATTCCCGATTTTAAAAATTCAACAGATAATGTTTTTAGATTCAGATTTGAATTATATTGTAAAAATGTAGGATATTTTACATTTTTCCAAATGTTTATAAGGTACTTATAACTTTGCAATAACAGTTTTTACGACATATACATCTTTAAACCTTTTTTTTTTTTCACTTATTAAACCTGGTTAAACAGTTTTATTAATTCTTGCCCCACAGTTTTCAAATATGTATTCGTCAATACATTATTCAAATAATTTTAGCATAAATATCCAAAAGATTGCCTCTGTTTCTGATAACAGATGGTGTAATAGTTACAAATGTTTTGCAACTACTGCGTATCCAAAGGCAGTTATCAAAAAATTCACCTCCGGAAAGCGGAGGTGTTATTTTTTGGGTTAATTATAGCTTTTCCTGGCTACACTGATACAAAGGGCTTATCAATAAGGGGACAGTTTGTTGTCATCATTATGGAGATAACACCAGAACTATTATTCTATCAACCACAACATTCGTCATTAGTGAAATTTTGTCTATTTGGATATTGGATCATATTTAATTTAGGCAAACAAAGGCAAAGAGTTTCCTTACTGGTGGATACTGATTTACACATTAAAAAAATAGAATTTAATTGACACGACAGCAGCTTATTCTGAAATCAAATTTAGAAAATATAGAAGTTAAAGGTAAAAATATATTTTTATTTTGATTTTAACAAAAATTGCAGCTATAGCAGAAAAGGAGTCAATACAGTTTTTCCTAAAGGACAAAATTAAAGAAATAAACCTTACATATATTCAGTAGACAGTTGAAAATGTCAAGAATTGTAAGCTGAGGCTTAAAATATTTTTTAATTAACGGCGAAGCTATTTTCGTGAAACTATTTAAGTAAATGTTATTTATTAGGTTATCCTTTTAAGTGAATAGGGACTTCAATGATTTATTCCTGATGCTATTTTTAGAAAATATAGGTACCTACATTGTTAATGTTCCATTTGTTCATAAACTCTATAAACTCAGTGCTAAAATAAAAAAACACATTAGTTTAAACAAAGTATTTTGTTGAGAATGTGTCTACATTATAAAGATCTTTTTAAAATTAACTATTTGCAACCAGACTAAGTTAGGAAGGTATGACTAAAGTATTAAAGAATTAGCAACTAATTAACATAACATTTTTTTAAGTCTTTGCCAAAATTGGAATATCCTTAATGTTATAAATAACTGTTATGCCATATATAACTGATCGATCTGTTCCCAGTATGTAGTCAGCTACTTTTTCTATAAAAGGATAATAGTAAAACAAAGCACCCCGCAAGTTTTTGTCTTCTAGGGCACCTGGTGCAATAAATCTAGCTAAAAATCGACATCTAAATAAGGTACGTGAGAAAAAGAGACCTGTTGGCATTTATATGCCATTTATAGTGGTTAAAACTAGTTTCTTCCACCTTTTATTTTCCATCCTCCAGATGTGTGGTATTAACTACGTCAATGTAAAACAATATTTTAAAAACATCCAAATATGAATATGTACGTTTAGTTTTGTTCTCATGATAAAGCTGAGAACATAAACATTGCAAATTCTATGAAAGTTGATATTATAAATGTGTCCATTGGCATAAACATATTGAAAAATTAATTTATATATATGCTATGTAATGAATATTACTCTCCACAAAATATTTTTATTTCTGCTATTGTTGAACAAACAATGTAGTAAATAATTAGTAAAACAAGGCCAAATAATGATAATTAACCAGAAGAGACAAAGGTATGGAATGAAATGCCGTTCATTCATGAAAAGCAATGTACATCTATTTCATAATAAAGCAGAAGCTAATGTAAAACTCATTCTAATTTACATGTTATACAACATCAACATCCCATATGTATAAACATTAAAGTAACAGTACAAAAATAGTACTTACTTCGACAAAAGGTTTCAAGTAATCAACTTGATTAAAGAACTTTTTTAGATTTTCTATAGAGAAAGTGTAATCTACGGCAATCTAAATGAGTATACTTTACATTATTTCCAGTCAAGTTATTATTAAAATCCATGCCATATAGTATAGCGCTGGAGCATGAATTATATCCTTTTGTCCCTTTATTTTTCGATTATCAATCCTAAACTAAGACCTTAAGTCATTAAAATTCTATGACCGTACATGGATCTTTAACTGGAATAATAATTGTGTGTTCTGACAGCACAATCATTGGTACCTGAATGAAAATACCGAAGGTCAAATGAAATTATTTGAGAATATTCCTTTGAAATCAACGACAAATTCTTTCAGAGGAGGTAACTTCAGCTTCAAAACATCACTTCTTTTGCGACGTGATGACCATTCCGATTCCATACTTGTATATTTCCCATATTACCACAGTGGTATGATTAATTTGAATTTTATTTGCACCTGCTTCAAGACTCTCAAGAATTTACAGATGTTCAAGAACCGAGATATTTATCTTTGGTGCTAAAGTACTAAAAATGAATTTAGTTACTATGACTCTTTTAGAAAAGATACTATCTTTGAATGATTTAAAAAATAACATTGTAAGTATTGTACATGTCTTTCTTCAAATTATCTAATTTGTTTTAAAACATAGTACCATAATTTGAACTTTTATTGCCGATGCGTATTTAGAAATTTGATAGCCTCATTTCAATACAATATTGCCACATAAAATATTTAGATTTCTGTGAATACAGAACAAGCAGTTCAGTAATATATAAATAATAATGTGAATTTGTTTCCAAGAACGGTTTGTTTGAAAGGTTATCTAGCAAATAATGTACACTCATTAAAATGTAATAAATAATATTTTGTTATATTACTCATATTTAACAAGTCAGTGGCGTATTACTCGCGAAGAAAATTAAAGTACTTTCTTTTGTTTCTAGTAATATATAATTATGATCAAAGTATAAACATAGATTGCAATTCAGAATAATAATAAATTACAAAAGAACAGTAAATTTTAATTTGCTCGAGTCAAATAATGTATTTATGAATATGGAGCAATATGAGTTTGTATGAAACAATATTATATTTTATTTAATGGTATATTTTGAAGCAAGAGATGAAAATGCCAAAATGAAATGTCCCTCACGAAAACTGTTCACAAATAGAAAAAGTATTTCACCTTGATTTGGAAATGTTATATTTTCTACTCAT